GCAGATTTTCCATTATGTTACATTAAATGTTATGAACTGTGTATTCTTAATCCAATCGCACTAATTAAAAATAGCTGTCCCCCCAAATGTCTCCACGAATGTGGCGAGAAATCCGTCTCTAAATTAAAACAAAACAAAATCGACCAAACTGATTATTTCTGCAAAGTTGGTTGTGTCATGCATCGTTGTGTTTCTGTTAGAGATCAGGGTAAGTTTATCGCAAACTTTAATCTTCATATAAAATTCTATTCTTATATAGCTTATAGTGAGCTACTTTTATGATGTTTGTAACTTTTTCTAGATGATCGTATAGAATTTTATGACTCTTTGTTACTATCCATGTTTCCGGTTTTGTTGTTGTGTGTTATGAACAGATATGAAGGTAGATGAGGAGAAGGCTACGGTCTGTGTGAATTCATGTTCGGACACATGCAATAAAAAGAACTAAACGTGATATTAATTAGTTTTATCCTAAAACAATTTATGATGTTCTAAAAGAGAGAGTATGAATCATTATTGATCTGTTTTCGACCTAATATTCAATTCAAATAATTGTGATTCAGTTTCATCTAGAAATCTTATCTAGCACTCAGATTTTTTTAGTTGCAAACCTGTTTGGTGCTTCTCTGTTTGGTGAAAGAAAAAATCACAACTTTTTTACTTCTAAGCTGAATATTATTCAAAATTTTACAAGTTGCTGATTAGTTGAAAAACAAGTCAGAAAACTTATTTTGAAATATGAAGAGCTGAAGAGCATGGCTTAATGAATCTTATTATAAAATTCAAATTTATCACTTCGTTAACTTCTAAAATTTTCCATTAATTCATGACATTAAAAATAATGTTGTTAAGGTTTATAGGGTTCTCTCCACTTAAAGGTGCGAGCCTACTTCCGTTTCATGATCTATGTGCCGTTGATTGATTCTTATGTCAAGATATAGATCAAATAATAAATATTCTTTTTTAGGTGGTCTGCGTCCCTTACCACGCCGGGAATCGAACCCATCTCCTAAGGCGTAGTTACATTCTCTAAAAGCAGCGCAAGTCGGCTCCCTCAGAACAAAGCCCCCTACTCTCTGATGTCGTGACAACTACGTGAGCGAACAAGTTTTACCCTTAACAAAAACAAATGAAAGCCGCAAGTGCACAGCTAATCAGTTGTAGTATTTAGGGATCGAATCCATAGAGATTTGTGTGCCTGGTATTCTTCTACGGTTTCTAACTTTATGTCTAGACTAGATTGGTTTTAAAGGTTGGTTGTTTTTCACGGATTAAACTAAAACTTAAAGAAAGCAAATAAATCTATCCTAGAAAGCAAGTAGAAAAATCGAATGGAAAGCAAGTAAAGCAAGGTAAATATCGAACTAGAGCAATTGAAATGCAGATCTAAATAAGCAAATAAAAATTGATTGGTTTGTAAACTATGGCTAAAAAAACTGAGCTTTCGGGAACTCTAAGGGATCATAATCGGTTTTGACACTAGGGTAGATAGATTGGGATTGACGGATATCGATATATAGGGTTCTAGAGCTAGAGTACGGCGGTATGACTACGTCATTGTCGTGATCATAACCAACTGTTTCTCGCAACCCTGACCGGTAGGTTTCCACTCTGGCCCTGGAAGGGAGAGAACGCAACAGCTGCACAAGACTCGTCAATACTCACGATCTCGCCGCAGGTAGATTTCCACTCCTACGGAAAAATCGCCTGTTTCATTCTACGGCTGATACTTAATGAAAACTTTCGCAACACTAACTATCTAGATCAGATACTAGGTGATCAATCAAGCATACATGCAATAAGAACAAGAATAAACAGAGAACAAAGTTGAAATCCCAGATCTATAAACCTAGATGTCTTAATCGATTATGAGAGCCCCTTTCGGGAACCCTAAGCCCAACTCGGGATCTACTCAGACATGGCTGAGGTCGACATCATCATTGGTTTTAATAAAAGTAATGAAAAACAGTAAAGAAAAGAGATGAAGAAAGCTTCTCTATTGAAGAACTCGGACTTGAACAATCTTCTACAAAAATCGCATAAAAACGGCTAAAGAAAAAGGGTTTTTGTAAAGTATCAAGGGTTCTCTCTAAAAACGACATAAATGACAAGTATTTATAGTCTTCAATACTCCATGGTCTCTAGGGTTCCGGAATTGAGGCTGAGAATGACTTTGGGCTTCAGAATCATGGGCTTTAGTTCGGAGCTTGATGGCCGCGGTCGGAAGTGACGTGACCGCGGGGATTAGGTGGTTGGCCACGGTCGGAAAGCTTCTGACCGCGGGAAATGGGCTGTTGGCCGCGGTCGCGTGACGCTGGCCGTCTTTGAGTGGCTCCGGGGCTAATAGAATATCTTGAGATCCAACCGTTGGAATGTCTCCAAACCAAATGCATTTGAAAGCTGGTTGATTCTTCTATAAGTTGTCTAATTTTGAGGGTGATCGGACGGTGAGAAGGTCTTCGTCTCACCATGAGAGTTCTGACGGTCTGCATTTATCCAAAAGAGTCTTTTTGTTCCAATTTGTGCCTCTTTATCCCAAATTACCTGAAAAGTCTTTTAAAATCCGAAAACATAGAAATCCTTTGAAAACCTTTGGAAATAGAGTAAAAACACCTATAAAGGATATTAAAATGATCCATAAAAATGGTCAAAATCCGGTGTTATCACTCTCGAGAGGCACATAGTGACTTTCCGCATATATGATAGAACGATGGATTGATACAGGCATGAAGAGACGTTTGACAAGTTTTCGATCAAGCCTTCTCAGGGAACCATACGTAAGACTTCTGCATCATGGTCTCAGAATCAAAATCAGAATAGATTATAAAGTTTCTGATTTATTCTGTCATCCTATCTTTAACATTTATTAACTAATTGTTATACTTTATATCCTCTAATTTTTGCTATATAATAACAATAAGTGTGTTAAGAAAAACAACCAATATAACCAACATTGTGACATTTGTTTTTACGGTAAATCAAATATATTAATATCAAAACGAGTTTATAACATACATAAATATTCTTAATATAACCGTTAACGTAAATAAAAAAACTAAAACAATTTTGATGAAAGTGTATATAGTAATCATGCTATTTTTCCGGAATTAGTTTCTAGGCTAACAGATAAAATCTGTTTTGTTCCTCCTTCATACATTTTTTGTTGACTATTATTTTGCTGATAAAATTCCAAAATGCATTTTGCATTACTCTTACTAATAAAATAAATGTAAATGTAACCAACATTGTGACATATTTATCATAAATGATATTTGTTTAGGCTAAATAACATCACCTAACTGAAATGGATTTCTTATCACATGTAGTAAATTTAGTCGAAGCTTTTAACTTCATCAGAAAACTTATTTTGTAAAAGTTTTACTTTGCTGATTAGTTGAAAAACAAGTCAGAAAACTTATTTCAAAATATGAAGAGCTGAAGAGCATGGCTTAATGAATCTTATTATAAAATTCAAATTTATCACTTCGTTAACTTGTAAAATTTTTCATTAATCTTGTTGTCATTTTGAATCATGAAGTCCTCAAATTTTGGCATAAATCATATCTAAGTTTTGTTTGATTACAGTTCGAAGATGTCATCTCTTCAATATCCGTCTAATATCTGCTCTTTTTATTTTATCCTAGATATGTCATACTTAATTTCCTTCTTTGCATGATTAATAATTCACTAGATTTCTATTCATTATTTTGCTTGTGACATGTCAAATAAATATCACATGGTTCCTTCTTTGGGAGAGGATGAGCTTTCCCAACTTTGAGCGTATCTGGAAGGTCACGGCACCGGAGAGAGTTACTCTTTCTATGGCTAGTTGGAAATCAGAGTATTATGACGAATGTTGAAAGGAATCGACGACACTTTTGTGCTACTTCATTATGTCAAGTTTGTAAGGGAGGAGAAGAAACCGTGTTACATGTCCTTCGGGACTGTCCTGCTATGTCTGGAATTTGGGAATGTATTGTGCTAAGACGAGCGCTAGGATCTTTTTTCTCGAGCTCTTTACTAGAATGGTTATACGGAAATTTAGGAGTAAAGATGGTGGTTGCGGAGAGCGAATGGTCTACTATGTTCGCGATGGCATGTTGGTGGGGGTGGAAATGGCGGTGTGGCAACGTCTTTGGGTCTAACGGAAGATGTCGAGATCGTGTACGGTTCATTAAGGAAGCCGCAAAGGAAGTGATCGTGGCACATACCAAGCTGAGCTCGACCGGGACTACGGTGGCAAGAGTGGACCGGCTGATTCGCTGGATAGTTCCGAGCGAGAGTTGGCTGAAACTTAACACTGATGGTGCATCGCGTGGTAATCCCGGTGTTGCAACAGCAGGAGGAGTTCTTAGAGATGAACACGGGAATTGGAGAGGAGGTTTTGCGGTGAATATTGGCGCATGTTCGGCTCCGTTAGCGGAGCTATGGGGAGTCTATTATGGCCTCTACATCGCATGGGAGTGTAGAGCTACGCGAGTTGAGCTCGAGGTGGACTCGCAAATTGTGGTTGGTTTTCTTCAGACAGGGATTAGTGAAGTGCATCCACTGTCTTCCCTAGTACGTTTGTGCTATGGCTTACTCTCGAGGGATTGGATAGTTCGCATTTCTCATGTGTATAGGGAGGCTAACCGTCTTGCAGATGGGTTAGCGAACTATGCGTTTACTTTACCGCTTGGTTTTCATGTCTTTGATGTATGTCTCGAGGATCTTAGGACTTTGTTAATTGAAGATGTGAATGGGTATTCTATACCCAGAAATGTCCGAATGTAATTTTTTTAATTAATATTTTAATAAATTTAGGAGACAATTGTCCCCTTTCATTCACCAAAAAAAAAAACTTTGGGGGATTGGTCAATGAAGCTTTAATGCTATTAGTGGTCGACATACTCTAACGCAAATGTGTTGCATGAACAAAATTCCATTTGTTTTTTTTTTTTTTTTTTGCGAAAACGAATTTCATTAGTTTCTAATAACAAATATTATAAGCATCATAATTCATAAAGCACACAGATAAAGACGGCTAAATCCAAGCTCAATGTTTATTATATCGAATCATGACATAAATTTCTCGCGAATAGTAGTTCTTGCAAAACAACATTTTCTGCCAAACATAAATCCGATACTCATACTTGTCTCCATTTGGCATTACGTTATAAGCAAACATCAATATTAATTCTTTATAAAAACAAGTCATTATGAGATGTAGTCACTGAAGATTGAACTTCTGTTTAGCAAACTCGACGAACTCGGCAACGGTAGGCATGTAAGGTTTCACGGCTTCATGTGCTCTGAATATCTCGGCCCATTGGACCAGGCCCGGTGTTGTATCTGGACTCAAAAACTTCACACCTGAAAACGCCTCGATAACAGAGAGTGGGCCCACTATGACCCCACATGCAATATCGAGAAACCCAATGTTTTCTCCTCCGAAAAAGCCTCCGTCTTTGCTGCTCTTCTGAAACGCATCCTCCAACGCCGCAAGATTCTCCATCAGATTCCTCGCCGCCGCTATCTTCTCAGTGTCATCTTTCGCTCTAACCACCGCATCGATCGATTCAAAGCACTGTACACATGTTCAAAACATATAACACATTCTTGTTAAAAAAAAAACATTTATAAAGAAACAGAGGTACTAGTTATAAAGTTGATTACTAAAATCATTTGTTACCTTTCCGTCGACGAAGTGAGCCCAGAAACGAGCAAAGGCACGATCTTTGGGTAGGGAAGGGAGGATGGAAGGTTTGGACGGCCAGGATTCGTCGACGTACTGAACGATGTTGAGAGACTCGCAGATTGATACATCACCATGGATAAGAACAGGGACTTTCTTGTGGATTGGGTTGGATTTAACAAGAAGGTCGCTCTTTGATTTCAGAACATCGGCTTCTTCTATGTACTCGTACTCTACGGATTTGAGGTGTAGAGCGATTCGAGCCCTCAAGGCGAACGGGCTTGACCATGTCCCGAGCAGCTTCACAGTAGTGTTCGAACCATTCTGAGCCATGTCGGTTTTTTTTCTTTTTTTAGTTTGAGTTGTGTCTGGAGAGATTAAGCTGTTTGTTTTCTTGTTTTTTATCATTTGACGAAGGATCGTTTGTCTGTTAAATCGATTCAGTTTTGGGTGAGTATTTATAAAGCCAAAAGTCGACTATACGTTAGTACTTTCTTGAGCTTCTTTTGTAGCTGGCACTTTGGCGGCTGAGTATGTTTTTCTTTTTGTTATTATAATTATTCAAAAATCATAAGGTATTCTTTTTAGATTTGATTGTTGACTTAAACAAGAAGAAAAAAAGAAAAGTTGATTCTCATTTTGAAAAGTATTAATAAAAGCTGAGTCGTCGGAAATTAAGGTGGTTTCAATTTGACCGGCACTGGACTACGAAAGTGTGTCACGATTGACTGTTGACTAGTTAGGATATTTAATTCCAATAATAGACGATCTTCCTAGGTTTATGACGAGGTTCAAATCTTTACTCCACCTTATTCAACTGTTACGACAATTATTTTCAAATGACTAGTTGTTTAAGGTTTCGAGCGTGCACGGTCTGTTGTGTCCAATATCTCTTTTTTTTTCTGTGGGAATACTAATTTTTGTTAGAATTAACTCAAGTCAATTAAGGAGCTCTTTGCAAGAGCATCTCCTATCAGATTGGCTTCTCTTGGAACAAAAGAAACGTAAATTTCTTCAAGTCGAAATTGATATACTAGGGATATCGGATATCGTGGAGAATCTCGTTAGTCTAAAAATTTAATCAAATTATTGTTTTTTGCATTAGTATTTTTTTGGGGGGTAATTATTAGTATTTTTTTTTCTTAGACATACATGCACGCTACCAATCACAGTCAAATATCAAATAGCATCAATTGTTGTTGTTTGAGGAACATAAATGAAAAAATAATTGCAAGTCTAGCTAGGCTGACACCAAAATAATATTGAATAGTGAGTGAATAGAACACATAAAACTATTGAGTGGTGGGTTTAAATTTTATATTGTTTGCTTCTGTTATATTCGCCACCTTCCGCGGAATGAAGATACGTAGCGAGAACATGGACGTCTCTAATTGCCACTTTTTTCTCGTTTGTAAGTGTCTACATAATTATCCATATGATTTCATTTGCGATTAATTGGACGTTATTGATTTACGGATTTTAGTTGATTTTCAAATCTAAACAAAATCATGTGCATTTAGATTATTGATTTTTGATTAACACCTTTATAAGTCACACAAAAATAAATTAAAATTAAAAAATATAACATTAAGATGCTAACTTGTATATGCGGATTATTATTTAAAACTTATCAGATGACTTTTATCTTATTAAAGTCGCTAAGTAATTTTGATTATTTTCACTTTGGCATTTAGCATTTTGGCGAGCATGCGTCACGGAAATACAATTTACAAGGGTACGATGATTTTTAATGAACAGAAATATGTTTTCTAAAGCCGCAAAAACGATACATGAATATCTATGATTCATGTATCGTTTTTCTCTCTCTTTAATAAAGCAAACTCTCTTTATGTAATGGTTTCACACTTTCGCTATGCTAATAGCAACAGCATAGACGAAAAAAAAAATTAAGTTGGAAATATATAGTCAGTCAACTGCATCCCCCTCTAATAATTTTAATTTTCTTCAGTCCATTGATGTTTTATCTTATATAGAAAAGAAATGGATAGGCAAAGTTAGATTGATCTCAATATTTTTTCGTGAAACCCGCTAATTAATTTAAACTACATGCTTAATTTAATGGCATATTTGGAGCTTGGAGATCCATGTATTCCTACTTTTTTCCAAGTTGGATTTGGCTTTGAGGGAACTGTTGATATCTTTTTTTTTTTTGATCAAATGGGAACTGTTGATATATAGTCGCTACTCCTAACGTTTTTTTTAAAAGAAAAACTGCGACTATATGTTTAAGTAATTTAATGGACCGGTCTTGACCACATGAATAAGAAGCATTTGCATGTGGCTCCAAATTTTAGAAGTGTACTAGTACAAATATTAATTACAGATAATCTAGTTATAAGAGAAGAGATTTATCTTTTAAAATGTTCTACAATACTATGTCGGTTTCTGTCTCTCTCTTTTTCTTTTTGATGAGTTACATCCTTTATTCGTATTTATTGTAGAAAACTCGAAATACGGTTGTTAAACATATTTTTTTAATTATTATATAATCTGGTTTTTGGCTTTGTATATCTCGTATTGATGAAATATGGCGACGCATACGTGCTCATACTCCTATATTGTGGAGAATTAATTGATTTTGCAGCTTGAAGAAATCTTGTTATTCATCGGATACATTGACCGAAAAGTTGACTTTAATTACCGAAGAAATAACAGACACATTTATATGTGCCCATCATACTTTTAAGAAATTAGAAGAAGAAGAAGAAAAAAAACAAAAGAACATTTTGACTGTGCCTTTAAATGAACCGAGACTACATCTTATTCCTCCATCTCGGTTATTCCGAAACATATCTTATATGATAATTTGCACGTCGTCTATATTTTCTTATAAGTTTAAAGCCTTTGGTCTTCATTTAAAGATTGAAGTATTGAACTTTAGTCTAGCGAACTCAACGAGCTTTTCGATATCGGGCATGACAGGCTTGACTGCTTCATGAGCATAGAATCTGTCTGCCCAACGGAAAAGACCTGGTGTGTTCTCTGAATGTATGAACTTGACTCCGGTAAGTTGCTCAAGAACCTTGAGAGGACCCAACATCGATCCGAAACCGATATCGATGAATCCGATGTTGTCTCCTCCAAAGAAGCCTCTTCCTTTGCTGCATTCTTGAAACGTTTCTTCCAATAGAGCCATACACTGCTCTAGCTTCCCTATCGCTGCCTTTCTCTCCTCCTCGTCCTTTGCTACCGCCACCCCATTGATTGATGTGAAACACTATATAAAAAGATCAGGAAACCTAAATTGATTAATTTCATGACTTGTGCAAGTTAATTACTTAAAATTTCTAACTATTGAGACAATTGACAGTTTAGTGTTTGAAAAAACAATTAAAAATACATGCCAGCAATCAAAAGTAAAGTTAGTGTTTGCAACCGAAAAGAAAAAAAAATCAGAATTCTCAAAACTAATTATCAATGTAGAATATTTTTTTAACACCATTTTTTCAAATGAAACCTCCTATCGTTTCATCCCAAAATACAAATAAAAAAAATCAATAAAAGTGTGTTTATTGGGTATGCAAGTTATGGAATCGCATGTAGTTTTTCGTTTTAATTTTTTTTTCTAAAAAGGGGTGGTAAGACCAAAAAAAAGTGCCCCATGGATTCATGACGTACGTTGTCCAATCGCATATAGTTTTTATAAGAAAAGAGTGTTAAAAAAGAGAGAGAGAGAGAGAGAGAGAGAGAGAGAGAGAGAGAGAGAGAGAGAGAGAGAGAGAGAGAGAGAGAGAGAGAGAGAGAGAGAGAGAGAGAGAGAGAGAGAGAGAGAGAGAGAGAGAGAGAGAGAGAGAGAGAGAGAGAGAGAGAGAGAGAGAGAGAGAGAGAGAGAGAGATTACTCCATGGATTCATGACTTACGTGTTCATCGATGTAGACGTCCCAAAAGCGAGCAACGGCACGATCAAAAGGATCAGAGGGAAGGATGGGAGGACCAGAGAGCCAAGTTTCATCGACGTACATGACGATGTTGAGAGATTCACGAATCGGTTTATTGCCGTGGATGAGGATAGGGATCTGTTTGTGGACAGGGTTGTAGTTTAACACGCTCTCCGAATTCAAAGTATCTTCTTCTTCTAGATACTCGTACGGTACGCGCTTTAGGTTAAGTGCGATCCGAGTCCTCAGCACGAAAGGGCTAGGCCATGCTCCTAATAGCCTTACGTACTCATCATTGTTCGAACCATTCATTAGACCCATTATTATATTTTGGGCAGGTTTAGACCTAAAAGGGAAAGTTATACTTTTGGTTACTGAAAAAACGAGAGATTGATCAAACTCGCAGCTGTTTATATTTTGTGAGATAGGAAATTGAACAACTGTGGTTTGATGAGGTTTGGTCTCTGCGTTTGGTTTCTATTTATATGGACGAGATCATTTTGATTTTCTTTTCTTAGATTTCGGCACGCATGTCGGTCAAATAAAGTTTCGGTTTGTGCATGTGCCTCATAACTATAAATTATACATAAGACAATAAAGATTCAAAAGAAATACTAAAAAATTGGATATTTATTGGGTCGGTAGGATATTCAAAGGACAAGAAAGTCCACGAAAGTGTGATGAGTCCGGTTTAGTTGCCTGATCTGTACCGTTATTAATCAGTAGGACCTACAGTAGTTGCAAATCGATGATTTTATAATCAGAAAAATCATAGTTATTCATGTATTCTCAAATGCAACAAATTTCATTAGCTTTCTGCCAAAACTTATATTCCGTTAGTTGATATAAGATTTTAATAAACTTAAACAGGTGTATTAGCTGGTATCACTATCACCTCACGTTCATTCGTTTGTAATATTATGTTTGCATGTTTTGTTTTTGTTTGAGATAATATTTTTATAAATATATTTTTATTAATATACATACGTAATTAATTATAAGAATATAATAATTTATTTGATTGTTTGGTATTAGTTTTTTTTTTTTAAAAAAAATTATTAAATAAGTAACTTTTTTTGGATTAGAAGTAGGGTAAGTAGAACAATTATTTTACAATTTTAGAAATCAATATGATATGAGTAAAAAAAACATTAATAATAGCCAAATTTTTTTTTGGTTGAATTGTTTGAAAACATATAATTAAGATTTAGGCTCTGGTGAGTTTAGAAATAACCTGCTGAATAATGGAATTGTGTTTTCAAACACGATTTCACAGATTTTTTTACAATTTTTTTTCAAACCGACTTAACATATTTCTTGAGCAAATTCCAAAATCATAAAATCAAATTTTTGTTTTCTTTTTAGTAAAATTGAATTTTTCTAGCAGAACATCGAGACTAAAAAATTGAAAACAATGTCTTTAAAACTTAAATTTATATAATTTTTCAGATGAAAAAGTTGAAAAGACAAAGAAAATGAAAAGATATGATTGAAAATGTAGATGTTTTTTTTTTAAAAAAACCTGATACAATTTCTTAAATGAAATTTACACTTAATAAATTGAAAATTGGAATAAATGTCATTAAATTTATTTTTAAAATGGCAACAGGCCTCTGAAATGCTGGTATGGCAAGCTGTGATATATATATATATATATATATATATATATATATATATATATATATATGGTTTCTGCGAAATAATCAAAACGTTCCATCATCATAATTTTTCATTATTCCAATAATTGATGGACCACTAATCTATTCTAAAAGAAAGTTACATATAAAGATACAACTGAAATCTTTTTTTATTTGAACACCTGTATTTTTTTTAGATCACCACAGCTGTTTGTGGATAATTGGAGTAGGCACAAAGAGATTTCCGACAAAGAAACTAACATATTTATTGGAAATCAAACAAACCAGTTTTGAAGAACATTTTCAAAAACTTAGCGATCGAGCCTTCATCTTAATGTTATTAGATTCTTTGGTTACAAACTCTATCGGATGTGAGATCGGAGTCTATGATATACGATAGGATGGCTATAATAAATTTAATTTATATAGTACATTAGACATTAGCACATCTATATAATGTCGAATTAGTACATATATTAAGTATAGTTTGTATATAGGACATTAGAAATTAGTGTTAGTTCATGTGTTAAATTTAGTTTATATAGTGTACATTAGACATGCGTACATATACTATTTAATAAAACACACACTCGATCACTTGTTCGGTTCGTATATAATAACCACGACTGAGTCAAAAGGATATATTTGCACGTCTTACTTGAACGTTTGACAGCATTAATGATACATTCTTAAGTACACATAAATTATTACTTTTCAATGGTAAATATTGACTACCAAATTAAATGTTTAAGTACACAGAAATTATTACTTTTCAATGATAAATATTGACTACCAAATTAAATGTATCATATGGATATGTCTTCATTTGACTATTTGAAGCACCAAAATGTCAGTCTTTACTGTGAAATTAAGTCGAAAAATTCATGTTTTCCATTTCAAATTTCAATGCGTATATCTATTAGCAGTCAAGCGCAAATCATTACACATCTGTAATGTTCCACGTCTTAAGTTGAGTTTGGACCGTAACCTAAGGGTGCTTTTTGGAAATTTCATTGGTTGTCATTTTGCTTTCTGTAAAATCAAGACTTGTACGTCAAGCTTCGTCGAGAAACGACAACAAATAAGAATAAATTATGCTCAGATTCAAATCATAGTTAGCTTTCACAATTCCAAAATGATTGACCCAAAATATATACTTTATGGCCAAAATTAATCTGTTTAAAATACGTATGAGATTTACGTAATGTGAATATAATGACAATTTTTTATATTCTAATTGAAATCAAATTAATGTTTTTTTGTAAATTATTATTATTTTCTTTTTGACTGTGTTTTAAAATGTCATTCGTATTCGTATCAATTTTTAAATAGATGTGTAATCCATAAAGTCGTAGGTGTAATTTCGGAGTTGTTACGAAATTTACTATTCATTTGAAGGGTAATTATATAGTTAATTAATTGAGTGTTTGACGGAATGAATGAGTTTGAATTTTCTTGGTCTATAGTGTACATTATATAATAAAAACAAAAAAGAAGCAGATACATCGGTTATACTTATGCTTCACAAACAATACTATCAGTGAACTATATAAGATTATCTGGACAAACATCACACTAGTGTTCCAGACATTCTTACAGTTGTTGATTGAGCGCATATTTATTTAGTCTCCGAGATCACGAGCTCAAAATTTTAGAGGGACATCCAAAAAATCCTTCTCTTATTAGCTATGAGTGATTGGTCTACTGTTTCCATATCTAAAACATGGTTTTACTATGTGTTATACAATTCACGAGTTTCACTTTTTAATGGTTTAAATTCTTCGGAAAACGATTAATCAGGTTGTATACTTCAAATATACTTTTAGAAGATTGTGTTTTCTTCTCGTTTAAAATTTCACTGTTAGTGTATGATGTCTCAATTGCAGCATTATACTGAAACTAATGTTAAACTAAATTAAACAATAAAGAAATGTTAAAATTACACATCAATTTAGAGTAAAAAATGTTTTAATTGAAATTGGTAAAGTTGAACTTTTCAAAAAAAAAATTCCCGCTGTGTTGTGTCTAACACATATCAAAATATAGAATCCGTGTTTTCTGAGGTATCATGTTTTAAAATTTGGATAAATTTGCGTAATAAAGAAAAATGAAGGTCAACGATGTATAGTGACTCAAGAGGTCCTTGTGTGTGGTGTCGACCTCTGATATATCTTCGTCGTGTATGGCCACAACAAGCCTACAAGGAACTAGAGTTTGACTTAGCATTTTACCTAAAAAGAATTTTGACCTAGTATTTAACGAACGGGCCCAAACGACAAATTTTCCAATGGCTCAGTGGCCCTTTGCTTCGGCTGTCATAGTTATACTAATATATGTACGTCTCGTTTTTTTGACAAAATCAAATAAGGTCCAAAGGACATGGTATTTCATTACAAATACTACATATATAGTGGCAGAATTTTACACGATTATTTGAGGGAAGAACATCAATATGTATGATGAAAAAAAATGTCAATATGTATGATGAAGAAGAACGTCAATATGTATGGATCCATTGGACCTTTAACGTGGTGTGGTATTGACAAGTCTAGGAATGTCGACCAATATTACATCACAAATCTTAATGATTTGTGTGCAATGTTTGATAAAATGATGGTGAACTCTAAATTTTTTTACCAAGCGCTTAATCTCTCATACCGTCTCATTGTCGGTCTCTAGAGATTTGAGATATGCAGCTGCAATAAACGTTTCATATTTGGTTTTCTATGACACATATTAAGAAATGTCTCACATCCTCTTTATAAAAAATGTCTCACATCCTATTCCACGACATAGATATATTGTTTTGAAATTACAAAATTTTGATTTCACGTACCACTTTTATCCTATGGGGAGTATTAATTTTATTTTTGTAGAATATGGTTTAACATTATAATTAATCAATAAATGGCATTGGTGAATATCAAAATAGATATTATCTAATTTTGCACGACCAGTGATTTTGATAGAAAATTTTATATGCATTTTCACCATTTTTCTGAATAACATAAAAAATCTTTTCTCATATTCTAATTAATCAAAGTATTGATAATAAATCAAAATAAAAACATCTGCCAAACTATTACTAGCAATCGAAAGTCACACAAAATATCCTATAAGCAATTCAACAGTTCGGAGACTAGTAAATCAAAATCTTTGCAAGCCTCCCACTGGCGAAACAAAGAGTACCTAAGGGAAAGGGGGGGGGAGGGTAATCAAAAGGCATGCAGACTGAACCCTCGCACCGTAACGTCTTTCTTGGACCATCGCACTAAGCCTTTAGCACAAACTTCCTTTAATTGATGGCCTCCACATAATCGTCTCAAATGTTTTCAGAGACATACGACTCATCTTTCTTCTTTTTGGCAAGGATAAAAAGATTCTTCTGGACCGACTTCAAGAAAAGAATGAAAATGCTAAGTCAGCTCGTGCAACAGGTGCCGTAGCTCCACCATCTCGCCTGGCTATGAGGACCGTCTCGTTGGCCAGCTCTGCGCCTCGGATGAGAATTGTCAAAGGAACTCCTCTCTGCTCCTAGTGTGAGTGCTTGAAGGATACAATGATATTTCCAAGTTGATCCAATTCTATCCGGATACCGGCTAGTTGCAAAAGAATGGCAACCGACGCATATGCATCTGAGATAATAACAGACCAAATATAAACCAGTTTCTATTTAGAATTGTGGTGTAAAATTAATGGAACAAATTTATGAAGTTTATAAAGCTACCGTGTACTTGTTGGTGCTGTATACCGTATACCGTATACCGTATACTTGTTGGTGTGTGTGAGAGTCCATGATTTTTCACTATTCATTTGTTAATGGGCTTTATAATTTTTGACATTTGTATATCCTAAAAACGAAAATAAACGAAGTTGCTGGCTTGCAGCTTGAAGATTCTAACATATTTCTATGAAAGAAATAATATTTTTTCAAAATCTGTATATACGAGAGATGCAAAATTATATTAAAAAAATTAGTTTAACATTTATTTTTTCAATAGGGTCTCTAGAGATCTTTTCATTGTGTATTATTATTTATTTATTTATTTATTTTTATCTTTTTTTCCTGTCATTATTATTATGTCCATGAAACGTTTTGTTTGGCCTGTATAAATTAAATTCGCGTTAAAAATGAGTTTTTCTTCTCTTTAATTAGTGTGTATTTATGTTATTGGAGCTATATCAATTATTATAAAAAAATTGAATATTTACGAATTTATTTGTTTCAAATAATACTGTATATTCTAGCGCATTCTCTTCTGATTAAAAAAAAAAAAGCATATGCCAATCAGTTTGGATATAGATAAACTTATCCATGAGAATATACCATTAGAATATACAATACATTATCAGATCTTGGTAGAGAATCAAACACTATAAAAACAGACTCGAAGCTGTTCTTACTTTTAGTTGTTTCACATAGAAAAATGGAAAGAACGCTAGTCTTCCTCTCTGTTTTAATCGGTCTAATCAGTCTCTCCTTCTCTCCAGTTTCCGCCTACGTTTACCACAGAAGGCCACTCCGGTTTAATCCTGATGGTCGGTTTAAGATACTGCAAGTGTCAGATATGCACTATGGTTTTGGCAAAGAGACGCCATGCACAGACGTATTACTAGAAGAAAGGCCCTACTGCTCCGATCTCAACACCACCTCCTTCTTACAACGGACTATCGCCTCAGAGAAACCCGATCTCATCGTCTTCTCCGGTACAAATTCACAACAACAACATAAAAAAAAAAACATAAATCTAGATTGTATAAATAATAATTTCTATTTTATATAAAAATAGAAACATTAACATTTTTCTTAATATCCGTGAAACATAAATGATCATTTTGTTGTGTTTTCTTAAACACATGCATGCAGGAGACAACGTATTTGGACTTTGCGAGACAAGTGACGTGGCAAAAACGATGAAAATGGCATTTGCTCCGGCGATCGAATCGGGGATTCCATGGGTGGCCATTTTAGGGAATCACGACCAAGAAGGCGACATGACACGAGAAACATTGATGAAGTACATCTCGAAAATGCCAAACTCGTTGTCTCAAGTAAACCCTCCCGATGCTTGGGTACACAAAATCGATGGTTTCGGGAATTACAATCTAATAGTTGAGGGTCCTTTTGGATCGCCTCTCTTCTTCAAATCTATTCTCAATCTCTATCTACTCGATGGTGGAGATTACGTCAAACTCGATGGGTTTTCTTTTAAATATGATTATGTCAAAACCTCTCAACAGAACTGGTATGAACACACTTCTAAATGGCTCGAGGTAATGATCACAATAATCTTTACTTCAAATCGTTATATTTACCGAGTAATGATTTGAGATTTGTAGATTGTAGTCCATGCTCTTATTCAATGTGATAATCTAACAGGAAATAACATTTTTCTAATTTAAATGTTATTTTTTACGCCATTTGCTATAGTACTGTTTTAATTTTTATAATTAAATAAAAATAAAAATAATTTCTAGAAAGTTTAAAAACTTGATTAAAAAACAAATCTTTACGGTTACGGTTGTTGCGATAAATATTTTGTTTTTGCTTTGTGTAAAAGACGTGATACATATTTTGTTCCAAAGTTGTTAATATCTTATCTTGTTCGTGATTTTTTTCGTTTTTATATTGAAAATAAGATCCCGAATTATCCTTCACAATAAATCGTTTATATTACTATATAAAAATACATCATTATTAGAAAAAAAAATTATTAGATTTGAAATTGAAGAATTTCGTCATGGTAATTTGTGATGATTTTGTTTTTGATTTTGATAAAAATTGCTATTTCTTTTTATTAATTTTTTTTCTTAAATTTATGATTCAAAATACAACAGATGCAATACAAGAGATGGCCATTTCCACAGAATAGTAGTGCACCGGGATTGGTTTTCCTCCACATTCCGATGCCGGAATTTGCACAGTTCACCAAACCGACGGAGATGACTGGAGTGAGACAAGAACCTACATGTTCTCCACCAATTAACTCTGGTTTCTTCACAAAACTTGTCGAACGAGGTGATGTCAAAGCTGTTTTTAGCGGTCACGACCACATCAACGACTTCTGTGCCCAAATCAATGGAATCAACCTTTGCTACGCAGGCGGTGCCGGGTACCAAAAATATCACGACTTATATATAACTTGTGGTACAAGCACTCTTACTCGTCTACTTTTATTAATTAAAATTACTTGTGACACACTTTAGGTATCATGGGTATGGAATGCCTGGGTGGGCAAGGAGAGTAAGAGTCGTCGAAGCTCAGCTTGAGAAGACTATTTATGGACGTTGGGGAGCCGTTGATACCATTAAAACGTGGAAACGGCTCGATGATCGGAATCATTCTTTGATTGATACTCAACTTCTTTGGTCCAAGAACATGAGTAAGTTATATCTTTTTTTAACCCATTCAAAATTTTCGACTAAAAACTATCTAACTGTACTATATTATTTCGAGTTGATGATGATATCTGATCTTAGTTTTTGTGTTTTTGTTTTGTTGCAGAGGCTGAGTTAAATTATCATTTTACTTGCAGTATGATAAAACAGCACTGATCATAATTACGCCGGAGTTCTTGTAGGGATTATATGTTTTTTTTCTCATTATGATTTTATTTATTGGTGATTACTATTTAATTATTTATTATTTTATTCAGAATAAGACTGAAGAAAAAAAACAATTCGATTTACTTTCTCAATAATCTATCATTTGATTCAAATCAGATCTCCAAGAATTTCTTACAAAGTAAGAACATAAATGGAAACGGTCATGCTTTATTAACGGAGCATTTACTCTCCCGAATATATATATATATATTTGCATCCTTGGTTTACTGATCTTCTTCGTTTTATCTGTGAATCACAGAAAACACTCTTTAATCTAGTGATAATTTTAAAATTTCACAGCGACATGTACACAATTTATCTAACATTTTCGTTTTCATGAATAATTACCAACATCTGAAACCCATAATGGAAGAGTAGTAACAATAAGTTTTAAGTCAACGGGTTTGGTCCAAAATAGTTCCCATAACTCTGGAAGAATGAAGCTGCCGCCCAGAACAACCGTATCAACAGAATCACAGTAAACACGGTTCCTCCAAGATTGCATATTACCTACAACAAAAATTTAGCAACACGTCCATGAAAAATTGAACACATAACTAATTAAAGTCAGCTTGCCTAAATTCACAAACTTATTATTATTACTACAATTATCACCACAAAACTAAAAAATATCATTCCTTCTATTGTGTATATTCTCTAATCTTTCAACATTTCATTCTATTTAGAAAGCTTACACAATCTTATCCTGTGAGCTAACACAATCTTTGTAACTCTCTGATCAACTAGTGATCATACAATACAGAATCTAACCATTTACACAATAAGGGTAAAGCAAAAAAATGGTAAAAACATACCTCAAGAAACGCTCTTGTTATGGAAAGTGACCCCAATAGCAATATCCCATCTACTGCAAAAGACACCTGCAAAAGTATTTTAGGGTTACAAATAAAACAGAGGACAAAAGACACGAAGCATCTAACAATGTCGTAAAACACAGACGATTACAAGCTACAAAAGTGGAATTTGTGGAATCGAGAAATCCCACTAATTGAATAGCTTTAATGGAGAAGGAGACTCACGAGTCGAGGAGACATGGCGGCTGGCAAAATCCGGCGTGAGGCCTTTTTAGCTCGTTTCGAGACCTTCTTGAACATGCTTCTTAAGAATCTGATTAGAAGATCGATGCTGCTTTCCCTCTCATCTTCCTCGTCGTCATCGTCATCATCATCGTACTCGTAACCGCCGAATAATCGATCGTCAGATTCGTATCGCCTACGCGACTAAAGAGTAAAGAGATTGAAACAATTTCTGATTCATTATCTCATCAATTTCGGTATTCACTAGACGTACCTGAGAGCTCCGGTACGAAGCGGATGGGCGTTTCAGGCGGCGGATTCGACGGCGGAGAAAAATAGAGTCGATAGAGAAAGGTGTTGCAGAGACAATTCTGTGTGAGGCGTTGATGAAATGTGGCGACGAAGACGATGATGATAAGGTTGCAGCTGCAGCCATTAGCGAGGAAACACAGAAGAAGAAGGAACAATCCAGCGAGTGGGAGAGATTGTAGATAGAAATGGACAATTTTGTAAAATAATATAAATGTGGGATACATTTATAAACATACATAAATGTAAGGTACCGTTTTGTAATTTTAGCTCTTCATTTTTTTTTGTCGCGCAGAATGTGACGAAATTGCTCGCCGTTTCAAAATATCTATTACTAAAACAGAAAGCTTTCGACCTTCGTAAAACCCTACCGCCGCGACCACCGACACCGAGAGTGTTCGCCGCCGTTAAACCACCTTTGCGAGATTTTTTCTCCGTAGTGACTTTAATGAGTAGGTGAATGCTTTTTTGGAAGCTCAGATTCCTGAATAGGTAATTTCTATATTTCAATTTTTTTAGATAATTCGATGTTTACCTTAAAGCTCTCTTGTTCATGCAAACGAAAATTCTGGGATGCTTCGTATTTTAGGGACATTACTGCTTCTCTTCAAGTTAAAAATCCATGAAATTTGATGAAAGTCATGTACTTTGATGAGCCCTTGTATGGTTTTCGTTGTTTGAATTCGGCTTTTAGTGATTGCTTTGTTCTGCAATTCTTTATGTGTAGGAGACGATAAGAAAACTGATGATAACCAATGTCAATGAGATGGATTTGTCAGATGCAGTGATTGTGAAATCCGGGAAATTGAAATCAGCAGTGTGGAATGATTTCGATAGGGTGAGAAAAGGAGAGACTTACGTTGCAATCTGCAGGCACTGTAAGAAGAGGCTTAGCGGATCGAGCGCGAGCGGGACTTCTCATTTGAGGAACCATTTGATTAGATGCAGGAGGAAGACGACGAGTAGTAACGGTGTCGTTTCGCAGTGTTTCGTTAGGGGAAAGAAGAAGAAAGAAGAAAGACTTGAGGAGGTAGCTAATGTAGTAGATGATGATGATCATGAGCAGAGAAAAGATGAATTGGTTACTGGACATGATGCTTCCGTGACGGTTGTGAGTGCTGGTTTGGATCAGAGGAGGAGCCGGTTTGATCTAGCCCGGATGATGATCTTGCATGGTTATCCGTTAACCATGGTCGAAGACGTTGGATTCAGAGTGTTCATTAGAAATTTACAGCCTTTGTTTGAGCTTGTCTCGTTTGAGAGAGTTGAGTCTGATTGTATGGAGATATACGCGAAAGAGAAGCACAAGATCTTCGAGGACTTGGACAAGTTACCTGGAAAGATAAGTATCAGTGTCGATGTGTGGAGTGGTTCAGATGATTCTGACCAGTTTTTGTGTCTAGCAGCGCATTATATCGATGAAACATGGGAGCTGAGAAAGAGAGTTCTAAACTTCTTCATGGTTGATCCGTCTCATAATGATGAAATGCTCGCTGAAGTTATAATAACTTGTTTGATGGAGTGGGATATTGACCGGAAGCTGTTTTCCATGGCGTCGAGTCATTCTCCTCCGTTTGGTGAGAACGTAGCTAACAAAATCAGAGACCGGTTATCGCAGAACAAGTTCCTTTATTGTAATGGACAACTGTTTGATGTAAGCTGTGGAGTTTATGTCATTAATCAGATGGCACAAGATTCTTTGCAAACTTGTTGTGAGACGATAGATAAGATTCGAAACTGTATTCGGTATGTGAAAAGCTCGGAATCTATTCAGGAGAGTTTCAATCAATGGAGAGCTGAAGCGGGAGCTGAAAGTGAAAAGGACCTATGTATCGACGACTCAACACGATGGGACACTACATGTAGCATGCTGGAGATTGTGTTAGAGCAAAAGAACGTGTTCTTGCTCATGAAAGAACGCGATCCTGATTCTTGTCTACCATGTCCATCTGATTTGGAATGGGAGAGGTTAGAAACAATTGTTGGGTTCTTGAAAGTGTTTGTTGAAGTGGCAAATGCATTCACAAAGAGCAGTTGCTTAACCGCAAACATCTACTTCCCGGAGATATGCGACATACACCTCCGGTTAATCGAATGGAGCAAGAACACTGATGATTTCATCAGCTCTGTAGCTGTGAACATGAGGAAGCTATTCGACGAGTTCTGGGATAAAAACAACCTGGTTCTAGCCATTGCTACCATATTAGACCCGAGGTTTAAAATGAAGCTGGTGGAATATTATTACCCTCTGTTTTATGATTCTAGTGCTTCAGAGCTCATCGAAGATATTTCAGAGTGCATCAAAGCGCTTTACAACGAACATTCCGTAAGATCATTGTTAGCTTCATCAGACCAAGCCCTTGACTGGCAAGAGAACCATCATCAGCCAAACGGTGTTGTCCATGGGATAGAGCCTGACAATAGACTCATAGAATTCGACAGGTACATTCACGACACTACAACTACTACACAAGGTCAAGACTCTAGGTCAGATCTTGACAAGTATCTAGAGGAGCCGCTTTTTCCCCGGAATACAGATTTCGACATTCTCAACTGGTGGAAAGTTCACACGCCGAGGTATCCGATTCTGTCTACGATGGCACGTAATGTTTTAGCGGTTCCAATGTCGAATGTATCATCAGAAGAAGACGCCTTTAAGAGTTGTCCAAGGAGACAGATTAGTGAAACCTGGTGGTCGCTTAGACCGAGTACTGTGCAGGCCTTGATGTGTGCACAAGATTGGATTCGCAGCGAACTGGAAAGCTCTTGAATCTCTGGATTCATCTTTGTTTTTGATCTGAGTTTTTTTTTGTTTAGATCTCAGCTTCTCCAGCTTGTTTGTCTATTATCTGTACCTCTCCTACTTAGGCGTTTGCTATGTAACAGAAACATCTTTTCTATGTACAGAGTTGGCTTCAATGGGTAATAGAGTTGTTTCAGTTACTTGGACCAGAATCTTTTGTAACGCTCGTATCAGTTACACATTCTTAATTTAAAAATTCAATAAGACAACAAGACGATGAGGAGTATAACGAAGAGAAATTGAAATTACAGGAAAAAGGTTAAGAATAGAAGCAAATGAGAAAAATATAGCTAGTGTGTGGAATGTTTTTTTTTTTTCTTCTTCTTTTTTTCCGGTACTTACAAAAAATAATCTGGAGTCTTGCGTGTAGTTTCAGGTTCGATTTGACGTGGCGCAGGATCGAACTGAAGGAAATTCTGGTCCATGTTCTCGTCGATCTCAAGAATCGCAGCCATGTTGCCGCATCGGTAGCAATAGTTTGGGGCACTAAAGACAGTCACAACGTTCTTTTCTTGGCACCAATTATAACCTTCCATGACAAGTTGGTGTGCTCTTGAAATCAGAGTGAGTCCATTGGTGTGGTTAAACTGAGTAGCAATGTCTTGTCCGAAAGTGTAGCCTGCACCACGTGGAGATATCCCCCAACCGCATCGGTCATCTGGATCGGACCACAAGAGATCACACATTGGTCCTTCATGTGGAACCTAGAGGCGAGCGCAGCAACAACAACAACAAAGATTTTTTAGTTTTGTTATGTAACATACAGAGTAGCATGCAGCTTTTGTAGGTTTGGTTTCTGCATTGGATTTTGGAGCTCACCTCTTGAATTCGATCTAAAGATCGGATATTGTCAAGTGTATCTAAAGAAGGTGAAAGTCCTCCATGTAAACAGAATACCTACAGAAAAGAAGTTTTATATAGTTAAGTCAAAAATGGTTGAAGTTAATAAGAGACTGATAAGGTATTTGAAAAGCTCATTAGTTTTATACCTGACTTTCGATGAGAGCTGTAAGGGGAAGGTAATCAAAAAGGTCGGTGAAGTGCTTCCAGACATTAGCATTTCCATATTTCCTCAAGCATTCATCATAAAATCCATACCTGAAAAGGGTTGATGCAAGAAAAAAAAATTTAGCTTCTAAACAAGAATTTGCAATAAGTGTCGCCTGATATAAGCTGGCCCTTGATGAGGATGAAACTTTGAAACAGATAAAAAGCTCTGCTTTCTTTATTATCATAGAGGCTGAGATCACAAAAACTTACACTTGAGTAATTTGCCGGCTTTCGTGATTCCCTCTTAGGATCGTAAGTCTATCTCTATAGCGAACTTTCAGAGCTACCAAGAGCGAGACTGTCTCCACAGAATAATACCCTCGATCTTCACAAGTTAAAAAAGATCATGTTAGTTAGCTAGCTGAGAAACCCAACAAGCATAAGGAGCCATAAAAACTAGCACTTAACAGAGAACAAAGAAACACAAATCAATCTCAGTACAAAAATCGAACAAAAAGAAGCTACTCGAACATGGAGCTTCTCAAATTACATAGAATGTTTATATCCCAAAACGTCAGGTTACTTCACTCTAGTAGGTGGAGTTAGTATGTATCACAAAGAACAGCTAAAGCAAAAAACAACAATCAAAAGCAACAATCCAAAAGTCTACCAAAAGCAACAATCTTCAAAACGTTTGTATACACACGAACAAACCAAAAGAAACAATCTACCGTGTATGGTAAATCACTCCCACATAATCTAACATCAGCCCAAAAAAAGTCAAACAAAAAGCAATCCAAATAGGGCAAAAAATCAATTCCAGGGATCAAGAGATCTGCAAAAAGATGAAAAAAGAGAACGGACCTACATAATCGCCCATGAAAAGATAATTAGTGTCAGGCGCAGAACCACCGATCCGAAAAAGCTCAATGAGATCGTAAAATTGGCCGTGAATATCGCCGCAGACGGTGACCGGACACTTCACCGGCTGAACATTCCACTCCTCCACCAGAATCGCCCTCGCTTGCTCACACAGCGTCTTCACCTCCGCCTCAGATAACGGCTTACACTCCATCAGCTGCTCGATCTGACGATCGATGTCTCCGGTCTCCGGCATCTTCTCCACCGTCCGATCCCCACAGAAAACGGAGATCTACAAAACTGATGACCCGGATTCTCTTAATCTTGGATCCTTGGATTCGACCTATCTACCATCACTCAAAAGCTTTGATTTTCCATGAATTTGGTCCGTGATTGAATAAATTACAGGAGGAAGAAGAAGATAGAATCAATAAAGAGAGAGCGAGATGCGAGGAAGAGGAAGAAGAAGAAGAAGAAGGAGAGCAAATGCGAATTTCGATTTCGTTGGAACTTTGCATTTGTTTTCTTGTCGCTGATGAATTTGTTACATAATTTTTTCTTTATTATTTTTAGTTTTTTTTTTGATAAATAAATCTCGTCGGGATTTAAAAATGCTGATAACTTTTTTATTTCCTCTCTCCGGCAGCCGCACCGGGTCAAAGTCCATTGTCGGGGGAGTGACACGTGGCATCATTGGCGCGAGATGCAACAAACTGCAGAGTGGGCTTAGAGGGTCACTCATATGGATTTCTTAAACTTAGCCCATTCGGCCCGATAAACTTGGCCCAATAAAATGAAAAGGAAATTTAATTTATCATATAATCTATAATGGTATTATTTTTATGAATAGTATTACTGTTTTCCTCTAAGTATTTTATTTTCCCTAGTTTAGTATCTAGTTCGACCTATACTTTCAAGATTCACACTAATGTCTATAATATTTTTTTAACACTAATTTATTATTTTATTAAAAATTTATAATAACTATTACATCGACAATTTTTTAATGGATAAATCTTCATGCATTACACTAAAAATTCATGTAAATTTTTCTTTATTAATCTGATAATTTATAATAAATAACATTTTTTGAGATTCGAAATCCAAATTTTATAGTGTAAAAATTTTAATAAACCCAATAACCAGTAGACTAAGGAAGTTTTCACAATAATTTACTAATTTTTTTGTTGCAGAATGTATAATCTTTTACTCGTAACACATTATTATTTTATGATTTTTACTTTATTAATTGGAAGTTAGGGTTTTAGATTTTGAGTGAGGATTTGGTTTTGTTAGCATGTGATAGTAAATTATGCTTCCACGTAAAAAGAACATGTTAGATAATAAAATAACATGTTACTAGAAAAACCACAGTTCTTATTACTGTTAAAGAATAAATTTTGTCTTACACATTAAATAACATAAAATTTGGAGCAATTATTCTTTCACTATATTTGATGTCTTTGTAATTAACTAATTATTAATACTAATTGTTTAATTAGATCATCTAGAGCGAGAGGTGCCGTCATATATATATATATATATATATATATAGTTTGAAACTTTGAATGCTCCATCTTTAGACTAGTCTTCAGTTACTTTTGATTCTCGACGACTGGAAGGAAAAAAACAGAGACCAAACAAAAGTAAATTGATTATTATGTCTCTGTTAAGTATGTCTAATGCGTTTGATATTAATTTAAATTAAAGATACTCAAACTCTTGCATTTTTAGACTTTAAAAAGATATCGATACGTTTTAACCTAAATTGAAAATAAACATGCATTATGTTGATGAGAGATACTTCTAGACCGTGTTATAACTGTAACTCATGATTCCGTAGAAGAAGACATTTACATATCTCAATTTTAAAATTTAATGTGGATGATTCAATGAGCTACTAATAGAAGATTTTATGGACTCCATAAACTCAACTACTCAAGATTGCTAGTGATATTACTACTTACTGTTTATTTGTAAATAATTGATTTCGATTATTCAGTTTTCAGTTTTCATCTAATAACTTTGATGAGATCGGTTTGCAAAATATTCTTTTCTCATGAAGCTTCTCATCTGGTATCTAGTTATATATTACGATAGATCAGAATATATATATGGCAAATATATCAATGAAATTCTAAAATGGTTTTAGTTTTATGCATGTATTAGCTGTCTCTTTATAAAAAATGTATTTAGCTGTCTTATAAATGCTCCTCGTTTTTCACATATATATATATATATATATATGCATGTATATATGTATATATGTATGTGTGATATTGTAATTGTAAATCAAGACAAGTGAAATTCATTTAGAAATGGATGGAAAAGAAATGAGAAAACAAAAAATAAAAGAGAGAGAGAGAGAGAGCGAAAGAGTAGTGGTGGAGTTAACCCCACAAAAGAACAAAAGAATAAAAGATGGGAAAAAGCATAACACAAAGAAGCAATGTGGTCTCCTTTATGTAGAAGAACCATTGCACACATTCTCCTTTCAAATTTCAGGCATTTGAAGCTCATTTTATTTTTAAAATGTATATGCCATTCCATTTATATATTATAAATATCTGATCTATCCCCAATCTTGGAAGACATCTCTTTTATTTTCCGCTTTGCAAGAATATATGCTCTCAGGATACATCAATAACAATGGATTCGACCTATTTTTTTTAATGATTAGATAAAAACTCTTTTAAAGTACAATTGTTCTTTAAAAATTCATTTTCTATGTTTTTTGTTAAAAATGTGATTAAAAAGGGGTTTTTGCTAAAAATAACCCAAAATTTGACTTTGAATACAAAAGTAGACCCCTGAAAAAACATTTAGCAGAAATAACCTAAAAGGGTAGTGAAAAGACCATTTAAACATGTATGAGTAAACAAAAAACGGACGTCCTAATTACCGTTTACACCCTGACGAAGTCTACTAAAGTGAAAAAGAAGTCTAATAGTAGAGTTCATTTTATCGAAATGAAGTCTACTAAATAATTAAATCTGTAAATTTAATTTTAATTTTTTTAAAAAATTATTTTGGTATCAAATTTACATTCATAAATTCCGTAATCGTAACCCAAATGTACATAAATTTTTTTTTTTTATATTGGTAAATGGAAATGTATGTTTTTAAATTAAGTAGAAGTAAATTTATTATTTAGGTTTTAAAAGTTGTAGACTTACTTAACCGAATAAATTAACCTAACCGAAATTTAAACCGAAATTAAACTGGGAATAACTTCCTTTAACCAAGAGAAACTAAACAAAACCGAATAAATATTTATCTTAACCAAAAAAATCAAAAATAATTATTTAACCAATACATAAACCAAAATTGAACCAACAATTCTGAACCAAAAATTATTCATTTAACCAAAATTTGTACCTCCCTATATAAAGGAAGCCCACGTTTGTAACCCTAATTTTGTAAAAATGAAAACTCAAACCTCTCTCTCTAAAACGGTGCTTCCCCTCTGTTTCAGATTCAACGAGAACATCGATTTTTTTAGATCTGCTTACGAACGAGCTGTTTCAGGTTAGAAATTGACATTCATAAATTCCGTAATCGTAACCCAAATGTACAGAAATTATTTTTTCATATTGGTAAATGGAAATGTATGTTTTTAAATTAAGTAGAAGTAAATTTATTATTTAGGTTTTAAAAATTGTAGACTTCTATATTGAAGTCTACTTAACCGAATAAATTAACCCAACCGAAATTTAAACCGAAATTAAACCGGGAATAACTTCCCTTAACCAAGAGAAACTAAACAAAACTGAATAAATATTTATCTTAACCAAAAAAATCAAAAATAATTATTTAACCAATACATAAACCAAAATTGAACCAACAATTCTGAACCAAAAATTATTCATTTAACCAAAATTTGTACCTCCCTATATAAAAGAAGCCCACGTTTGTAACCCTAATTTTGTAAAAATGAAAACTCAAACCTCTCTCTCTAAAACGGCGTTTCCCCTCTGTTTCAGATTCAACGAGAACATCGATTTTTTTAGATCTGTTTGTGAACAAGCTGTACACGAGGTCTTTTTCAGGTTAGAAATCTCTCTTTAGATTATACTCTGCTTTTTTTTTTTAGGAAAACGTTTGTTTGATCTTCACTGTAGGTGACCTCAACATAGTGAGCAACAAAAGAGGTCCACCGTCGACTTCCTCACCGCCGTGCAGCTTTGTCTGGGTATGGCTTTGATGTCTGGTTCAAATTGTAGCTTTTTCAAGTTTCTTCTTTTTACTTATTAGCTGATGTTTTGTCCAGAAATTTTGGTTTTATTTAATTGGGATCCACTTTGAATTTTTTTTTATTCATAATGTACTAAGATCTGAGTGTCAGAACTAATTTGATTTAGTTTAGTAATCAGATCTGTGATTATGTGTTTCTCGGAAACCTCCTCTTCCTCTTCTTTATTAGATTTGTTACTTGGGTTGATGTTTAATTTTTACTCCTTTCATTTGCAGTATCTCACAAATCTCAACAATTCATCACTGTCATCTCCGAAAGCAGACTTCTTGAGTTGATTTCGAAAGCAGACTTCTTAAGTTGACTTCTTTCATTTGCAGTATCTCAGAAATCTCAAAAATTCGTCACCGTCATCTCCATTTTCTCCACCATCGACATCAGAGACGGGTAGGGAGTTTTGTCCTAACAGGCCCAAGTGCCCAACACAACAATTTATCTCATTTACAAAACAGAACCCAATAAGTAAATAATTGATCTTTTGTTTGCTCATGATCTCTTTTTGTGTAATGATTATCAATTTTTTCTGTAATGGTCATTAATTATAATAATCATCAACTGTAGTAGTCTTTTAATTGTCATCAACCGTTATTTTTATGTATCTTTATCAAATATGTAACATAATCAAATTATTCTATATGGACAAAATATAATAGTTCAGAGTATGGTGCAAAGAAAAGTTCCATAAACTAATTCTAAATAAAATTTTTAAGTGACTGATTTTGTACCAGTTTTAAAACCACAAAATAGAAGAAGAATGGATTGATGTTACATGTTTATTCAATGTCACAAATTTTTTGAAGTAACTGAATGTTGCATCAGTTTTCAAATCACAAAGTATGTCAAATCCAAAAAAAAAGAAAAAAAAAAACAGAAGAATGGGGTTAGTGTTATTAACAAGAGAACTTAAAAATGACTCTACAATCTTTTAGAATTTTTGAAGATTTATTTTTATGGAGTTGATCATTTTCTGTAATAAAACACAAAAAACCATATTAGCAAACGAAATTACAAACTACATTATTGCAAAAATGTAAGTAACAAATTTTCTATATAGGAGACTTCGTCTGCAGACTTCATCTGTAGACTGGAGATGAAGTCTATTCTTCCAAGCTAACTAGCTATTAAATCAACAAATTCGATTCTACAATAAATATCGACTTAAAACAAATGAAACTCATTGAGTAATTAGACCAGTTGGTAACACACATTCCAAAACCTAAAAATACAAAAAATAATTTATATATATTCTGTAATTTTGTTTTTAAAATAATGATACCGAGCAGACTCTGTGTGCAGACTTCATCCGTAGACTGCTGGAGAAGTCTACTTTAATAAGCTAACTAGCTTAAAAATCAAAACTTCTGATTCAACAATAAATATCGAATGAAATGAAATGAAATTCACTGGGTAGTTCAATCACTTCATAAAAAGCATTTCTAATCCAAAAAATAAAAAAATACTTTATAAATTTGCCTAAAACGCGTTTAAAAAAAAACTACAATAAGTAGACTTCTAAAGCAGACTTCAAACATAGACTGGCGAAGAAGTCTACTTTTTCATAGTGAAGTCTACTAAAGAAGTCTACTAAAAAACAAGTTATTTTTGCAATTGACCAATTCGTTGACTTTTCCTTCAGTAGACTTCAGAAGTAGACTTCCGGCCAAAAAAGTTACTTTAGCGTTTGACCAAGCCATTGACTAACAAAGTAGACTTCTATTGTAGACTTCATGTAAGAGTAGACTTCTCTGACAGTCTACTTTTGAAGTCTACTTTTTCAATAGATTTCTACGGAAAAAAATAGGTTATATTTGCAATTGACTATCTTTAGTAGACTTCATTGTGAAGTCTACTCAAAAAAAAATTCCTTCTAAGTTTGACCGAAAAATATAAGTAGACTTCCCAAAGAAGTCTACAGTTTTAGACTTCTTTCTGAAGTCTACTGCAGCTTTCCGGAGTTTTCTAAATTTTTTATTTTTTAAAAAAATTTAGTCAAACATTAAAATGACCTATACGTTTTTGGTCAAACTACAAAAGTAACTTAAAAGACTTCTTGTGCAGACGTACACAGTAGACTTTAGAAAGAAGTCTACATTAAAAAATCAAAATACGGTCAACTACAAAAATAACCTTTTTTCTTTCGTAGACTTCTTAAGCCTTCAAATGAAGTCTACTATGCTTTTTTTTGTTTTCAAAGGATATCGAGTAGACTTCTCGTGAGGTTTAATGAAGTCTACTTTTTAAAAGTCAATTGCAAAAATAACCTTATGTTGACTAGTAGACTTCAGTATACTTCACGAGAAGTCTACTTTCGCGATATGAAAACTGAAATATGGAGAAATTGAAGTGCGACGATTACCTTTAACAAAATTGAGCTCGGCTACAGTTCTTTTAAGCACCCAGAATTCAGGATTTCACCAAAAATAAGCTACCCAGATGTCAAGTAACCAGAAATCACCGAAAATGCATGACTTTTGGCATTGTAACTTAGCTCAGATGTTTTGGAGAAGAAATTATGAAAGAATGAGGAAGGTTATGAGTGAATGAGCTCAAATATTTACTTATTACAGCTTTAAAATTGGTTGAGAAGCATTTATTCCATTTTCATGGTTGTTCATGGTGGTTGAAGAAATTGAAGAAGATGGCATTCTCGTAATTAAAAGATCTTTAGAAGGTCTAAGGAGACTTTAGCCAAATTAAAGAAAAATTGAAATTATAGATGTATAATGGCATTTTCGTTAATAGTTTAAGTGGGAAGGATAAAATTGTGAGCAAATGGCAAAAGTTGAAGAAAGAAAAAAAAGATGTTAGTTTGATGTTTAACTTTGAAATATGGGTTAAATCTGAAACTCTCCCTAAAAAAACTTCATATTGTGTTACTTAAACCATTCTGTGCTGGCGTTTTTTGTATAATCAAAGATTTCGAATAGCAAATATGATCAATTAGGATACTCATGTTGTGGGAGTTCATTAAGTACGTCTGTACGTGACTATAAGTCTATGACTTTGCTTTTTTTAAAAAAATGCAAAAAACCACTTAATACGCCCATACGGGGTGCTATTTTTCTAAATAAGGATGCTAATTAATAGCATCATGCTATGGTATAAAAAAATTGTAGTAAACAAAGTAGCACTCGTTTTTGTGTTTTATGCACACAACAAAGTTTATAATTATCATTTACCTAATATAATAAATGTTAAAGGTAATTTAGCGCAATCACCCATATCCAGTGTGAAAAAAACAGCTGAAGGATTTAAACCTATTAATGATGAATCACAATAGAAACAATCCAACAAGTTGTGCAACGTGAGTAAACAGGAAAGTTCCAAAAAAAAAAGAGAGTAAACACTAAACAGGATTGCATGTACCTATACTTCTTCCTCTTTTTGTTTATAATTATCAGTGTAAGAGTGTATTCGTTTTCTTTTACCTATAGCTCAAGATTTCGCTAGGGAAAAAACAAAACATTTAAAAAAAAAAAAATAGAAGTGTAGGGTCACATATATTTTGAGCATATTATAAGATTCGATCCCAAATGAAATGAAAAGAGAATCTAGCAGCATTACATGACCTATTTGCCAACAAATACTGATTCTCTCCCTCTCTCTCTCTGCTTCTTCCGCAAGCTTTCACCGTAATTATGCTCTTCCCGGTGGTCGTCTTGAGTTTCCTGCTCTCCTATATTAAGATAGAACATATATATTTAGTATGTAAGAATCAATGAATAACTTAATTATCTAATCCACAATAAACACATTTTAGTTGTTACTTTTATACAACCGATAAGTAACAAATATACAACCTTCATCTATTGATACTTTGGTCGCTTGGTAATTTACGCGGAATCAGGGACATCTTAAACTATTTCTTGCAATCTGTTTATTAAATTACTTAACAAACAAATAATTGATTTAAATAATATAAGAGTGTACGTGTTAATTTCTTTTAAATAAATATAGACCCAGATTATATGTATATTAAAAAAAAATGATAAGGTCATGCATGGAATTCATAGTAAACACTTCGTTTTCAAAATAATCAATTGCGATCTTACGTGGTTTCTCTATATAACTAAGAAATGAGGTGAAGAAAAAGGAGAGGAAAAGAGAGTATTTAAAGGGCTAAAGCTTCCATAAAGGAAAAAAGAAAGTTTTAAAAAGAAGCCCATCTTATAATGAGTAATTAAAAACAAGATTGTTAACGTATAGACTGAATAAAGCTAGGAGACAGCCTTTTGTTAGCCTCTGCGATATGTCTCGCCGAATCTGAGTTAGTTAAAAGAAACAAAGTGTTTATTTTCTTAGTGAAACTGTTGGCTAGAAGTATATGTATATGGTGGCCAAAAAGAGTTAATATAATAGATAATGTGCATATAGATATATTAGTACGAATGAATTACCGACTTGATTTCTTCTAATTTATTAACTTCTCGATGTTATTTATCTATCACAACATGGAATTTATCACTAGCCATATATGCCTTATATTGTTGAAAAGAACAACATACATAAACATGCAAGGTTTTTTGATTGAAAGTGATATAAATGAAACCAGAAATCGGCAAAGAACCTGTTGTGTATAGGATCCGGTCCACGAGGCACTTTTCTTTTGCCGGCTACGTAGCTAAGATCGCCGTGTCTTGATCCATCTTCAAGCTCTTGTTGTGTTTCCTTGGTGTGTATAATGGAATTGTTCATCGTCGCGGCTGTAGTAATCTCTTTTGTTTTGTCTTCCACGTTGTTGTTTTGTAATACAAACGCATCGATCATGAGAAGAGTGACTAAACCGATCGTAAATAGTGTACGAAACAACATTTGGAGACGAAGAGAACGGAGATTTCGCATGTTTTCTAGTCTTGTAAGGGGTTTTTGCTTTATACTATCTTCGTTGGTTGGTTGAAATAAAGACAGAAATTAACATCGATCAAAGTAGTATAGGGTATTTATTCGGATTTCTTGAATTTGAAACTATGAGAACAAAGAAGAGTGAGAACAAAAGCAAGAGAAAGGAGAGAGATGGAGAGAGAGCCTTATCACTTTGATGAGTTAGGATGGTTGGTGTTCTTTATAGGTTCGATGGTGTTTATTCTGTTTAATATGGTTAACTTTACTCGAAACATTACGATAGAGAGAAAAACATTTCCTGCTTTGAATCTTTATATTTTTTAGTGAGATATATTTTTAATATTATCTTTAAGCATGAATCCGTATTTTTATCTAAATATACATATACCAGAGATATATACCCATTAATCACTACTCTAATATCATTGAATTGAAACAAAAAAAAAGAGAGAAAAAGAGAGCGAATGATATATATATATATATATAGAACAGCTGGTCTGAAACGTGACATGAAGGGAATTTATTTACGTAGCATTTGCTTTATGTAAATGAGAAGGTTCGGATACGAATTTAATTATCTTTGTTTATTTTTTTCGTGTATTTTCATGGAGTTTTATTTACTAATCAATAAATAAAATTAATATCTGCACGTGCCGAGGGGTTCCCTCGTACTTTTCTCACGTACTTATCATCCCTTTCGTATCCAAAAGGTAAAGCTAAGCACATAACCATGCCATGCATATCCTAAATTATATTTTTATAAATTTGTAACCATATTTTATAAGCATCGATCTCTAATAATTATTTCAGAAATTATATTGCCAAGTTACCAACTATATATGTATGATGTATATATCTAGTACTCTATATTTAGTATTTACCATCTACCTTGTTTCGATCAAGCTTATATTTACCAGTTATGTATCTAGTACTCTAGTACTATTTATAACAATAATGAATATCAAACATATTGATGATTTTTGTTGCTTTTTCCCCGGACATAAGACACCAACATAAACATTTTGTATTTGATAAAACACCAACATAAACTTCATTGTAAGAGTTCACCTTAAACATCGAATAATTTTTTTTTTGTTAGCTGTCGAGAAATTAGCAATATTTACACTAGCCAAACATATATGCGTTAATCACCTTAGCCATTCTTTAGTATCTTAAGATTATACATATCTTAAAGTTTGCTGAAATAAAGATGAGAATGACATGCTTGACTAGACTCGTGATTAAAAATTGTTCGTTGGGAATATATCACTCTCACATAGCAGCCGTAATTGATCTCATAGTATATATTATTATAGGGCCATATAGTAAGAGCATATATATGGTACATAATTTCACCTCATCGTTCAAAATTATTTAAATTGTACATGGTGAATCCCACTTCAAAACAAATTTACCTTTCCTAAAAGCGTAATTGTGTATATATCCTGGTGAGAATCTTATGCGCCTTCGTGTTACTTACTTACAATAAAAGTTTGATATTGCAACATAAATTTTGCAACGATAGCTTTAGTTGAAATTTTGTAACAAATTTTGCAATAATTTTGCAATGATAATTACATGTTGTAATTTTCCTACTAATTTCTTGCAGAACCACTACGAAAGTTTTTGTTGCAAATTTTCATTACTGATTTGTAAGAAAAATGCAGCAATACTGAATCATGACTTTTTTGCAAGAAAATAATAGTATAAATACGTGACAAACCTTGTGACACTTTTGTCACTATATTTGCAATAATTTGATAGTTATTCTGCAACATTTAATTTCTATAATAAAAACTGAATTTTACTTGACTTAATAAAAATTTACACATTTAGAATAATAATTGAGTTTCCGATTTTTGTAAAAGAATCCAAACTAGATTTGAATTCTATTTCAGATGAATTGGTAATGAAATTTCTCTATCGTTCAAAATATTACAAAAACTATATTCGCTTTAGATTTGATAATTTTTAGTATGGTTCAGTTATTTTGTTTCAATTACTTTTTTTAGTCTTTACTATTTATAAAAATTTAAAATATTTTTTGATGCACAGATAAATTAAAAAATAGTGAAAAGAAAACTTATTATAAAATAAATATGAAACGTTTTCTTTATCTCATCAAGATGATAATTATAAGCTTTTTAATAAATTAGAAGGTCAAATTTGGTTCCTTGGAGTTTGGTTCATACAGTTTACGTATATGAATATGTTGTTTACAACCAAAATTTATGTTGTTTTGGGTTTAATTAAAAAGTCAATATAATAAAAAAAAAATGAAATACTGACCCAATTAACTTTTTGGAGGCCATTTTTTAGGATAACTCCAAATCTTGAAATAGTATATTGGGATCTCATTTTTACAACAAATAGATTTTCTCTCATTTTGTTGTTTATATATAATGACTTTTACTTCTATAATTGTGTAATCTCTGCAGTTCAAGTATCCAGCAAATCAAGGTAAGAAAAACGATATCTACCTTTAATTTCTAATTTTTAGTGTTCATATATTAGCTTGATTATATTGAATATAGATCATTTGATTTAGTTGTGGGTTTGTTTTGCTTTTTCGTTCAATATTAACTTTGATTTTCCTTAAAAAATTTCAGATGAATGAAGGAATTTACGGTCAACTTTCTACTTTTTAGAGGAACGAGATGAAATACTTCATTGATTTGAAGATTCACATCACTTAAAACAGCATAATTAGAGGAGATTTTTCAAAGCAATGCATAAAACAAAGAAAGGATTCAAAATGTTAAGAGTTGGAAACTTTCGACCAAAATGTTTTGTTCTTGTCTATATATAGCTAGTGTAAAAAGCAAAAACAGAGTAATTACTTACATGTTTTAGCTATATTTTTGTCTATATATTTATGATTTGTTAGATGTTACGATCTTCTGTTAACTAATATATTTAGTTTTTTTTATTGTTCCAGCTTTTATTTTTTTAAAATAGTTATAATGTTTAATATTAATAAATCATCACAATCTAATAATGCTTGTGTTAAATAATTATAGAAAATGAAAACAAATAGCAAATTTCTGTGTTGAAAATATATATTGAAAAATAAAAAGATTTGCAACAAGAGTCGTAGCAATAATTTGCAATGATTAAAAATTGCAAGATATGCTGCAATTATGCAATCAATTTTGCCGTAAAAATACTGTTGCATAAATACAACAAATATAACAAATAATCAATTAATTGCAAAATTTGCGATGTATGTGCAACAAATATGAATTTACAACACGCAAACAGCAACATTATAAAACATGTAGTAATTTTATTGCAAATTCTATTTTTGCAACAATATCTTGGCATATTGCAACAAAATTCTTAATTGTAATATCATTATTTTCTTGTAGTGTACATGGTGAATCCCACTTCAAAACAAATTTACCTTTCCTAAAAGCGTAATTGTGTATATATATTTGTCCTGGTGAGAATCTTATGCGCCTTCGTGTTACTTACTAGCTTCTAGCCGAAGTAACAAAAAATGACACTTACATATTCACATATATAATATATTATCACAAACCAATATACCATATAATATTAAAAAGGGAAATTTTATACTCCATATGTGATGTACTGACTGCTTCTCTCTATAGGATTCCAACATCATTTTTTTTCAAATTAGTTTATAAATACTTTTTAAATTAGTTTTTTTCGATTATCCTATATTCTTTTGGAAAATCAAAATTTTTTTTTGGTAATGGAGAATTAGTATGGCCTATATTTTATTGCAGAATAAAATCGTAGTCTATACTTTTTAAAAATTAATCACAGTAAATCTAGTATCAAAACTAAATCATAATCTATACATTTTAGTTAGTTACGTTTAATTCAAAGTCATAAAGTTTCGGTTGAACAAAGTGAATCAATAACCGGAGACGATTCGATTTCAATTGATCTTGGTATGTGTGACTGAGGTACAATAAATTTTCAATAGCTTCCATGCAGCATCTAAAGTAACCAAATGATTCATACGTTCTTGTCATGTGGCATCAAACTTGCAACTAAAGTAAACAAAGACTCATAAGTTTCTTGACATGAGGCATCAAACTTGTAACACCAATCCTCGGACGTGTTCATGAATCATCAAACAGAAATATTATAAAGGCTAATCCAAAGGCAAAAGAATATGAAAAACACCATCGAACGAACGATTCAAGCTTTTTTCGATCTCTTCTCTTCTTCCTCTTTCCGAGATAACAATCTTGAATATAGGAACTCACCGACTAATAAGAATGGATGTTCGAGCATCATCTCATACTTACCACAAGAGGCTTATCATCATGAGATCAAGGGAAATTTTAAAGTTTCCAGCCTTCCCACGTGCAGTATAGAGTCTGCAAAATCCACCAAATGTTGACAGGAGTACTCGATTTTCACAATGTTGAAACAATAGCTCACTGCATTTATGAGTTCTGCTGAAACAACAGCCCAACATATACCTAGAGAAAAAAAAAGGAAAAAAACCAAAGAAAAATAACATATATAAAGGTAACATTTCACTTTTTCCTTTTTGAATCACTTGGTACTCTCATTTAAATTGCACAATATTTGACCAAATTAAGTGAACGTTGGTTACCGTGTGTTAGTTGGTTTTTTTGGCTCCCGTGGTTTCTAACCATTTATCTGGCTGTAAGATTTATACATCGTAAAAACAAAAATAAAACACATTTTATTTAAAAAGAGGATAGCACATATCTATTGCATAGTTTTATCATTTAACAAGAGATGATATTGCATTGCAGCATATCTCATACATAGATATAAATATATATATATATATATAACAAGACAGTATATATGTAACGAAAAAACCTTACACATACCTTGCTAGGTGGTTTTCAACATCCATATTGATCATGATGCAAGCACTCAATGACTGAGATGTCAGATGTTGGTTGTGCGGCTAATAGAAACTTCAGCTGGTAGATTGAGATAACCTTTAAGACTTTGTAAAACCAATCTCATGATTCTTGTGAGATGGTGCCCACAATATCTGTCATATGGTAGTAGAGACACTTCTAAGAGGAAATTTTTCCTGCTTGATGGTAAAAATATGTACAAATGTCAATAGCTTAGTTACCTCTTCCAATCATCAAATAATGATGAAAAGAGGTTCATCAAATAATGATTTATTTGATGAAAAGAGGTTAAGGTTTGGAATGATATATTTGAAAACTAACGGTGAAAACTTTTGCGATGTATTGGTAATGGCATCTCTTACTTTTTCGCACAAGCCTGAGGGTCTTTGCATTATACGAAAAAAAAGTATGTCTAATAGTGTAGAAAATATGATTTACAAAAAAGAATCGTATATAGAAATCAAAACTACCTACAGTTCCAACTTATAGATTACCATTGTGGCAAGATAGCTTTTAATGTACTAACTAATATACGTATAGATTCTACCCCGCCCATGTTGGCGGGTAAAATTATTTTTTTGTTTGTTAGAATGTTAGACGAGATATGTTTGTAGAGTTTAAACTAATTATATAATAGTTTTTACTATAAACATTAACATATACGAAAAGAAATATTATAGTTTAGTTGATAGTTGGGGGTTTTTAAGCTTTGTTTGTAATTTTTTATAGTTGGTTTTCAGTCGTAGTTAGATATTGATAGTTGGGCTCTAATATAGAGTTTGATATTTGATAGTTGAGATATTAGTAGTATGAATTTTTTTAGTTAGATATATGATTCTATTAATAATCCTCTTTTGACTCACGAAACAGAACTGTATTCAAACTTGTATGTAATTTCATTGATCCAAATTATAGAGCACATATATGGTTCTAAATTAATCTAATCGATCCAAATTATAACAATTGTACATAAATCCCACTTCAAAACAAATTTACCTTTCCTAAAAGCGTAATTATACATATATATGTCCTGATGAATCTTATGCGCCTTTGTGTTACTTCCTAGCTTCTAGTCGAAGTAACAAAAAATGGCACTTACATATTCACATATATAATATATTATCACCTACCATATAATAGTAAAAAGACAATTTCTACACTCCAATGTGATGTAGTGACCGTTTCTCTCTATAGGATTCCAACATTGTTTTTTTTTTGTTCAAATTAGTTCCAATTAAACGAAATCAAATTTTCGGCGAAGGAGAGAAGGAATTGAGTTTTGCATTTGAGATGAGGTTGAACTGAAGTCCATCAATATTCTGAATTTGTTTGCATATACTTTCATTCAGATCGATCCTGATCCCTGACGGTAAAAGTTTACTATTTCATCTCTGATCATTAGCATATTAAACTTCTTTGTTTTCCGCAATTTTGAGAGAAACAAAAAAAAAAAGCTTTTAACATTAGTTCGACAAAAACTAACATTATTAGTTTGGGATTTCGAATTTTCTGTAGTTTTAGTATTAGATAAATTATTAGTGTTTGAATGAATATGGCGACTACAAAGCAAATGTTATTGTTGAACCTGTCCTCAGTGTTCACAAACCTTAGTTTACGTCATAATGCTAATAGTTTATGTTCAAAAAGGCATTTTCAACACTCCATATGTGATGTAGTGACCGCTTCTCTCTCTAGGATTCCAACATGGTTTTTTTTTTCAAATTAATTTCCATGATACCAAAGCAAATTTTCAGCAATGGAATTGAGTTCCTGCATTTGAAATGAGGTCGAACTGAAGTCCCAATCACTTTTCTGGTTTGTTTACATATACGTTCTTGGGCTACCAAAAAATTTTGACTTTTCCTCAACGACATCGACAAAGCTACAGATGAGAGATTTATTATGTTTTTTTTTGTATGGTATGAAGTTTACAAGATATTGTACCTTTGAATTAGGACTGGGCGCGGAGCGGATATCCTGGATTTTGAGGATATCCGTGATCCGCTCCGCTCCGTCCGGATAATCATGTTTCTGATCCGTATCCGCTCCGTAACTATCTGGATATCTGTTTTCCGGATATCCGCTAAAAATTTGAATATTTTCCGGATATCCGATCCGCTCCATAAAAATCTTTAAATAATAATATATTTAAAATAAAATTTTAAAAAATCAAAATTTAGCTAAAAATGACAATATTTTCTTTAAAAATATATTTTTTTACTTAACTTATTAAGTTTTAATATTTATAATAATCAAATTTATAAAAAAACTCATAAAAATTACATTTATATATAATAATTATACACTTTATATGAATTATTATCTATCTATATATACATATATATATTTATATCGGAGCGGAGCGGATATCCGTCTTAATTTATTTTAGTATTTGTGATTTGCTCTGTTTTTAACGGATATTGAATTTTAGTATTTGCTTTGCTCCATAAAATTACGGATATCCGGATTTTTCGAATCGAATCGAGACGGATAACGGATCGAAGCAAATATAACGGATATTTTGCCCAGCCCTACTTTGAATGCTGGAATAATTATTGGAGCTGAAAATTGAGAGACACTTCTCTCGTTGTTAGAGCTGAAAATTACAAGATATTGTACCCGAATTAATACCGGTTTGCTGGTTGTTGAGATTGAGAGACACTTCTCTGAATCCCCAATTCTCTTCACCTAGGAAGCTGGACAGACAAAGTCTATTTACGTGTGTTGATAGCATTGACAGATTTTAACCTCATGTCATCACACTAGGAATCGTTTACATTCTTAAAGCTTTATGTTTTAATAATTGAATTCGATAATATCAAAATCACAAAGTGCATAAGAAAGACTAATAGCTTAGTTTGATAACATGTTTCCTCTTAAATCAAGTGATAAAGCACAGTTGACCTATTTTGTTACAATAAAGTAGTTCATTTTTCTGATTTCAGGACAACCCCTGTTGAAATAAAAGATTCTTGACTCCTTCCATAGTCGTTGGTAGGTTTAGGAGCAGTGCCACAGATTTCACTACAAAAAAGAAGGCATTTAACGTCGGTTTTTATTTACATTAACGTTATTTTTAAATTGACTTTAAGAACTTGGCGTCAATTATAAAACAGACGTAACATTGGCCGACGTTAAGTAATTTTGCTTCACTTGAAAAATCGACGCTATATTTAACGTCAAACATTAGCGTCACTTAATTTATATTTTAATGTCAGTTTTTTCATGACTTAAAAACATAATATTTTTGACGCAAGTATACCCACAATCATTCATTCTACTTTTTCATTAAATTATATTAAATTATAACTCGATTAAAAGTGAAAAATAACAATAAACTCATAACAAAAAGTAATCAATCAAACTTGACAAAAAAAATTAATAAAATTATAGTTTAACAATCAACTATACAGATAAAACACAAAACGTAAGATCTAAGATTCTAAATCGTGATTTCAAAACTCAAACAAAACCAAAAAAAAAATCATTAAATCTACTATTGTGTCGTAACATTCTTGCCAGCTTCTACTTCTGCATCATTCTGTCTGTTTGTGGAAATTGGAAATTGACTCTTCTGCATCATTTTGCTAAATTTTGTGTTCCATTGATCACATTCCCATCTATGGTGGTCACCTATAAAAGGGTATTTTGTGTTACCAATAGAAACTAATTTTTTAGCACAAATAAATTGTATAATTACCTGGAATTGGTTGTTTGATCCAGTATGAATTTAAAGAGCAGTAGTCACGATATGAAGATTATCTTTCGGTCCGTTCACTGAGTTCTGAGTTCTGAAGCAAGAAAACCATTCTCAGACCACTAAAAAAAAACCAAAGACGACATAACAAACTTATTATCATTGGATTAAACTTCAAACTCATAAATTCATAATCTATGAGATAACCTCCATCAATCGAATAAACAAAGATGAAACACTAAGAACCACAATTACTACTTCAATTAAGAAGTTCTAAGATGTGAATCTTATATATACCTTCATGGGTATCCATATCATATGGTCTTCTTTTGTCTGAGTCCATGAGCAGTTCGTATACAGCCTGAATCTTGATGAATCTTGCTTCTGCCTTCTCTCCTTACATGTGTCATCTATCCACATAAACTACAGGACACCCACAATTAATCTAATAAGCAGAAACCAAAGCAGAGTTACAACTTTGTGATCATAAACAAAGTGACTCCTTACTAATAAACAGAAGCGTCACCTACAAATACTTTGCCAGTTCTTATATGTTACTATGAAATCCCTAATCCAGAAACGCCGTTCACAAAGGAGTTGTTGACAACCACAAAGGCGCTAATTTCACAGAAATCATGAAATACTAATATACTATATATGCATCCTCTATATATCCATAAAACTACCTCCTGGATTATAGAATTTCGTTAATCGTCTGTGTCCCACCTTAATATGCTCTTCCTCTGCATCTCCATCCAACTCTGTAATCAAATCAAACGAGATAAAACCACATCTTAGATTAAAAAGCAGGAAACACAAACAACTGAATCAAAAGTATACTCAATGATCACCTTAAACTCAAGTTATGCTTTCTGAAATTGAAGATTCACCACTGAGAACCTTACCTCAAACTTCTTCGCGAATTCATCATCATCCTTAAACGAAATTTAAAATCATTCTTAGATATCGAGCAGTTTAGTCATCAACACAACAAATTTAAGAAATTTCTACGGTACAAAACCTAAACAATCTCGAGTACTGAAGAAGAGAAAGCTTTGAAGATAGAAAAAGATAACATCGAACCGAGCTGAGATCTGATTTCCACCGATAGAACAAAAATCCAATCAAGAGAGGAACAAATTCAAGGCAATCGAAGACACAAAGTAACGAGAAACCAGATGATCGAATTGAGTTCTCCGATTTTGATTTGGAAGAGAAAATCAATATCGTTACAGGAGGAATTAATAAATTAATATACATTGATAAACCGATATTAGTTTATAAGTTACCGTCGGTTTAATAAATGACGCCAAACTCCTTCCTCTTTTCGGGAAAATCGCATAAAAAATCTTCGAAGGCAGCAACAGACACTTTCAACCACAAAGGTTTTGGACTAGTACTTTGAACCTTCAACCTTGTAACTTTAGCATATAAAACCTTCAATTTAGTTTCTGAGTATGCGCCGCCAAATTTTTAAACGAAATAATTCACTCCGTTAACGGGAACTTCAACTCCGTCGAGAATTCTAATTTCTCTGTTTTAAGTATTCGAAAACGTAATTAAATTAATTTAAAAAATTAATATCTGATTTATTCAATTAACTAGTATTATCACCATGTTACGCATGGGTCAATTTTTTCATTAAAATTACATTAAATACAATATTACCGTATAGAATATTAGAAAGTGGGAGATGGGAACAATTGAGCAATATGGCTGTGGTTAGGCACTCGCTCTTCTAGTATGAACAATTGAGCAATTGAGATTTTACTTTATAATTGTTTCAGAGATTAGGCACTCACTTTTCTCGTATGTAAATGGGTTAGAGAGTGAAGTCAAAACTTACTGCAATATGGCTGTGGGATAGTTGGCAAAGCGTTCCTTCCTCATAATGTATCGGTTACATTTTACTTGTGCACTTGATGTCCTTGCCCGAAGTATTTAGCAAGTGATGCCATCTACATAGATAAAGGAAGAAAAATTGTGAATCATTGAGGTTACATGGAAGCTACAGGCTTGAGAAGACAAAAGAGAGAGAAACCTTCACATGTCGCCATCTATCTTCCCAAACTTCGAGACAACAATGAAAGCGTATCTATTAAAATGAAAACCAGAATCCGAGATCAAAAACAAAAAAAAAAGAAAAAAATGAATATATATAAAAAACAGAAGATGAATCGGTGGTGAAGAAGAAAATAGAGACAGAAATTGAAATAGTTTAAATTATCAAAAGATAATTGTAGTTCAACATGACGAATTGTTAGTATAGGATAGAGGAAGTTGGAACTATTTCAGAGATTGTGGCTTGGATTCAGAAAATTTAGGAATTTTTAGTTTTTTTTTTTTTTAACTGATCTATTTTTACAGCTTTTGTTTTATATATTATTTTAATATTTTTAAAATTTTACCACATGTCACCATGTAATTGGTGCAGTGACTTGTACTTTAATAATATAGAGATTAACTAATTAAAAATACAAATACAGATATAAAAAAAACAAAAAAAAACAAAAAAGACCAAAACCCCCAAAATCAAAATCGATTTAGGATTCGTCGTATGCCTCCACCATCGCCATCTTCTCATTATATTCTTCCACATTGTAGCTGTAAGTAACTCCCCAGAAGAGATTTTTATATTCTGACCTTGAGGTTTAAAGTATCAGTCGCTGCCACTTTGAAGGTTTTTATGCAATTTTCCCTTTTTTTTTCTTTCACGTCGGTTAATAAAACGTCATTATTTTTAATGACGTGTGATGATTAATATCTTGTAGTGTTTGATGTATGTTGATAAAAAATTTCTATCAGTCCTCATGTGTACTGCTGAATCCCCAAATATTGGCCAAGTGTTTCAGATGTAAAAAGTTATTTTTCTATCTTCAAATTAAGACAAAATCAAACAAAGAAAAAAAAATTAAAAAAGAAACACAAACTTCATGGAAAAAAGCTTGTTTCTTTTTCTATTAAATCGCTAATGGCCTTGTAATGATGCATCTGATCATTTTGTAGTAATATCTTTGCCAATTGCATCTGCCACAAAACCAGATTCATTAGATGTCAATGGCAGTATGACAATTTTGTTTTTGATTTTAACAGATGGAAGAAAATTTTCCTACGCTTACTCACCTTCCTAAGCAACTCGGTACAAATTTCCAACAACTTAAAAAAGAAAAGAATGACCACTATACAACTAAGATAGTAAAAACCGCATTTTCAAATAAAGGTAGGCCTAAATTGATGCAGAAGATTGGTGGTTGACAGGTGAAGTCAACGTGGAGATGCGAAATGAGCCTTATGAGATTGGATTCGTAGAAAGCCCACGAATCAACAATGACAAAATTGCACAAAAAAGGTACTCAATTTTTTTTTTAATTTGTTGTACTTTGATTAATAAGTTACCATATTCATCAAACAAACATTGTAAGGACAATAACCAAAACTGCCGTCATTGGGGCAATAAACCAAGAAATAAGGGCGGCTTTGAGGATATGAAAGGGGTAGCCGAATGATGATAGGGACATATAAGTATTCTCGAGTAAGGTGAAAAAAAATAATTACCACGTATCTCAAAAAGCTTGAGAATGTGGTCGTCGGTGTTTTGCTGATTTACTTTTAGATTCGGGTAGATAATAAGTAATTGATGAACATGTGTGAGGACAAAACTCTTGTAAATGTAAGCTTCCGACATTTTTATGGGAGATAAAGTCTTCAAGTTGTTTATGCGGATTTGACAGAAGAGTTGGTAAAATTCCAAACAAGTAATCTGAAAATTTTCAGCCACAATATCACACAACTTACCAAAAATTCCAAAGCTAATAGTACCTGCAAGACTACAATAGCCAAAAAACTTTACAAATAGATTTATGTTACATACAGGAGGACGAAAACCAGTATATGGGTTCTCAGCGAGAAGCTCTTCCGCAATAAATAATAATGTTTTACATTCTCATGCGTATTCATGATGTATGCTGCTAAATTTATCTCTAGCTTTATATACTAGATATCTGCGAGTACTCTAGTAAACAATGATTTCAGACGTGTCAGTCAAGTGTATCAAAACATTGAGCGAAATTAACAAAAATTCAAACAAAAGAAAGAAAATCAAAACCTGATGGAAAAGAAAAAAAAAACTGGTATGGCTTTCCTAGGGAATCGTTCAATCAACGAGTAAAGATCACTCCAATTCTGGTCGAGTATGATCTTAGCTTATTCAGCCTACCATAAAACCAAATCACTGGCATAAAAGAAGAACATAATTCTTAAAAGGAGGTGCATTATTGATTAAAAACAGTGGTAATAAACTGAAAAAGCTCATGTTTGTGTGTTAACTGATGTAATCGAGTTCAATTACTATAATTATTTCGCATGTCAAACTGGAACCAACTATTATTATTAATTACAGTAATTACTATTGTAAGTTATTTCATACGTCAACTAGAGCAGTCATGATCTCTCAGCAGGCAAAACATAAAGCAAAGAAGTCACCAACACTAAGTTTCGGTCGATACGATACTTGATACACAACTAATGGGGATTCCATCTCACATAAAACGGGAAACACACTTGGCGTCAAAGATGAAACCAGCACACTTTGTTTTCCTTATGATACCATTTAAGACATTCCCCGAGCGGTTTTTGAAGCTGATGTAGAATATTGCATTCCCAGCCTTGAGTACCATCTTCTTCTCTGACTCGACAACTTGTCTGGTTTGCACAATTACCTTTCCCAGCTCAATTGGCTTTGGAAACTGCAACAACAACAAACACTAAGAGATATATATCATTCATTAATATCTACACAAGAAGTTCCCCTCTTGTGTGTCTGAATCTACACAAGTCTTTCTCCTCACCCCGTAACCATGACACTCGGAGTTCAACGCGAGATGCGCGTATAGTCGAAGCATTTCTTTGTCATCTTCTTCCATTTCCGATTCTTCCATCTGCGAATGATGTCAACAACATTCTTTTTCAACCAAGAGAGAAAGCTTTGAACTAAAAAGGGAGGGCTCACCTCGTAGTATTGCAGCTTATTAGTACTGGCCGTTAGCCAGTCCTGAGGCAACCGATCGGGCAAATCACCTTTGAAGGAATCATCCATATCACCTTTCAAGGAATCATCCACATCACCTTCTTCCTCTGAGTTATACCCACAAGTAGACATGACCAATAAAGATTTGACACATTTTAAACAACGGTTTTAAGAAACAAGAAAAAAATTGTCAGTCAAATGGATAACAAAAGGTGCATTATTCATTTACATATACCTGGAGCTGGGGGAACCATTGAGCAGCTTGTACCTAAAGTGAAGGTATCTTCATACTTACCCGCATAATAACCATGCATATCAAACCTGTGGGTGCAACTCCGTATTGGATCCTCTGCCTCAAATTCTACCTGGCGCAAAAACAATGTTTGGATATATCTGTGCCGATGTACACCCAAAAATAGAAAGTTTGTCCCCTACAAAAGAATCAACAAGGCAAAGAATTAAACAAGGCTGACTTTAAAAATCACGGAAATATACAAATCCAAAATACTATAATAGACGAGGCAAAACATATAATAAAAGTAAAAAAGAAAAGAAACTAAACTTTTTAAAGACCTTTTTCAGATTGTAGCAATGAAGTCCAATTCTACCAAAGAGCTGTTCCACATTCATCCAAGGATTCTGATTACGAGAGAGTGAGTCAAAACCCTTTAAACAAATAAATAAAATAAAATGGAATGCACAAAATTTTACCCGAGCTTGTTGCTCCCAGTCTTCACCAGGAAAAAGTCAGCCACCACCGGAGATTCCGCCTGTCATAGTGGGACTAAATAGAGGTTTGCATGGATCGTATAGAGGTGGAACATACTTATCCCCTGGAACATTCTTATCGTAATCGCTAAAAGACAAGGCCATTTCACCGAACCTTAAAAAATCAATTCTAAAGGGTTAGATTCAATTCAATTCTAGAGGACTAAATAGAGGTGGAACATACTTATACTCAATAGGTACATCAGGCTTAGGGTAACCGACGTCGTAACCGCTAAAAGACATGGGCAGAGGTAGATCAACATCGAGTCCCTTTAAAAAGAAAAATACGATTTAATATGTAGAAATCGAATGAGACAAACTACAATATACAAAAACAAATCTAAAGATTACCGTAACACTTAAGCTGTTACTGGCTTCTTCCATGGCTATTTTCACGGAACCCTAAAAAATCAATTCTAGAGGAATAGATTCAGTTCCATCAAAAAAAAAGCGAACCCTAATTTCGAACACGGGAAACACATTAGTTTTATGCCTAATTTATGAAGCGAAAAAAAACCAATTCTGCAGAAAATATTGGGTTCGATCGATGAAACAATATTGGATACAATACGAACGTAACTTTCTTTCTCTCCATCCCAGAAGTAAAATTAAGTGTCCCCAACACATAATTTCCTTTATTTTTATATCCCATAAAAACCGCCAAATTTATTGGGCTTTTCTCAACTGACAAAGTTATTGGGCTTTGTCTAAACTCAAAAACCCCAATTAATCAGTTTTTATTTTATTTTAACATCTATTTTCATTTATATATAAAATTCCAGATTACACAGAAAGTACAAAAATAAAAAATACATATGTTTACAAAACAATAAAATAAACGAAATAACAATGACGATGCCTGTCGAATTTGTTCTCGTTCTTGCAGTCGAACTGATGCGAACTTCATTTTTGGTTGTCAACATAACCAATTTAAACACAATCTCCTCATGTTGTATTACATTGACCAACTCCCAAATTAGATCTAAAGATATTCTTTTATTCAGAATCCAATGTACTGATTCTTTCAAAAGAAATAGAATTTGAGATTGCCAATTTTCAACGATTGTACGAATATCGCCATACAACAAAGATGTTACATCTTCAACTCCTACATGTTGTTCCTTCCTTGGTAGTTTCCATTTTCCCGGATCCCATATCCTCCGACCAATGCACCAACACGTTCTTCGAAGAAAATTGAAGAAGCAGTAGTAAAATTGAAGAAGATATTGGATTTTTAAATTAGAGTGTAGATCACAAATCGATCCCATGATTCCAATATATAGGACATAACTGAAACTGTTATATCCGATGGTTTCATCGCAGCGTGATGAAAGTCCGGCTACGGAGATGAAGAACGCAGGGATGGAATCACTACACTCCAGACCAGTGTCAGATTTGGGAAAAACCGCTCCCTGGAAAAGAAACGGTTGAGATTGGAAGAGCAATTGGATAATCGCTCTAAAAATTGCGCAGATCACCATCAGATAGAAACTGTAATGAAGAAGAATAAAGCATATCCAGTAATAATCATTTTGGAAAAGAAGAATAAGAAGTTAAAGATGAGAAATCAGAATCACCATTCTCATCGCCAGAGAGAGACGGTTAATTCGTCCATACACAAAAGAATAACCTTATTCCTATTTTTCATTCCCCAATTAATCAGTTATTATTATTTATTTATTTATTTATTTATTTTTGAATTCAAAAGAATAAGTTTCTTTTTTACAAAATAAGAAACAACTAAAATTGAAAAAAAAAACAAGTAAAGCAAAAAACTATGTTATATACTACATGGCAGATCCTAGTCGTCTCTTTCAGATTGATTGTCCAGTCAACCAATGTAATTTCAGAGGTCCCATATTTAACTTCAAAGCTAACAGCATGTTTAATAGAGAGATTCTCATGGATCTCTTATTCTTATTTTTATTATTAAAATAGATTATTTTATTAGTAGAGACCTAATTTGAAAATCTGAAATTTTTAGAGGTGCAATGGAAAGACCTTTTGGTCGAAGAAGCAGGAGAAAGGAGAAGAAGAAGAAGAAGAAAGGAGAGAGAAATAAAATAAAAATTCTTTTCAATTAATCTCTTCAATCAAATACTGACACCTGGCCCATAAAAAACATAAAAACGTATCTTACGTTTTCTATTTAAGAAATGTCTTTAGCATTTAATAATTTTTTTAATTTATTTGTTTTACAAAAGTACCTAAGAGGCCTGCTTAAAGACGCTGTTGAACATGCTCTAAACTAGTTGAAGTTTTAACTTGATGATACAGTAGAACATCTCACAGTTGTGTAGTTATTTCAGTTGAACTAGTTAGAGTCTTAATTTCATCATACAGTGGAACATCTCACAGTGGTGTAGTTATCTCAGCTGTTTCACTTGTAATCCCAATTATGAAGGTTTTGAGATTGATTAGAGAGTAAAATTTGAAAGGAATTTTTGATAAGGTTTTAGAATAAAAAAAACTGCAAGTGGTTTTTAACATACATATCGATCATAATGCAAGCATTCAATGATTGATATGTCAGATGTTGGTTGTGTGGCTAATGGAAACTCTTCAACTGGTAGATTAGGATAACCTTTAAGACTTCATAAAACCAAATCAATGATTCTTTATGTTGGTTGTGTGGCTCATAATTAGTTGTCATATGATCATAGAGATACATCATGCATCATGACATCATGAGAAGAGGAAATTATTCTCTCTTGATGGTAAAGATCTGTACAAATGTCAATAGCTTAATTAGCTATCCCAATCACCAAACAATGATGAAAACAAGTTAAAATTTGGAATGATAGGTATTTGAAAACTCACGGTGAAAACTTTCTCGATGTGTAGTGTCATCTCTTACTTTTTTGCACAATCTTTGCATTAGAAGAAAAAGAAGTAAGTCTAATAATGTGGAAAATATGATTTACAAAAAAGAATAATTGCTTTGTGCCTTGCATACCTCTTCTAATGAATGAAAAGATGTTACGAACTCTTGCAAACTATCTGGTCCAAGTCCTCAGCATAGCTTTCAACTTTTTCTATTAAGTCTGGCTTTTAAACCACCATACTCAAGTACTCTGGTATGACTTTTCATGAATCCTTGCTAGGATTACAAAAAAAATGGCACTTTCACAACACAACATTCAACTTTTCTATTAAGCCCGTTATTGTGGCTTTTAAACCACCATCCTCAAGTCATCTAGTATGCTTTTCATGAATCTTTACTAAGGTTACAAAAAATGACACTTAGATATTCACATATATATATAATATATTATCACATACCAATATACCATATAGTAAACGCAATTTCTACACTTAATATGTAATGTAGTGACCGGTTCTGTCAATAGGATTCCAACATTGTTTTTTTATTCAAATTATCCATGAAATGAAATCAAAATTTCAGCGAGGCAGAGAAAGAATTGAGTTCCTGCATTTGAAATGAGGTTGAACTGAAGTCGATCACTATTCTGAATTTGTTTACATATACTTTCACTCAGATCGATCCTGATCCTTGACGGTAAAAACTTACTATTTCACCTCTGATTATAAGCATATTAAACTTCTTTTTGTTTTTCGCAAATTTGTGAGAAAAAAAAAAGAGTTTTTAACATTAGTTCGACATAAACAAACATTATTAATTTGGGGTTTCGAATTTTTCGTAGATAGATAGATTATTAGTGTTTGAACGAATACGGCGTCGACAAAGCAAATGTTATTATTGAACATGTCCTCAACTTCACAAACCGTAGTTTACGTCATAGTGCTAATAGTTTATGCCAATCCTGTTTGACTCGAGCTTGTTTGTTCGACTCCACTTACTCTCCAATTCTAAATGATGATATAAAATTATAAGCTCATATATTATTAGTTACTTTAACTGATCTCTTCACTAACGTCTTCCTAGCAAATAGGAAAACAAAATGCTCATCACCGAGGTTAAGACAAAGCAATCATAACTAATCGTAGACTTCTAACGGTAAGGGAAGACATATTTTCAATGGAGTTCTATATATATAGAGCAATGGATCATAAACAGTTTGTCATATATGAAACAAAGTAGTCCCAATTATATCAAGTCCCGAAGTGTTGTTCTCTACTTTCAAGCATGTCTCTGTCTGTTTCAATAGACAATGACAAATGTTGGATCTGTTTTCTTGGGTGAGCAGATGTAAGCTTTACATACCGAAAACGGTGTTTTCTTAAAACCGCGAATTGCTTTGTGATCTTCCATTGGATACTCCAACCATCGGTATTGTCTGTTTCTTTCTCAAGTATATGGCGGATCCGCTAATGAGTAACATTCCTAGCATAAACGCCTGTCAAATTTTTGTTCAAATGATATTATGTTAGCCCCATATTCAACAATGTCTTTTGTTTTCAATCAAGAAACAGCTTGTTTAGAGAAGCAAAACCAGGTGAGGAAATGACATGTTTTTTTTCTTCTGTACCTCGAAACCAAGGACTGATACTTTCTCCTCATCTGCAGATGGGACACAGATTCTGTAAGTCTTGTACGACTGAGACTTTACTTTCGATGCTGGTGAATCATCCAGCAGATTCCTGGGTTTCGTTGATGCAACGACTTCTTCTTCTTCGTCATCGACATTAGATTGACCATTTTGTGTTTCTTCTCCATTTTTCTTGAGTGAAGCTTTTCCCTTCACCTCTTTACATTTGAAAGGAATGCGATAACCTGTTTCACTGCAACGATACTTCTCTTTTCTCTAAAATGGAAAACACAAGAATCCTACGTCAAGACCAGAAAAACTGAAACAACGAGGCTTCACTATATGTTCTTCAGATTCTTCTAAAAATATCGTTTTTAAAAAAAAAGATAAAACGAGATTCCTACTCCAAATCCAGAGAGCCTTTCCAAATAATCCATTCTACAGCTTCTTACTCAATGTAACTAGATACTCAGCATCGAATTCATTTCTTTCTTGACCAAAAATTTTCATTTCTTCAAGTTAAGCAAGAACCCCAGGAAATACAGTGGTAGAGAATATCGATCATTGATACAGCTAGTTCTGAAACTCTAGATCACGAAAAATTTCCTAATTGCGTAATGACGATATAAGCATATAGACCGAATCATACAGATCCAAACAACAACAACAAAGAGCAGATTTATGCGAATTCGATTGAATTTTAGAGAGAAAATTTGGGGGAAAAAAAAAGTAGAGAACCTTCTCGGAAGAATTGCAGGAAACGCAAGGACCTGAAGGAGAGCACTCGAAGGTAATGTTACTTCCTTTTGGAGTTTCTTTGAAACCTAGAAGGAATCTACGCCCAACGCTTCTCGTCTCTTCATCTCCGTTGACTCTGTAGAGATTCATAAACGCAGTTTTATAAAAAAATTCTGGATCGCAGAATCAAAATGAGTCGGATCAATAAGCGAGAATCCAATAAGAGACTTGAAAGAACGAACTGTTCATGTGCTCTGGCGAGAGAAGAAGATGAAATTGAAGCAGCGTAGATGATGAGGATGACCAGAAAAAGTAAAGAACTATGAGAAGTCATCTTCGCTGTTTCTTTCTTCGTTCGTCGCCGTCTTGCGCACCAAAAACTCTCGCAGGAGAAGAGGAAAGTAAGAGAATATGAATATTTTCAGAAATGGTCCGATATTACCTACTATATAGTTAAGTTACCTTACACTTAGAAAATAACAAATTTGACCCCGATAGTTTTAGTTTATGCTAGCGAGGCCCAGTCCCACAGTGGGCATTTCGGTTTAATTTTGGGTTTCGGTTTGGGTTTGGTTCGGTTAATTTGAATTTAATAAAACTCTAGCTAAACTCAATCAAAAATAAGTTTGATTTGGATTGTGTTCAGTTTCGATTTAGTTTGGTTCGATTTAGTTGTAAATTAGTTTGGTTCTACTTCGGGTGAAAAAAAATAGAACTTATAAAAATAAGAAATATGAAATGAAAGTTGTCCCATTCTAGCTAAGAAATCCATTCAGTAAAACCAAACTACACAACTTAATTAAAATAAGTAGTTGGAAAAAATCCATAATGATGGCTATATAATTGAATTAGTTAATTAATGTCACTAATTAATTAATAAAATAGCACATTGGTTCATCGAATAAATTCAAACCGAATTGAACCGTTTGGGTTGAGAAAATTCAACCAAAATTGATTTGGGTCGGTTTAAATTTAGTTGGTTTAGTTTGGTTCGATTTGATATTTTTCCCACCCTCCCACGTAAGAAGTGGTTTACTGCACTTCAATTCTAACTTTCTTTTTCCTAAGAAGATTCCTAATCCTTTATTTGCGCAAACAAACTTATATTTGAATCCGATTACATTTTTCATCTTCAATTTTAGAAAATAATCTCACCTCAACTTTTAATATGACTAACGGATTAAACGAACACTTTTAGGAAATTCAACATAATTGTCATTTAGTTATTCGAATGCTTCTTTTTGTTTTGTTTTCTAAAATCCAGTTTAGTTACTTCACTGTCATTCCTTCCTCTATCAGATTGAGAAAATTTATATTGAGTGCTCTGACTTGGTAAATTCGCATCAGGAAAGATTGAGATAGTTTGAAATAAAAACGAATTCATAGCAAGAGGTATGTATGGCACAAAACAATTATCCTAATTGTTTCTTATCATTTTGTGCACTTGACATATGAATATTTACTTCTTTTTTTGTATTAGAAATGTAAAGTCAACACAGAGATGCAAAATGAATCATATGAGATTTGTTTTTTTGAAAACCCAATCTCTGAGATACTGGTGATGGACGAGACCTTTAAGCAACATTGAGATGTTGGTGCAGGTATATTTGTCAATAGTGATTGAAAAAAGTGACACTTATCATCCATAGAATGCTTGGTTTGATCAATATTTTCAATTGTTTGAATATAGTGTGAAAAAATAATGTTGGTTATACGTTGAAAAAATTAGGGTATTGTAGCTTAATACTATCCTACTCGATGGTTTTATTGAATCGTTCGACTATAAATACATTTTTTTCTTGCTTAGGAATTGTGAGAAACGCCTTCTTCAAAGTCGGAATTGTCTCAAACGCAAGAAACTACACAATAAGAGAAGAGAAAGACATGAACAATTTGAATATATATTAAAACTAAAATTTAGTAAAGTAATAATGAAAGTTTGATTTAAAATATGAATCAATTACCTCTAGAGGAATAAGGAAAGAGGGAAAGCACCACTGTTGTTTGTCGACGACGCCATTGAATTTCGGTCCTATCTCATTGATGTGGCATAAATCGTCATAAAAAGATAATATTCTCCAGGGAAATGTCTTGCACAACTCCAAATCGTTAACAGCTCTCAAAAAGAAACTCTCCACGGACGGTGTTTCTGCTCCGGTCTTCTCCTTTCCAACTATAACACTCGATAAGAAGTAGAGGACTGCCATATTCAACCTATCTTTGAAAAAATTAGGGTTTTGTATCTTTGTTAAGCTTAATACTATCCTACTCGATGGTTGTGCATAATTTGTTCAATATTTATTTTTATATTCACCAATTCTTTATCTAATTTTAAGGTTAATGGATTTTGAAGAGAGACTGGCTCTTTCAAGTCGTATGATAAACATGGCTTTTACCAGTTTTTAATTTTTGTTTATGAGTCTTTTATTGAATCAAAATGTTTTCAGATTTTTACAATCCATCTATCAAATAATTTCAAGTTTTAGATCGCTTTGGAAAAAAATGAGCCTTAACATGTTAAAATTATAATGGCAATAGTTTGTTTGTGATTTAAACACATAGCATGTTATTTTATCCAAAAATGAGTTTTGTCTGTTTATAACGTTTATAATTTAACGTGAGATCGTTGGAGGCATTATGCTAACACTTACGGAAACCGGTGTGAGATTTCAGATCGAATCAAAACACCAAACTGAAGATACGTCTGAATACAGTTTAAATCTTTCTCGACCCTTTTTATTTTTACCGTTAAATGTGTGAAGTGGCGAGTGAGAGAATTACAAGAACTCAAATCCAAATCTCCCACAAACTCTCCAATTAATATTTATTTTTAAGAAAAACATCAGATATATTCAAAAGAAAACGTAGGAATAGGATAGTTCGATCTACAGATACACTTCTTCTCATTTCATTAGATGTTACGACACCACTTTAGTACATTGATGCATCACAGGATGCAAAAAATTATACAACACACCAAAAAAACAAAACAAAAGAAATACAGCCAAGTTAAAAGTGAGAACAATAGTGAAGTAAGTGGTAAAGAATTGAGTAAAGAAAGTAAGAAAACCTTTTCGATCACCCTTTTACTTACAAAGCAGCAATCATAATAAGAGTTAACTCAGTGTTCTTGTTTGTTAAATATCAGCGGAAACTCATCACTAATATGCTCAGAGAACAAACCATGTTGATCTCCCAAATTCTTCAAAGACTCATAAACTTGGATCATTAATGGTCTTTCTTTAGGCCTCGACACAACACAGCTACACGCAATTCTCAAAAACTGCATTATCTCCTCATCATATCCTTTACCAATTATGCTTCGATCAATCGCATCTTTGCTTCTACCATTACTCAAATGCTTACTTACCCAATCCACTAAACTCCCGTCTTCACCATTGTTAATCAAAATCGGCTTTTGTCCCGTAACAATCTCAAGAAGCACAATCCCAAACCCATATACATCTCCACTCAAAGACGCAACCATGGTGCTTGAACACTCAGGCGCAACGTAACCCAACTCCCCGTTACTAAACGAGCTCTCGTTCGAACTCACCAGCTTCTCCAAACCGTAATCTACAACACGAGCATCGAAATCATCGTCTAAAAGAATCACATTTGAGCTAATGTACTGATGCATATAGCTTCCAAGGTGCAACCAAGCTAGCCCTCTAGCCGCTCCAACACCAATCCTAACCCGAGCAGGCCAATCCAAACCAACATGACACTGTTGCAACTTAGAATACAATGTCCCATTAGCCATATGTTTATACACCAACAATCTCTCATCTTCCACAACGCAATAACCAAGAAGCGGAACCAAATTCGGATGCCTGATCTGACCTAGCCTGTTCATCTCAGACCTAAACTGTTTCTCACCAAGCTCATAACCATAGCTTAGCCTCTTAACCTCAAGTGCAGACCCATCAGCTAAAACAGCCTTGTACGAAACTCCAGTCCTCGACGAAACAAGTACATTCTCAGAATCAAAACCATTCGTAGCTGAAATTAAATCAGCCAATTTGATCTTCACGATTGGTTTCTGAAACAAAGTTACAAGAACAAGCTTGTGTGATCTCAACAAACCAACCCAATCACTATCGTCCTTAGATTTTCCGGCGCCGTAACCATTCTTTTTCCTACCACTAAAGAACCACCAGAACATGGCGAATCCAACGCACAATGACCCAAAAGCCCCAATTACGCCGGCGATTATTATGATCGTTAGGTTTTTACCGTCGAACTCACCGCAATTCGATAACGGCTTCCCGCAGAGTCCGCCATTGCCGGTAAACCCGTCTTCCCCGAAACGGGATAGACCGGAAGGGATCGAACCGGAGAGATCGTTGTTAGAGAGAGAAAGCCGCCTGAGACGGTCCAACCGGGTTAATTGAGAAGGAATCGGACCGGTTAGTTTGTTATCGCTAAGAGCTACGCTGTTTAAGAATTTACAGTCCACGATCTGGGACGGTATCGAGCCGGCGAGTTTGTTCCCGGAGAGATCTAAAGCGACGAGATAAGGAAGCCACGAACAGATTTCGGAAGGAATCGAGCCGGAGAAATCGTTATCGGAGAGATCTAGCGATTGTAAACTGCGACATAGCTTGAGAGATTCGGGAATCTGACCAGAGAGTTGCATCGATTGAAGCTGAAGGGAGATAATGCGACTCTCCTTAGCGTTCCAGCAAGAAACTCCGATGAGGTTGCAAATCGAAGACGATGAAGAGTTTGGGAAAGACCAGCTTCTGAGTCTACCTGAAGAGTCGGTGAGTGAGTTCTTCAAGCCTTTGAGACAGAGCACGTCGTCTTCACCATAAGAAGAAGAGGAAATTAGGAAGATAAACAAGGTAATCGAGATCGTCTTCTTCATGATGGGTTTCGATCTGTTTCGTCAAAAGTGCAGTGCTTTCTTCCTTCGAAGGACGGCCATTGACTGTGTTTAGCTTTGTGGAAGGCAACCATTGAAAGGGGAAAAGAAACAATTTTTTTTAAAAAAAATTCAAAACTTTGCTGCTTTGCTTTTTATTTGATACGCTACTATGACTAAACGACGCCGTTGAAAGAAGTTTAATCATAGTTTCATTTTTTGAGCTCATGTCTCGATCAAAAAGGAAAGGTAGCGAAAGTCTGTAGGTACCAAAGCACTTACTGAGCGAGAATCAAATTTTTATTTCTTATTTTGTAAAATGATGAATTTTTATAGAAAGTTTTGTATGGTGTAGTGTCATCATTTATAATTTGTACCAACATTCTCCTTGAGCAAGCAAGATATTATAAAACGTGTTTATGAATTGTTGGTGTGGGACAGTCATCACTGTTGACTGTTGAAGATGTTTCCAACCTTTTTGATAGCTTTTTTATAGAATGTATGATATGAAGTCAAAAATATATTTAGTCTAGCAAGTGCATAGATTGAAATGTTTGGGGTATTGCCGTATTGGGCGATCCGATCATCTGAGTGTAGTTGAATTTTGTTGTGTGTTCTTGAATGAAAAAGAAAAACATAATCAAACAACTAACAATGGAGAAGAAGGAATATCTTGAATTTGCCGTCAGCTCACGGCCCATACCTTGTGCCTTAGCTAGGCCCAGTTATGCTTTATTGAGAATTTGAGAGATGTCTGAGACGGGAATTGCGTATTTTTTTGATATTTTCTTTTCCATCGACACAATTGTTAACGCTTTGGGCTCTACAACTTCATACAAATTTTGGGACGACCCACAGAAAATGAAAAAAAGAAAAGAAAAGAAAAAACTTACATAAATATCTGAATTTTGTGTAAGAAAAGTTATAGTTCAATGATTTGAACGGTCTAGAGTCGACCAAAGAAAAAAGAACGGTCAAGAAAAATAGGATTCTCATCTCTAAGAAAAATCATGCAATAGAATAGACGCTTGAAAAAAAAAAAAAGAATAGACGCTTGCTTTAATTTTGTAACGTAAATTATGTTGGTTCACTCTGCTTAAGAAAATTATTATTTCAACATTTCAATATCAACTCAATAAAACAAAATGACGTCGGACAACAATATAATAAGATAGGTACTGTACACTAATAGTAAAATTACTGTGTTCGGTTCATGAATGCGACGTTAAATCACCACACACATCCCGAAAAAGACGGCAAAAAACTGGAAAAGTCTTAACATAAAAAGAAAGATAGAAAATCGCATATCAGATGCACTTACTTAACCTTATTACTAAATTAGCCAATAACCAGAATATATAAACTTTTCAAGGAACAATAATTAAAATTCCATATAATTTTAAGCATCCAAAACCAACAGGCAAGTTTCTTTGAAGTAGTCTAACACAAACTACACTTTGATGAAAAGACAAAAGTCTTTTGACCAAAACAACACACAGACACTCACACTACCTGTTGTTTTACCGCATCATTTGATATCATCGTACAACAACAAAAACGACAAGTCGTTTCCTTCTCCCTTCCCCAAAAAAAAAAAAAAACTGTACACACTAATTAAAACTTACCCGAGTCTAATCAAAGTATCTAATTAGCCTAATGTTTAATTTTCTCCAATCTCACATTAAATCAGCAGATCTTATGTCTTATAATAATCAAACGATTTGTTTTTAAATTAAAGGCGTTTTCATCTTCATCAAGCCATTCCCATTATACTATCCCCGTTATTCGACATCGTATCGAAGGCCGAGCCACGTGTCTTCTGTTCATTGGAAGATGAAGAAGAGGACGTAGTCTTCACTTGTAAATTCAGCGACAACGGGAACATCTCCGCCGCCGCCGGCGCCGATGTTTTCTGATTGAGATTCAGATCAGCCATTTTCCGCGATGGAGGAATCGGAATCGGAATAGGAACCGGACGGATATGTTTCATCCTCTCCAATGGCGTCTGCGATTGGTTCTTCTCTTCTGTTGAAGTTCCTATGAACTGAAATTTGAACGGTGTTGATTAATTAACTTCACAGATTTCCGATTTTAACAGAAGATTTATGAGTAGTAATTACCGAATCGGGAGTGATGTCAAAGAGGCTGGATCTACGACGGCGGCGATTCTGGTTTGTACGGCGGAGGAAATACTTCTGAGCATGACTCGCGACCTGAGTCGGTGTACGAGTTTTGACGAAGTTTCTAGAGATTCCTCTCCAATCTCCTTTTCCGACTTTATGCAGCCCCGTGAGGAACAATCTATGCTCATCCTCCGTCCATGGAGTCCCTAAAAATCAAATCCAAAAAAAAAATTCAAAACTTCAAGAAACAAAGATGAGATTTTTGGAAAGAGACAGAGACAGAGAAACAGAGAGACATTTTATAATACCTCGCTTGCGTTCGCGGTTTCTGACGGAGGAGGCGTGAACGACGTCGTCTGAGGCGTAGCCACCGTCATCGACGGGGTTTGAGTCGTGAGCGGCGTGATCGAATTGAGATAGATTGTTCATGCTTACGCTTTTCCTGAAGGAAGACGATGAAGCCTCCGTTACGCGGACGCCGAAAAGCATGATGCCTTTATTCTCTCCTCCTCCTCCTCCGCCGTCTTCGCCGGCGGCGGCGGATATCTCCGTCGGGCAGGTGCGAGAGTTGTGGCCGTTGTTTCCACACTGCGAGCAGCTGCGCGACATCTTTCCACGAGCCAGAAGATGCTCGTTAAAGAGCGCGAGAACAGATCAGAACTAAGGAGAGAGAGTAAGAGAGAGAGAAGAGAGGAATAAAAAAGGTGAAGAAAAGAAAATTTGGAGGGTTTAGGTTTGTTTATAAACTGCGTTATAACTTGTGAATGATTCTACTTTTATGTATGTATGTTTTAACCTCACAAAGACTGTTCTATGTTGTTTGTTAACCTCAAAATGACTCTGTCTGTCCAAATCCAAAATAATCATCTCTCTCAAATAAATATATGTTACGATTTTTATTTGCTTTTATACTTAAATAATAAAATATTTATTTTGTCCTCCTTAACCTATATTTTCACCAAAGAGAAAAGATTAAAAAAATATCCCTTTTCATTGATTTAATATGTTTGTGCTGACATAAATATATTCATCCAACAACTTTTATTGGGTTTGATTAGTAAATGTCGTTTTAAATTTTATTTTTTTGTTTCTAAAAGAGTGTTATTCTGCATTTTCAATATAATTTTTTTACTTTTATTTTCTGTTTTATCCCTCATTTAAAGATAATAGTATTTGTAATTACATGTTATAAAAGTATATTAATTAAAGATATATTTGTATATTTTATTAATTTATTAATCTGTGTGAAATGTGTTAGAATAACACTTATTATGAAACGGAAGAGTAGCTTTCAACGCCGTTAAGTACTAATCAAGCAAATGGTTGGATGGGACAATTGAACAAAGCGATTAGAAGAGGTGTTTGGAGAAAACAATTAAAAGAAGGAAAAAATTGGATAGTCATCGACCACTTAATAAACTAAGACGGTTTGATTGGTCTTTTAAGTCAGAACAAAGCTTATCATTTATCTCTAGTTAGACTCGATTGATAACTTAGTTGTCAACTTGACCAAAACGCACTGATTTGTGCTAATATCATCTGTCACCAGTCACCACCCGGATGCAAACATGTATTATTCATGTTGTTGACAAAAATACGAAACAACTTGTTGTCAAACCAAATTTAATCGAGCTCAATCTAAACCCAAACCATACCGGTATATTCGGATTTGAACATTCTTTCTAAGACATTAGTATAGCTTTTCATAAATAAATGATCGAATTGGTAGGTGATTCTATTGGCAATATATTAAAAGTTTCCAAAATCTCACATTCATCGAATAAATTTCTCTAACCGAAAATTTCAACACTACCCTAATGTATAACTTTTTTGATAAAGAACCTAATGTATAACTTCTTACTAGTATCTTTCCCAATCGACACTTCCAAGCTCTTACAGTACTTAATATCATCTTTGAGTCGAAGCGTGGCCAGTTTTAGACCGTTTGAAGAAAAAAGAGTTGTTCATATCATCGCATATCCATATGGATTCCTTGTCGTTACGCATATAATTACATGTACATAAGTATTTTAATTTCTGTGGCCAATGGTAAGGTTCGTGGACTTTTGTGGATATTTAATGAAAATGTTAGTGCAAGTTACAAGAAACCCGAATGGATTCAGTTTTTTTTTTCTTTGTCGGCGAGTGCATGAAGTTTCGGAGAAGATTACTGTAACTTTCTCGATAAACCAACAACATTGCATCGAAACAATAAGCAAGAAAATAAAAGAAAAGAAGAGAAAAGCTGGACCATTCGATGTATGATGCATCTGTCTTTTGCTGTTTGCGAAGTATCATTTTCGTTTTTAATCCAATATATCGACCGTCCACGCTAGCCCTGAGTAGATGATAGATTGAAGAATCTTCGGTTCCAAATAATAATATAAAGCCACGATCATTCAATTTTCATTCGATGTTTCTTATTTACTACTTTTTCTTCTGTTCCAAAATAGATGATGTTTTAGAATATATTTTTTTTCCAAAATAGATGATATTTTGGAAGTATTTAATGCTAATACACTTTACAAAAATAATTTAATAACATATTTTATTAAATTATTTTGAAGTAATAAATTTTTATTTATAAACAAACCAATAGTATCAAATGATGGAGGTAAAGTTCATTCATTCATAATGATTATAGAGCATTTAATAAGTGTGTGAAAAACAAATTTTAGAAAATGAAAAAACAAAAAAATGACTAAAAACAACACATATTTATTGTTTCTTAATAAGAGTAAAATTTCTAAAACATCATCTATCCTGAAACAGAGGGAATACTATTTTCTCTGTGACAATTATCGATAGAGACGAGTTTAGTTAAATATTCAAATGCAATTAACATGCTTTCTTGGAATTACTGATCGTATAAGCAACTGCGTGTCAAATTTCAATGTTAGTTTTACCAAGAAGAGACAGACACGTTTTCCTCACTTGAATTGAACTAGTCCAAAAATTATCATTATCAATCGAATGATGAAAAAGATTTGATGCGTTTACTTTTCGGGTTAAAAGCAAACACCCAATATTTACAATGGAACAACACATATTAGACAAAATAAATAGTCGTGTTCTTTAGATACATATTACATTAAATCTCAAGTAAAAAAAAGAAAATTACATCAAATATATTTGCATTTGATAATAGTAAGTCGTAAATCATTTTAAAAAGAAACTAAATCATCGATTACATTATAACGCGAGGCCAACTATAATTGCCAATAGTTACAAGGCTCTATGATTAGAATTAAAATACAAATTGTTTCAAAGACTTATATATGTGCGACAAAGACATAAAATTTTATGATTTGTGTTAATGTTCTTACATTACCATTCATTCAAAATTCGTATAATGCATGTTAGGTCTGGGCACATTATCCGAACCCGAATAATTTATTCGAACCCGACCCAAAAAAAAAAAACCGAACCCGAATCGAAACTGATAAAATATTCGAACGGTTTTTAAATTTCTAAATCCGAAAAACTGAAACCGAACCAAACCGAACCGAAAATCCGAATGGATATCCGAAATATCCGAAATACAATTATATACCCAAAATACTAACTACAATTAGAGTTAATAACCTAAAATTACAATTATAAATCCAAAATATGAATTATTTTTATTCTAAAAATGATGAAAAATCCAAAATAATTTAAACATACTAAGTTTTTAGTTATATTTTTAAAATTTTGCCAAATTTTATTTGAATTTAACTAATTTTATTTAAATTTAATTATTTTTATTTAATTTTATTATTTTTTGGATATCCGAACCCGAACCGAACCCGACTGAATATAACCGAACTCGAACCGAAATTCCAAAAATATCCGAATGGGTTTTCAATCTAAAACCGAAAATCTGAAAAACCGAATTATCCGAACCGAACCCGAATGGATATCCGAACACCCAGATCTAATGCATGTTATCAAAAAGTTATACAGTATATGTATTTCTAGAGACACCTCCTAGTCTCCTAGTGCTAATGAAATGTCATAAATAAATGATAAATACATAAATAAATATAAGGAAAATGAGCGTCGGATGTGTACTGTACGTGCATAAGATGATATTTGTTCTGTGATTGGCTGATGGTGATGTATCATGTGAAAGCCTCCAATCAAATTTAGATATGTTATTTTTATAAAAAAGGAGAATCTTATTTTATCATATCAAAAAACGGAACAGGATGAGAAGTTTTGGTCCCTTGGCTATTTCGAGGATGCATCACAAATTCACAATTCACACATAACTAGTGGAAGATGTCTCTCTTTTAGTTTATTAACAGCGGAAAATGCCTTTACTTCTTTGGAAATCCATCAATAGTCACCATACACAACAGAAATGAAAATCTTCTTTTCCAAACTAACAAAAAGTTTTTTAGAGTAACTATCTTCTGTCGGGCTAAAGCTAGTTTCTTTGGTAAAGGGTTGTGTACCATTTTTTGTTAAAAAATAAAAAAATAAAAAAATAAGATGGTAACACAAATTTTTACCATTTTTCTAGTGTTATACTATGAAGTATCTTAGTTTTTTATCACGTACATAATTCAAAATTTGAGTGTTTTGTTACAGTTAAAAAAACTCAAATTTTTAACCTGTAAATCAATCTTAAAATTTTGATACATGAAACCATAGCTTTCTTTGTTTTTTGATCGTATATGATCAAGTGACATCGTTTCTAGATCTTTAACAATTTTGGCATGATGGCAAAATTATGCAGCATAGAGAATTTAGATTTTATAGATTCCTTTACTATTAATATCAAATTTTGGGATTTCCCCGCACCAAGATAATCATTGAATGTGCAGCAATCAAAAAAAAAAAATTACGCAAATCTATTCACTAGTAAACTATCAGACCGAAATTTTGATTACAAAATATCTATGAATTTTGAATTTATGGCCATGCCCAAAATTGTAAGGGTGAATTCCAAAATTCTATTATTTTTATGATACCATTTTTAAAAAATATAACAGTTTTTTTGTTTTTCTTCAAAAATATCTTATTATGTTCATTGATATGGCCATTTATAAATGTTCATAAACTAGCTTTATATGTTGTTTATTAAGGTTTATAAGATAGTTATGAAAATGAAGAAATTTACCAACGTTCATAAGTTAGTAGTATATAAAATGGATTAAAAAAATTAAATAAAATTTTACTGATATTTTTAACTATTATTGTAAAAGTGGTATTTCTCAAAATTACCCAAAATATATACATTGGTAGTTATATAAATACAAAAAAAAAATAGTTTGAGCAAATAGAAAAGAAAAAAAAAAAAGTGGCGGAGGGAACAAAGAGTGAATGGACGGTGAAGGAAGCATATTCGATTGCTATTTTCCTTTGCTGAAAAAGATTTTGTTGTCACTTACTTCCTTCATTCATTCTTGTCATGGCTCCCACCCTCACCAAAATCCTTTGTTCCCAACTATAATATTTAATCCCGAAATCAACATTTCTCAATTATTGTTTATATATTTTTTGTATGGTTTCAAATTAAAAATGTCCATTGAGAGATATAGTAACTTTATATATGTCTATTAATTTTTCCCAAAGTTATTGGGACACAACTTTTCTACTTTGTAGAACATGCATATGTATAAAGTGCTTGTCCGAAAGATATTCAACAAAAAAAAATATGATACTTTATGATTTACAAATCATTGTATATGCCAAGAAACCTTAAATATAAATTGTGAATCTATATAATAGGCATATATAGTTACTTCCGTCAGCTATTTAAAAATACAATAAATTTAAAATCTGAAAATTTATATAATCGTATTTTCTATATTTTATATAATAAAAAAAAACTACATGTAATCTATGTTATATTGTACTTTATTTCAAACGATATTTTTATTATTGTATAAAAACATACACGCAATACAGATATTATCTTGTCAGCAATAAACAGGTACACTTTTAAAAATTTTGGTGGTAACTAAGAAAATAAAGATTCGAAAACATCATGCTACCAAATTGGATGGCAAAAGATATTTATAGTTTACCAGTTATATTCACAGTTTACCAGTCTACATTGGGAGTTAAATAAAATATATAATTAATGAGTTAATTTGTGGTGTGAGGACAAGCGATGTTCGGCGAAGATAACGCAACATATGGCCCTGCGTGCTGTGTGAGCTTATATCGCTCCACATTCGTTTAGTTTCAGCTCGTCACTTGTAAAGCTCAGATCATCATTGTCCATGGATCCCACATATGTGTTTAGGCCTATGATTCCATTTTCGTTCGATATTTGGTTCGCTACTCCGGAAAAATCCAACTTGTAGAGTGGTCTAACAAATCACCATAAATTTGCCGTATTTTGTCTTTCACTCAAACACGATATTAAAAGTCACTTCGATCATATATATTTAAAAGTTGTTTTAACTCAATCACACCTCAATGTAGAGTTCTTTTACACTGAGTTAAAACGGAATTTGTACATTAACACCATAAAAACTGATCAAATGTTTTTTAAACTGATTAACAATAACATTAAAGAAATATTTTCTAAGCTGAGATCATTTTTAAAATTAGTCAAATGTTTTCTAAATTGAGTTCATTAACACTTAAATGTCTTCTAAATTAGAGCAAAGGCGTCCCAAAACCTGAATCGGACCAGATTTGTAAAATATCATACCGTAAAGCACGCGAATATCTTTCCCTTGGACTTTAAATTCGACATAAATTATGATTAATAGATGATCGGTACCATTACTATAATGTATAGTTGTACACATACACATGTACGCGTGGTGTGTGACAGTGTGAGGGAAAAATATCACTAAACAATGTTGGGATACGAGATTGAGTACGAGAAAAGATTAAGGTGTTGATTAGTTGCTTCTAATTGTCATCTTCGAGACATAAACATACTACACAACTGGTTAGTTTTAATTTGAGATGCGGCGATAAGTACAAATCTATTAAACAAACTAATATATATACTTATTTGTGTAGTGATTTGCTGATGTGTCGTATTCACAGTGAATTTTACAATATTTCGCTTACATGTCATCGCTATAATGAGTTTCGGCTGCAAAAAGACATTTTCATCCCATTTAATTATTACAGTACATCTCATTTTTTATTGGTTCTTATGTGATGATGTGTTAAAAATAAGTTAAAACAAACCGCTTTAAATTATTATGGTTTAATGTTTTATTTCGCTGTCAAATCAAACCGTTTCTAAACTTGATAAGCTCTTTTAGTTTGTACTGTAACTTCGTGTTTGCAGAAAATGGTAATTTTTACACTGAATATATTTAAGGGTTGACAAAACAAATTTTTGTTTTTTTGCATATTTTAACAAAATCTACTTATTAAAATCTTGTTTTTTTGGGTACAAATCAAAACCTTGTTAAAGAAAGGATTATGCATATTAACCGTATCAAAGAAGTTATTTACATCTTTATACACACACGGCTCTCTCTATCTCTATATCTCTCAGTGTCTCTCTCTCCGCGTTACAACATGGAATCCAACGCCACCTCTCTATGGGGTAACCTCAAACGAAATTCCCAAGCGATGCTAGTCATAGTCATCATCGCCGTTGTCTTCATTACTTTGTTTTACATTTTAGCACATTTACAAGAAATAGAAGAAAAAAGAAGAAATCATGTCCCGGATATTACAATACCTTCTATGGACTTCACGGTACTTAATATAACCAAGACTCGTCTTAGTGTAAAATGGGATTTATTGATAAGGATTCCCGGAGATCTTCCTGGTTACTATATGTGTCTCGAAGGAGATTTTAAGGTTTTCATAGTTTACGAAGGTGTAACCATCGCTGATTCATCAATACAGAGGTTACAATTCTATACTCGTCTTTCTTTCTTTGTTTAATCGTTTTCATTTTGTAAATAGATTTAACTTCTTCGTTAACACTTCTTTTGGGACTATGAAGAAACACATAATTTTGTTTCGAAAAGTTAATTAATATTTAACTCTTTTTGTGAGGTGATCAGTTAATTACACTCTTAGACCGTGGTGGTCTAAGCTGCTTAGAGTTTCCTTGGTTGCTTCCGAGAGAGATATGGACGGTGCGATTGTGGAAAATATTATGGAGGATATTAAGGAAAGAGGTGAAACGCGGTTCGGATCGCGATTGCTTCTTCCGGATTGCAAGTATGGGACGAGCGGGAAGATGAACTATGCGTGCGATGAAGCCATGTTACGGTTCGAGTCTGGCTCTAAGAGCAATGCAACTTTGTTTGGAAACCATCCTAATTGTCTCTATCTTCCCTAAGCAGTTTTTCATCATCATTAGTTTCTTGTTTAGTTTGCCTACGTACGTTGGTGACCTTCTTTTGCGTTTTAATATTTGACTCTTCTGATAATTTTGGGTTGTTCTATTTATGCCTATGTTTGAGTGGTTTTCGGAATTAAGAGGGAGTTATTCGTTTTGTTTGAGATTTGAATCTTTATATTTTTAACAAGAAAATCCATCCAAATCCAATAAAATCTTTTCTAAAAAATTAAATCCATAAATAAATCCGTATGATTGAATAACACGTGATTTAAAACTGAATTTAAAATCACAGAACCCATAACACTAGATTTAAAAATGAATTTTAGAATTATATAACCAATAACACAAGATTTGGGTTTAGATGTCCAAATCCATTGAAATACATAAACCAAACCCTTACTTTTGGTTTTTGGTTTTTGGTTTTTAATTTTTCTGTAGATATTTTCTATGTTCCTTTTTAACGTAAACAAATAAACAAAACTAAAACGGATGTCTCATACAGTGGTTGACTAAGCTGCTTAACGTTTCATTGATTGCTTCCAAAGGATATATGGACGATGTGATTGTGAAAAATATTGTGGAGGATATTAAGGAAAGAGGTGAAATACGGTTCGGATCACGATTGATTTCTTACGGATTGCAGATATGAGAAGAGGAGAAAAAAGCTGAACTATGCGTGTGATGAAGCCACGTTACGGTTCGAGCCTGGCTCTCAGAGGAATGCAACTTTGTTTGGTAACCTTTATCTTCACTAAGTAATGAGGCCTGAATTTTTCGGGAAGGGTAACCCGTCCCGTCCCGTACCCGTCCCGAAATTCCCGAATTTTTCGTGAAAGAGAAATTATAATTTCCCATTCGGGATTGAAAATAATATTTGAATGGGTAAAGGAAAGGGTAGGGACGGGAATGAGATTACCCAAACTTCCCGTTAGTAATTATATAAAGTAAAATTTTAGAGTTTTCGGTTATTTGAAATTTTTTTTTTATAATAAATAATGATTTTTCCAATTTATTAACAAATAATAAATTTTTTTAAAAACAAAAATTGATTTTAATCTAATTATCTGAATTATCCGAAATTTTTCCCGTTTATTTCCCGTTCTTTTCCCGAATATATTTTATTTTGGGATTGTATGGAAAGTATATTTTGATTCTCGAATTTTCCGTTCCCGTCCCATATCTGTAAATTTTCCTTCCTGTGGGAATACTTTGGGTAATATATTCAGATTCCTGAAATTCCCATTCCCATACCCTACCCGTTAATTCCCGTCCCAATTCCCGAAAAATTCAGACCTGTTTTCATCATAAATAGTTTCTTGGGTAACTTCTTCTTTTGCGTTTTGGTAGAATGTTCCGATAACCTTTTATAGTTTGTTCTATTTTAAATGAAAAAACCAAAGAAGACAGACATAATATTACTTTTAGTCAACTCTGTTTGCCTTCTATCAGAATAATACATTGCAATATGAAAGCAACTTAAAGTCACTTTTGTCAACTCTGTTTTTCAAAGAACTCCAAAAAAAAAAATACAAATGGGTAGAGAACATAAAGAAGACCTTTTTAAGATGACACAAGCTCCAGCGAGCAAGTGAGTAGCTTTTCAAATGATCATAATGTTTTTACAGAATCACTCTTCCATGGCTTCGTTTTGAACAGACTTCTTTTTGGAAACATCAACTTTGATCTTCTCTGATACCTGTTGGGGAGCCTTGATCATTACTATGTCATTATCTAGCACCTTGATATCCTCCTTGTATATCTTCTGTTTGTTTGGCTTCAACCTAAGTCCCACATAAACAAGAACATACATAATCAAAAACACAAGTCTAATTTCTAATTCATAAAGTAGTGTTTTCAAGGAATAGACAAAAAAGAACATACATAATCAAAAACACAAGTCTAATTTACAAGTTGTGTTTTCAAGGAATAGTATGAGATTAGAAGAAAGAGGGAAGAGATATATTAAACATACCTCTTTTCGATATATTTGGATGCTCTTGCGCTTCTTATCTTATCAATCTTCTTAATGGCCGTCAGTGTATTCTCTGTTACGTTCCTGTCATATCTCTCAGGTCTGTTTCTCTTCTTCTCAAACTCAAATGTTTTATCCTTTTGAGGGAAAGGAGACAGAGAAAGACAAACGGGAGATGGTGAGAAATTATCTAGATAAACAAAAACAAGAACTACTTATGTGCAAATCAACATGTACCTGAGTCATGTCCTTCCCGTGTGCCGCTCTGTATGCTTTAGTCCATTTCACTTTCCGTGGGTTTCTCTTCATCTTGAAGTTCTTGTGGCATTTCGACCTACAGAACCGGAAAATCTGCAAAAGTGAAGATAGCTTGCTTGTTGTAACTAAATCACAATAAGAAACAAAGCTAAAAAGGTAAGTGAGTGCCAGTTGAGTAACCGATAACATGGAAAAACATTGAGATGCTTGATTAACATTTATGCAAATACAGAACATTTGTAGACGACCTTAAATACTAAACTCCTAGCCAAAGATGCCAATAGTTTCGAAACACTCAATAGACAGATATCAAAAGTTGGTCATTTAAGCTAGATAACCCCATACAAGATACGAGCAAAGAGACATTCACATATACAGAATCCAAAACTGATGAACACAACGTATTTGAATCCAGAGGAAGATTTGAAAAGGTCGAAAAAAGCTTAAACCACAAGAGCTTATCAAGACCTATAAAACATACTAACTAATGTGTCTCTCAAAGCAACCTATATCTCTCGTGAATTCAAGTAGATTAATTACCTTTGCATCGTTGCGGACAAACTGAATACCATGTCCAGGATATACTGTAGAAGAGCAAAACCAACACTTGACCAATCTCATTTTGCCTCGTTCTGCAAATCACCTACAAGACACACGAAGAGACTGTCTCCAACTTCAAGACATGTAAAAATGAAACTAAAAACACACGAAAAACTGACAACAAAACCACAAAAAGGAAGATATTTTCCCAGGAATAAGTGTTTACATTACGAAGCAGATAGATAAAGTTCCAATCTTTTATCTAATTTTATGATTTCGCTGAAGAGAGTCCGCAGATGTAAGCAGAAGAAGTTCTAATCATTTTCAATTCAAAACTTGAACAGCAAACACAAAAAACCCAGAATTAAGGAGATCGATTTTAGGAGAATGTAATGAAAAAAAAAATTGAGTTTTGCGGACAAACCTGCAGGTGATTCTCCGGAAAAAAATTCTAAGAGAAGAAGAAGATGAAGAAGAGGAGGAAACTGAGGAAACAATCTCTTAGGGCTTAAGGGAAACGTGAAACGCCGTCGTTTGGTACGATTACATATCATTTAACATTAAAATTAAATACGTCCTTATTAAATTACGATTACATATCATTTAACATATCACGGCCGTCAATAATTAAATTACGATTGAATGTATGATTTACATTAATAATATATATATATGGGAATATGAATCGAAAATATGTCAAAACGCGTAACGCAAATATTTTCACCTCGTTATCGACTTTTCGAGGCGACTTTTCGAATATTTTGTAAAATTTGTGAAGAAAATATATGCGTTACGTGTTTTGAAATATTTTAACGAATAGTATAGTGACAAATCATACAAAAGATGGAAAAAAACCCAGAAAAGGAGAGAAAATCGTATAAAAATGCTAACAAAAAGATTTTATTTAACCAAAAAAAAATAGAAACAAAAAGAAAAAGATTGTGTTTTTAATGCAAGAAGATTATGTACGTCTCTTTATATATAAGCGTTACGTAATCTTGTAAAAACCAAAAATCCTTCTTGTACTTTCGTTGTACCCCAGAGTGTTTTACTCTTGTATCTGCGTGTTTAGTGTCTGAGGTAAGGAGCCAATTTTGATCGATGTTCCTCTTTCACTTTTAGCCTGAATAGAGTTTTTTTGTTTTTGGGGGTAAAATAGCCTGAATAGAGTTAGATTCAAATTTTCAAATTTTCTGTTTGATGGTTGCGAGATCCATGCATTATTCTCCAGCTGCTAGATCGGTTGTTTGTTTGAGTTTGTATGTGCTTGGAACGGTGGTTTTGGGCATCAATGGCTAGATCATAGATTGCTGGCTTAGAGGGTTGCATGACGGTTGTACAATGAGTTAAAGGGGTCGTACGTGGCGGTTGGTGGTGCTACTGTACCGGCTCACGGTGGTTATGTCGTTTCCTCCTTGACCGGATCGAAGTTTAGAGTCGAGCTAGCAGAAGTGCGGCGATGGTTCGCGATAAGGAGCTCTTTCCCGGTTCAACCGTTTTTTTGGTTGGAATAGGAAACATATATATATATATATATATATATATGTATATTTTAAGTTTAAAAAGAATAAGAATGTGTTTGTTCGCATTCATAGGATGATTTTCCAGCTAGTTTGGTTATTTGATTATATAGATGTTAAAATCCGTTTACTGAGACTTGCGATATTGATATTCTTCAACGTCAATAATGTTGTGAGTCGTCCTACATTCTGATATATTTTTCTCGTTCTCTGGATAATGAAGTTCCAAACCATGGCTGAAACGAAGCTAACTACAGATGATGCACTTAACTATCTCAAAACTGTGAAGGAGAAATTCCAAGATAATCGTGAAGTATATGATTCCTTTCTTAACGTCATGAGGGACTTCAAATCTCAAAGGTCATTTTTGTTTTTCTCTGTTAATTAAACAATGATATTTCTATGGAAGTGATTAAAGAATGTGATGGTGTGTTTTCATGGTAGACTTGATACTCTTGGTGTCATATCAAAAGTGAAGGAACTCTTCAAGGGGCAACCAGAGCTGCTTTTGGGTTTCAATACATTTTTGCCAAAGGGTTTCGATATAACCTTGGAGGATGACCAAGTGGTCCAAGCTAATGGTTTTGACAAGGCAGTTAGTTTTATCAATAAAGTCAAGGTAGTGTGATTTTCATTTTGAAATTTGTAATTTTTGATCCCTCACTTTGGTCAAAATTAATATATATATATATATATATTTTTTTTTTTTTGATATATCAGTGTTGTGAAAACTCAACCAAATATAACCATTTCTTAATCGGATTTGTTTGATGTAAAAGCAGTTTGGTTTTAAAAAATAAAATATTTCTATAATAATTGATATTGTATATTTCTGTAATATGATTTCGTCATTTAGTAGGGTGATATAAAAAATCTAGACTAATTATATGTTGAATCTTTTATAATTAGAAAAAATCTTTTTGTTTGGATTTCAAGCAATGTTTCTAAATCCGAATTGGACTGGTGAAACATTTGGATATAGTTATTTTTATTAATAATTAATATTATATATTTCTGTAATATAACTTTTTGAAGAAAAAAAGATAAGATCTAAAAAATCTAGACTAAAACCAAGTTGAGTCTTTTTAAATTAGAGAAAAATCGTTTTGTTTCTATTTCAAGCAATGTTTTTAAACCACATTTCGATATAGTCCAGTTAGATTTCGCTTACGATATTTTTCCTATTATATTCTTTTTTATTTTGGGTTTTGCTACTTTTCTCATATTTTTCATTTATATGTAGGCAAGGTTTGAAGGCAATAGAGATACATACACCTCATTTTTAGATGTTTTGAACATGTATAAAACGCAAAACAAGCCCATTGCCCAGGTCCACCATGAGGTATATACATGTGCATTGGCACTTTCTGTATAGTGTTTTTTTTTTTTTTTTTTTTCATTTTTCTTGTGTTAGATTTGATGATATGCTTATTTTGCAGGTGGCTATCCTCTTCCGAGACCATCACGATTTGCTTGTGGATTTCGCTAACTTTCTCCCTCATTATAGATGAAGATGATATTCTAGACAAGGATACGTTATGTATGCGATGAAACCATGTTGTACTACCGTATCTGCTTTCCATCTGGTTCACTCATTACGCATTATTATTGGGGAATTACTATAAGAAAACTTTTTCGCAAAAAAAAATTACAATAATAAAACTTTGAAACATTTCTCATGCCATTGTGTCTTTTTTTTTCATGCTATTGTGTCTTAATTAGTTCAATCCTATCTACACAATAACTCTTTATGGTCAATGTGGAATTGAAGAATCTGATGGTATTTTCATGGTAGATTTGATATTAACGGTCTCATATTAAGAGTGAAATTAATAACTCTTGAAGGGGCAACAAGAGCTGCTTTTGGGTTTTAAATCATTTTTGCCAAATGGTTACGAGATAACCCTCAAGGGTGACCAAACTCCACCAAATAAGCTTGTTGAGTTGGAGGAAGCTATTTGTTTTATCAACAAGGCCAAGGTAGAGATTTTGATGTCGATGCGGTTCAATATATACTCCATAAGAAAAATGGCCTCAAGGATTTCTTTATGCAAACAAAGTTCTTGCCTTTTCTATGTTTTCTTTTCATTTTATAATGGTCCTTTCACTCCCACGTACAACTTTGGAAGCAAAGTACAAACTGAAAATGAAACGGGAGTTATTGTTCCTATATAACAAGGCTGTCAAGGCAACAAGTCACCACTACATTATTTATTTGCAACATGCGAAATTAAAATAAGAAATGGAAGATCAAGGCATGAGGCATCAAGGGCGCCTTAGTCTTGATAATAGGTTAGAGCTTACAAATGTGTTTCGTACGTAATACCTTAAGTAATTATCTTCAAGCGTTCACAGTCGCTTTCTCAAATTCAGATGATTTACGTAATTTAGAGCACCTTTATTAGAAGTATCTCACTTGTATATTTAGAATAATAATAAAAATTTAGGTGGATCTTTCAAATAGTTGAAAAACTCACCTACAAATATAATCATTTAAGAAAATCTGGAGTGGATCTCTCAATTACACATTTTTATTTATTATCAAAGCCGGTTCTTGACTAAAACTGGTAAAATTAGGCCTTAGGCGCCAAAACTTTAATAAAATTTTAAGGATAGCAAATTCTAAAAATGTAGTTGTAGTATAGTTGTTGTTTAGATTTTTCAGAATTAAAGGATAATGGTCCCAGTCATTTTCTTGATTAGGCTTAATTTTTTTTGTTTTGTTTTAGGCTTAATAATGGTATGGGCCGGCCCATATCAGCGATATACTAAATCCTAAAAATCTAAAACTTTCAAATCTCTCAATTTCTATAAATTAATGAATGCAAACTTAATAAGAAATCTTTAACTTGATGCCAATGGAGCTGTTCATCATGATCATGGATGTTGTGGAGTGGATAGCATTGTTCATTGTCCATTGTAGAATCTATTCTATTAAAACAAAAGCACTTTTAGTGCTTGTTTTCAAACAATCCTAACTATTTTTTTTTGTTTAGATACTGTTTAATATTATACCAGTTTGTTACAATTTTTTTCTAATATAAATTTTTAATATTTAAAATTAATTTCAATAATTATATATTAATTTAGATAGCTAAAAATTTCTTTAGATATAAGTTATATTTAATTTGAAATTCAAACTTCTCCAAAAATTATAATTATATTTAATTTCGAAAAGTTAAATATTAATTTAAATTACTTTAGATTTTTTTTTTAAATATATGTTAAACTTAATTTAAATAATCTGTTATTTTCTTTTTTTCATAATTAGTCAGTTTAAAATTTCACATACTCAAAATTGATAAATATTTGTATTATACAGTAATTTTATAAGGACAACTTACTGTTATGTTTTTGTAACTGTGATCTTATGCAGAGTAGTTTGTCAAAACATGCTAAGTAGATTTGAGGCCATTAAAAGTACATGTTAACTCATTTTAACACTCATAGATATGTAGATATGAACGGACATGTTAGAATTATATTTTTATAGCCACAATTTTTTTTTTGGATTATTAGAACAAGCTGCATGTTAGAATTATATTTTTATAAACACTGTTCTTTTTTGATTAATAGAATAGGCGGGTTAGAAATATGTTTTTATCTATGTTGATTTATTTTGTCTAAATTCAATATGTGGACTATTTTGTCTACGTTAACTTATTTTGTCTTCATTGACTTATTTTGTCTTCGTTAATTTATTTTGTCTATGTTGACTTATTTTTTCTTCGTTGATTTATTTTATCTTTGTTGACTTATTTTGTCTCCGTTGACTTTTTTGTCTTCGTTGAGTTATTTTTTGTTTTCGTTAATTTTTTTTGTCTTTGTTGATTTATTTTTTCTACATTGACTTATTTTGTTTTTGTTGAGTAATTTTTGGTCTTCGTTGGTTTATTTGTTTTCGTTGACTTATTTTGTCTTCGTTGACTTATTTTGTCTTCGTTGACTTATTTTGTCTTTGTTGATTTATTTTGTCTTCGTTGACTTATTTTGTCTTCGTTGAATTATTTTTGGTCTTCGTAGATTTATTTTGTTTCCATTAATTTATTTTGTTTTGTTGACGTATTTTATCTTCGTTGATTTATTTTGTCTTCGTTGATTTATTTTGTCTTTGTTGACTTATTTTGTTTTTGTTGACTTATTTTATCTTTGTTGAGTTATTTTTGGTCTTCGTTGATTTATTTTGTCTTTGTTAACCTATTATATTTGTTGAGTTATTTTTGATCTTTATTAATTATTTTGTCTTCGTTCATTTATTTTATCTTCGTTGACTTATTTTATCTTTGTTGAGTTATTTTTGGTATTCGTTGATTTATTTTGTCTTCATTAACTTATTATTTTTGTTGAGTTATTTTTGGTCTTCGTTAATTTATTTGTCTTGGTTGATTTATTTTGATTGACTTATTTTTGGTATTTGTTAATTTATTTTGTTTTCGTTAATTTATTTTGTCTTCATTGATTTATTTTGTTTTTTTTATAGAAATAATGTTTTTATAATTGTGATCATATTAGTACTAGAAATTTTTTTTTTAAAATAATATATATATATATATAAATAAAATTAAATAATTTTTATAACTTATTATTATTTCCATAAAAAATAAAAACTATATTACAAAATATGATTAGTAAAAAGACAAAATTCATGTGCCTATGCACATGGTAAAAATTTAGTTAATTGTCTTTATAATAGTTTTCATAATAATAATTTATTTAGAGTTAAGAAAAACAAAAAAAAATTGTAAATCCTTAACCTTATATAGTTTTTTTTTGTCAAAAAACCTTTATTTTCTTAATTATTAAAATTTAAAATATGTGGCCTATTTTTAAATTACTTTTTCTTTTTAGATATTATTTTTTTCCAAATCTATATCCCTTACACCTATGCAACAACTGTACGATGATCTTCTCTCCTTCTATCTTGTTTCTTTTGAAATTTCGTTCGAGTGTTTGTTCTTATATCGAAGTATATGTGACTTAAATCAGAGGATTAAGTAAAGGTTGGATTTTCTGTTTGATTCTTCAGATTCCTTCTTCGATTATCCAACGTATGATTGTTCTTTAGGTGCTAGATCTGTTTTATTTTTCCTCTAGTTGGGATGATTTCCAGTTTGATTCCTTAAATATATATATTTAGATTGTCTACTATGACTTGTGCGATTGATCTATTGTTGCACGCACCTAAAACTGTTTTACCTTTTTGTTTCTCTTTCTCTGGGTAATAATGAAGGCTCAGGGCAATTTCAGAACATGGCTACACGAAATCTAGCCGAAAGTGATGCAGTTAAATCGGTGGAGACTGTGAAGGATAAATTCCAAGATGAATGTAAAATATTTCATGAGTTTCTTCAAATCCTTAAGGACTTCAAAGCTGAGAGGTATAGCTTTTTGCTCTTTGTTAATGCTTGATTTTTCACCTAAAATAATTAAATTTCCGTCTACATAATTACTCTTTATGATATCTGTGGAATCTGATGGTATATATTTTATAGAATTGATACTTACAATGCCATATTAAGATTGAAAGAACTCTTTAAAGGGGAACAAGAGATGCATGGTTTTACGTTTCAATACATTCTCGCCAATTCTTGGTTACCAAATAACCCTACCAAAGAAGCCTGTTGAGTTGAAGGAAGCTCTTAATTTTCTCAGGAAGGTCAAGGTAGAGATTTTGATCTGGTGTAAATAATCCAAGCTATGATAATTAATGTTGTCCGTTTTCTCTTGGCTATACTTGCCTATAAAGTATCATTTTTTTGTCTCTTGCAGACTAGGTTTCTGGACGATGATCGACCATACAAATCATTTTTAAACATTGTGAACATGTATAAAGAAGGTTAAAGGAGCATTACTGAGGTCTAACAGGAGGTAACGTTCGTAACCATTTGAACTATAATGTATTTCACTGTCTTTGTTGCCCTTCTTGTCTTAGTTTGATATGTATATTTTGTAAGTGCATATCCTTTTCCGGGACCATCAGGATTTGCTCGTTGAGTTCACTCGCTTCCTCCCTTAAAGTGTTTCATTGAAGAGATTGGTCCCTAAACATAAGGGATACCATTCTTTTCATTACTGATCATAAATGTAAACTTTGAAGCCTATAAAACCTTAAAATAGTTAACTTTCTTAATTATAATATTTTAAAAAGATATAGCCTATTGTTTAAAAATTGAAGTTTCCCTTTTAGTTTTTTTTCTTCCAAATCTTTATCACATAAGTCCTTTATGTATTGTCTAGCTTTGTGGAAATTATTGTATGTTTAGGGAATTTCGTGTTCACTGTTCAGCAAGGACGAAACTTGTCCCATACACTTCTGCGACAACTGTACGATATTCTCTCCTTGTGTATTTTCTTGTAATATTTCGTTTTCAGTGTTTGTATGACGAGTTACGGTCAAATTTTCTTGTTGATTCTTCTTCTTTAGTTGATACTTGATAGATCTGCTTTGTTTTTGCTTTACTTGGGATGCTTTCGAGTTTCATTCTTGAAATATCTAGTTTTTTAGGTTGTCTATTACGACTTGCGCAGTTGATATATATAGATATATATTCCACTTTTCTACTGTTGTAAGAATTGTGATTTCTCAAGACGTACAACACACAGTGATCTACACATGCAGCTTTCCCTTTTTGATTACTCTTTCTTTGGGTAATAATGAAGGCGCTGGGAAACTTTCAAAAACATGGTTGAACGAGCTCCAGAATTAAGTGATGCAATTGAATACGTCATGACTGTGAAAGATAAATTCAAAGATGATAGTGAAATATATGATGAGTTTCTTCAAAGTTTAGCGGACTTCAGAGCTAAGAGGTATATATAGCTTTTTGCTCCTTGTTAATGCTTGATTTAGCACCTTGGTTAGTTTAAATTACCGTCTACACACTAATTAACTCTTTATGATTTCTTTGGACCTGAAGTATCTGATAGTACATATTTCTATGTTAGAATTGATCTTTACAGTGTCACATCAAGAATGAAAGAACTCTTTAAAGGGCAACAAGAGCTGCTTTTGGGTTTCAATAGATTCTTGCCAACTGGTTTCCAAATAACCCTACCAAAGAAGCATCCTGGGTTTAAGGAAGCTATTAGCTTTATAAACAAGGTCAAGGTAGAGAGATTGTAATTAACCAAGCTATGATTAATAATATTCTCCTTTTTCTCTTTGCTACTTGCATATATATATAAAGTATCATTTTATGTCTCCTCCAGACTAGGTTTCTGGACGATGATCGACCATACAGATCATTTTTGGACATTCTGAAAATGTATAGAAAAGAAAAAAAGAGCATTTGTGAGGTCTACCAGGAGGTAACGTTCCTAAATACTTGCGGTATAATGTTTTTCATTGTTTTTTGTTGCCCTTTTTGTCTTAGTTTGATACACATGTCTATATTGTAGGTGGTTATCCTTTTCCGGGAACATGACGATTTGTTTGTTGAGTTCATTCCCTACCTCCTTAAGTAGTTTGGACTAGCTTTCTTTTTGGTTTTTGTTATTCTTACAAGTAAGGAAAAGTGGGAAGTTGAAGAGAATGGTCCCTAAACAAAAGGGAGACCTCTTTGTTTTCATTATTGAACAACAATAGAATGATTAAAAGGAAATAGAAAAAAGACTTACATACGTTTTGGTTTGGTGAGTCGGTCTGATGATTTCTAACTTTTTATATGTTTATAAATACTCCACCACTGGATTGAACCTTGCCCTCAAGGTTCATTTTTTCATCTGCCGAGACCTTAGGGCTGGTTCCAATCCCAATGACCCCAACTCAACGAGAAGAATGTGAATGTTAATATCACGATTGTGGTCTAGATCAACAAACCGAAAAAAGAAGGTTGTTGGTCTATATATATCAGCACACTCAAAGTGAATGAAATTATATAAATATTATATGTTTTGTAGAGATTTTTGATACCAAGAATCGTAGTCCGAATGGTCCGAATGAAAAATTGTGAAAATTGTGATAGCTGGTTTTGGCACTACAAAGTGGTACTGATCCAAAACAGAAAATGTAAAAATGATGCTTTTTGATATCAAAAAGTGGTCAGGATCAATAGATACTTCTTGATACTACTGAATACTGATAGAGGTCCCAAAACAATAAGAACATAAGAACGTGTTTCAGTAGATAGCATATATATAGGGTTTCCGAGATGAAAGCGATGTTTGGGAGCTTTCCAAGCTAGCATAGATTTTGACTAATTATAGTCTACGGCATCACCAATTCATTGTTTTTTTTTTCTTCATCATTCTTGAAAGTTTGAAAATACTTATTGTTGGTTAGATTTTCCTCAAGTGTCAGATCAATTTTAGGATCCCATAAGTAATTTTATCTCTAATTGTAATTTCCATTTTTTTAAACCTTTCCAGTTATAAAAACAAAATTTGGAAGAATTTCTCTATACTTGATTTTTTCTTTTTTATGTTAAAAAAAGTTCATTTTGGTAAACTTGGAAGCAGTAAAATATGCCAGTAATATTATGCTGTTTAGAATAAGGTGTTGAATATCCGTATCATGAAAACCAGGTAGGGAATAAGAATATCATAATTTTCCTTAGTTTTCTTATTCAAAAACAATTTTCCAATTTTATTTAGTTTTCCTTTTTTTCTTTTTCCTTTTAAGTTTTTTTCCATAAGTTTTTATTCTATTTCTATGTAGTGTTTTTATTAAATATTTCTTCTAAAAAAATTTCTCACTTTGTATTATAGAGGGATATTAGAAAGCATGAAGACAGTCCCCATGAAAATTGACCAATTGGTCATGATTTTTGTGCGCGATAAATTCAAACTATAATCATAGAGTTGAGTGTTTATATATCAGGGTACTTTTTTTAATAGAGAAAAATACGGTTTAGAACGATGAACTAAGGATGGAATTCTGATATCCACCTAAATATCGAAATATATATAAAAAATTGAATCAATTTTAAAGTTATTTTACTAGATTACATATATATATATATATATATATTATATTAAATATTTTTTATTTTATCACGTACTTTAGAAATGAAACAGATCGATATAAAAGCTGATATTTTGACATTATTAGATAAAATTTAAATATTTTTTTAAATACAAAAGTTCATTACAAATTCTGATATAGGTAACTTTTTTTTCTAAATAAGATAATAAAATAAAATATTGCTGGTGAAGTATGAGTTGTACACTCGTCAATAAAAAATAATTACCTTAAAATACTACGCTAACAAATTTGAAAATGTTACCTTTTGATGAAGATTTTATTTTATTTTATGTGGGTGCATGTATCTTACATTCGTTTGATAATCTCTTTATAAGTGTTACATCTCTTTATAATCTTCTCTCGTGTGTCTTTGGGAATTGTTCAAGTGTAGGAATTGCTCAAGTCTTAATCTACCTGTTTCGTGTGAGGTAAGGAGAATTTTTTCCCTCTAATTGACTTAGGTGTCGGCAAGATTCGATGAATTAACTTCTCTAGTTTTGATTTTATGGCTCTTCTTTAAACTTTGTTTCTAGCATTTTTATGTTTCTATGGTTCGAATTTTCTAGTTGGTAGCCGCAAATTTCATTGCAATATTTCATATAATTGTTTTATGATTACTAGATATGTTATTTGTTTGTTCTTGCTCGTATTTTTGGATTATTTCGAGTTGGACAATTTGAATATATGGATTTTGTTTTTCTTTTGTTCATTGTGGCTTGCAATTACTTTAAATTGATATACTTTCTCTCTTTTTTTTTGCTGAATAATTAATAAAATTGAAAGCCATTTCAAACCATGGTGGCAAAGACGAGGGTATCTATAAGGGATGCACGTAAATTCGTCTCAACTGTAAGAGACAAATTTCAGGATAACCGTGAAACATATGAGACATTTCTTAACATCATGAAGGACTTCAAACTTAAGAGGTATGTATTATCTCCTTGTTAATGATTGAATTTTATTTGATATCTGTCCACATAATAAGTACTTTTACGATCTATGGGGAGCTGGTGAATTTGATTGTATCTTCATTTCAGAATTGGTCGTAAAGATGTCAAATCAAAAGTCATTGAACTATTCGAAGGCCAACAAGAACTGCTTGTTGGTTTCAACAAATTCTTGCCAGAGAGTTATAAGATAACATTCGAGGATGGCCAACCTTCACAACGGATGCCTAAGTATCGGGATGCAATGAATTTCGTCCAGAAGGTCAAGGTAAATCACATTCACCAATGGTAGAAAATATAGGGGTGGACAATTTGATTATCGACTTGATTTTGATTTTTTTTTTTAGTCTATCAATTTATTGACCTAATACAAATTACACCATTTTGTATTTTAGCCCTAATATAAAGTATCTGCTCTTTTTCTTTTTTTTTGACGTTTTTCTCTTAAATACGTTTATCTGTAGGAGAGGTTACATGACGAGCGTGCATACAACTCATTTCTGGAGATACTGCATAAGCATATGACGGGCGAGAAGGGCGTAACTGAGGTCTATCATGAGGTATGTGTATGTAACTATATCGAATCTGATTTATTTTGTTCTTCAGTGTTCTCATATTGGGTTTGATGATTACCTACTGTGCAGATCTTTAATGTCATCTTGCGAGACCACCATGACTTGCGTGTGGAATTTGCTCAGTTTCTCCCTCGTCGTTGAGACTGGTGAAAGTGCGTTTGAATAAGCTGAGATGCTGAGTTATGTATGCAATAAAGCCATGTTGTGCTCACTAGTTTGTTTGTTGTTGAATTTCGTAAAACTGGTAACTCATTTCTGTTATTTTCTTCATCGTTTGAACCGCATATTATGAATAAAATAAGACCTTATGGACAACATAAAGGGTAAAACTTATTTCTCAAAATTTCTTCTTATACAATTGTGCGAAAGACGCAAGCTCCATTACGTAGATATGGATTCTTCTACAACCTTGTTAAATAATAACTTTATTATGTATATAAGGTAAAATATCGTAAAGATAGTTTATACATCTTAACATAGCTGGTATTTTTTTTCTTTATCTGGAAAATTATTTTCAAATTCTGTAGGCATTAGCACCGGTGTAAAACTCTTTTGATAAATATTGCCCTTAGAATCATTTGTTTTTTTTTTTTGGAACTATTTGAATCATTTTTGTCTACACAGCTACACCACTATAATCTATTCTCGACAACAAGTACAATTCTTAAATTGTGGTCAATAGATTTTGATTAAATTAATGATGAACATATACTATAGAGAAACAAGATAAGGGTTAAAAAACTCATTAGATTTTGAACTTCTTACAAAATGCATTTTTTCAAACCAAAATACACGACATTCCATTCATTAGGTCTGGAACGGAGCCAAATATCCGGACTTTTCAAAGTATCCGGATACGCCGGATAATCAATTTTACTATCCGGATCCGGATATCCGGAATATCTGGTTTGAACTGAATATTTACGGATATCTGACTAGATATCCGGTATCGTTGGTTTAAAAAAAAATCTTTAACTTTTTAAAATTATAATGAGATAACATAGATAATTAAATATATTATCATAACAAAATTTACAAATAGCAAAAATTTAAAAACATTCAAGTAACATTCAAATAGCACAAAGTTTAAAAGTTTACATAGCAAAAAAAAATAGTAATAGAAAATTTAATATATTTTCATGTCCATGTGCTATCTATTTTCATGTTCTTCTCTCACAATCTAAAATAGAAAATTATCATACAATATGAATTTTAATTATATGTAAAGGAGTTAAACCAAAAAAAAATTCAAACATAACTAAAAAAAATGAATGGATATTAAAAATAAATAAATAAATAACAAATGGATAATGGATCAAAATTTTCTATTATCCGGATCCGTATCCAAAATAACCGCATACTTAATTTTACTATTCGGATCCGGATTCATACTACACAAATATTCAATTTTTACAAATCAAATAGGATCGGATACCGGATCGAAGACCGAATGCCAGATAATAATTCCAGGCTACCTCTCACAATGTCCAAAAGTATTGTCAATTTCGAGAAATCGATGGACAATTTGTTTAATTCACTATCTTGGTTTTAACTTTTGAGTCTATCAGTCAAATGACTATAGATGGAAAAAGAACTAACAAAATAAACATCAAATTCAAGTTATTGATTAGATAGCCGTCATTACTTTGACTTCCAAATACCTATTTCCTTTGGGTTACCTAAACCCTAATTAACTGTGACATTTAGCATAAAATGTTGTATATAACATGCATTTAGCATTATTGTCACTTACCCAAACACAAACTCATGCATGTAAACTTAGCCGTAACAAACTTTATACTTCTTTTTTTTTTATGAAAGAAGGAGAAAGATCTTCCCATCTCTCTTGAAGAATCTCTCCAATCAATTGCACAAAATGGAACAAAAGAACCGCACCTGTTTTTTTGCTATTATTTTTTGTCGGGGCCTTTCTTCTTGTTAGTTTCCTAATTTATTCAATCAACTATAGAATTAGCTTTAACTGATTTCACGGTACTCAAGATTACATAGACTCGTCAGTGGGATTTATGGATAAATGATTCTAAGGTATGTGTGTGTAACTATATCGAACCTGTTTTATTTTGTGTATTCAATATTTTAATCAGCCCTCAAGGAGACTGTCAAGCTTCTTTTCTTTATAAGGATGTATAATATAAATCAGATACTAAAATCTCAAATACAACAATCCTCAAGCTTCTTATGGTTTCAGCAGTTGTCTCGGGAGAAGATTTGGCGGTTTGATTCGAGAAAACGTTATGGAAGATATTAAAGAGAATAAGAGATTTCAGTTAGGTTTTTTCGCTATGGAGTAACAATTCCACCTTTTTTTTTCGTTTGAATAGAATTGAATTATGAAAAAGAAAGCAACGTTGGAAGTCTTCCAAACAGAGAAAACACAAAACAGAGGTAAAGAGGAAAAGACTATAATGTTTTTCAGCTCTAATAATTTTTTTTTATGGAATACATATTCGGAGAAAGGGTTTCAGGCCAGTGAACCTGCTTCGATCAAAGCACAAATAGTTTTAAGAGTTGGTTGCGGAGTGATATGTGAGTTAATTATGCTCTTTATAAATCACTGATATGATGAATCTGCCAAGCTAGTGTAGTGGTAACAACTTCTATAGTTCGGTCTTAGTTTCTTTAGCGGGAGAGAAGCATAGAGGAAGACGAGTAGATAACAAATCTTCGAATTCATTAATCTTTAATCTATTTAAAAACATATTTCTATCTGAATTTTCCACTTATCTCAAAAATATAAAAAAATTATAATATTATGTTTTCTTTTAATTATTTAACCGGGTTAGAGTCAGACCTAGTTGGATTTTAATACGGGAGTTTGTATATATCTTTTTCTTGGTTTAAGTTTGTAATTCCAACTCCCTTATGTATTGGACTCTATCCATTATAAAAATATATACAAAAAATCTTTGTGTATATCTTTATAGTGGATAGAGTCCAAAGCATAAGAGGAATTGGAAATACACACCTCTCTTCTTCTTCTTTTTTTTTCACAATCATACTAGGAGTTGTATTAAACCTTGTGGGTGTATATATACATATGTTTCAACAAGGCATTATTTACCATCTATAGCTAAGCATTATCAAAGCGAAATCGAAAAGGAGTTGGAATGTTACTCTTGCTACCTCATCCCCACAAGAGTAAGCACGTTTGTTTTTTAATTCATAATTTCGTTAGAAAAGAAATACTAATTGAATTTTCTACTGTATCTTTACTCTCAGATACAACAATCTCAAAAGAGATTATCCGCAGCTACTTAGGGTTTCAGCGGCTGTCTCTGAAGAAGATATTGGCGGATTGTTTGGTAAAGAGATTAACAAAGATATGAAAGAGAAGAGGGAAGTGCATTTTGGATCTCGGTTTTCTCTTACCGATTGTAGGGAAGATACGACAGGAGTTTTGAGCTACGCGTGCGATGATATCACCTTGCGGTTCGAACCAGGTTCCGAGATGAAGGCGACTTTGTTTGTTGAGAACAAACGCCACCCACGCTGCATCCATTTTGTTGACTAACCTTCACGTCCTCACCAATCCTTCTTTGGTTTTTTTCTTTTTGTTTGGTTTGTTTTCACCAAAACGTTCATTGTTAAGTTTACAAACATTTGAGTTTTACTTATTAGGTTTTCTCTACAGAATAACAATTCTGCGATTATATTTTTGGTTATTTGCCTTTCTTGAATAATAATAATCGACTTAAAACATTTTAGCTCCAATGATAGGTCTTTGGACTACATATCCTATTTTTTACTATTAAACTGCAATGATTTAAAATCATCGATTTTGTTGTTAAAAGTAATTTCGAAATTTCAAAACAACGATACTCATTAAGACAGGTTTATTAAAAAGCGAATATATTTCTTGGTTTCATTCTTAAAGACCATCATCAACGAGAAGATATTATGGAAGATATCAATTCTAAAGTTATGCTTTTTTTTCTAATTTAGAATTAGACCTAATTGGATTTGGATATATCTTTACAATGTATCCAGTCCGAAACATAGGAGGACTTGGAAACACACACCCTCTCTTTTTTTTGTTTTTTCTTTATAATTTCCCAATCATACTTGGAGTTGTATTAAATCTTGTGGGTGTATATATATACGTGTTTCTACAAAGCATTATTCACGATCTCTAGCATTATCAAACTCTAAAATCTTCTTCGTGCACTCCAAAAAAAGAAAGACTTCTCTTCTCTTGTCAATCAATCGCAAAGAATGGCTAAGGAAAAAGAGCCGAGTACAACACAGAATGTGTGTTCTGTGGTTTGTTGTGCTGCCATTGTAAGTGGTGTTATAGCTGCGATCATAATTGTTGCTCGTTATAAATATCCGTGCCGGATATAGAACTAGCTTCTATGTGTTTCACGGTGAATAACATCACAGAAACTCGTCTTAGTGCAAAGTTGGATTTGTCGATAAGGATCCCCGACGATCTTCCTGGTTCATATATCTGTCTTCAAGGAGATCTTCCTGGTTCAATTCTCGGAGTAAAAGATTATTGACGAAAAACGCGGGGCATTCCGAGAATTGAACTCGGGACCTCTCGCACCCTAAGCGAGAATCATACCACTAGACCAAATGCCCAATTTTGCAAAAATTCTCACTGTATCTAATCAGATTTCATATCACCAGGTTATCCACATCTACTGTTTCTTCTACAGTTCTACCCCATATGGCTTCTACCTAATTATCCAGAGTATTATTAATTAACAATGTCCGATCATCACATATCTTAAACCGACATAACAATAATTTTTTAATAAAAATTATATACTTACATAATGTTAATCCTTACATTGGACTTCTCTGAAATTGATTATCGTTTTCAGACACCAAGAGAATATTCTAATGTTTTTGTAAATCCCATATTGATGGAATTTACATAAATCAATTTTAGGATAATTAACAAAACGCAAAGCCACCTTAAATCCCATACATATTTGTAAACGATTCCCTCTAATCTAGTCGAAAAAAATCGAATAAGCAAATTCTTTTCTAGATCATTAAAAAAAAAAAAAAGAAGCCTCGAATTTACTAATTGTAGCACATGACATTGATAGTTTGATTTATATTTTTTTACCGGACCTTCCTAGTTTATCCTCAAAATCTCCCAAAAATCACAAAATTGCCACTAAAATTACATAATCCCAAATTGCGAGGTCCCAATCCAATCCCTAGCTCTGCGCCCTAATCCGCAGTTTTAATCTCACCGGCTATAACCGGTAACCCAACCTATTAGCAACCTAGCAACGGCTGTCTATAAGTTGTTTTTTCATATTTTTTATTCAATTTTTTCCATTCATCGATACAAAATATGTTTCTACTTTCTACCGTATTTACTGATACTTTTGGTATTTTTATTTCATCTAAACAAAATAAAAGATGATGAAGGAAAAGGAAGCAATAAAAGAAAATGTTTTTAAAAAAAGAGGAAATGTTTTTTTAAAAGGAGGAAATGTTTTCATTTAGTCTTTATTTAAAAATTAAAATCAAAATAATGAAACAGTAAGAGGAATAATGTTTTTTCTTCTAATTAATTAAAAAACGGTCTTAATTAACTAAAAACTACACCATATAAAAGAAAATTACATTTACGTAAAAAAAACCTTAGAGAAGTCTCTCATCTTCATCATAAATTTTTGTTAGTTTCTTTCTTGCTTGCTGCAAATTTTTTTGTTTAAAGTCTTGTTGTCTCTCTGGTGTGTTTCCGTGTGCGGTAAGGAGGAAGCTTGTGCTTGTAGACTTGTGTCTCTACGCAATTCGGTAACTCTACCATGATCTTTCTCTTCTTTCCTTTTTCTTAATCCTGTTTCTTTTTTCTCTTTTGTGTTTCGTTTTCGAAGCGTTTTATTTTAATTTCTTATCTCGAAGCGCCGTAATGTGAAAAATAATCCAAAGATTAAGTTAAGATCGAATTTTCAGCTTCATTGTTTCCAACTCCTTTTCGATTTCGCTTTGATTGTTCTCTACTTGCTAGATCTACTGCTTGTTTTGTTTTTTGTTCTATTTGGATTGCCTTCAAGTTCGATTTCTTCGGATGTGATTTTGTTTATGTTGATTGATTTTTTCCCAGTGTTCTAAAGATTTGATATCTAGTCAAAGATCAAAGGGGTTTTAGTCGAGAGATTGAATTTGCTCAAATCAGAAGACTTGTTGTTTCCTCGAGCTGCTTCAAGGCAAGCTTTGAATTGGTGAATTGAGTTTTTCCTTGTCGTTGTTCTGTAATCTTGCGCTGATCTATTGACGAAGTTTCTCCTAAGTGTGGTTTAATGTCATTGAGGAACAGTGATCTGTTTTTGCTGCTGAAAGTCTTTTGCTTTCTCTTTGTTTCTTTGGTTAATGAAGCTCTGGCCAATTAGAAACCATGGTTGGAGGAGGGAGTGCACAGAAGCTAACAACAAATGATGCGCTTGCATACCTCAAGGCTGTCAAGGATAAATTTCAAGATAAACGCGAAAAGTACGATGAGTTTCTTGAGGTCATGAAAGATTTCAAAGCTCAAAGGTATATTTTTTTGCCTCATTTTTTAGTTCAATCTCTCTGTCCAGATAATACTCTTGTGGTTTCTTGGGAGCTAAATCTGATGTTACTTTTTGAACTGTAGAGTTGATACTAGTGGTGTCATCTTGAGGGTGAAAGAACTCTTCAAGGGTAACCGAGAACTGATTTTGGGATTCAATACTTTCTTGCCAAAGGGATTCGAGATAACCCTCTTACCCGAGGATGACCAACCTCTACCAAAGAAGCCTGTTGAGTTTGAGGAAGCTATTAGTTTTGTCAACAAGATTAAGGTTGATAATTTGTTTCATGTGGTGCACTTCCTCTTTTTCCTCTCTTTGCGACTTGCCTCTTAACGATCATTTAATCTGCAGACAAGGTTCCAAGGCGATGACCGTGTATACAAATCGTTTTTAGACATTTTGAATATGTATAGAAAGGAAAACAAGTCCATTACTGATGTCTACCAGGAGGTATGTTCCTGTAGCTTTTTTACGGTTTTCATTGTTTTGGTTTGCTCTTCTTGTCGTGGGTTGATATGCCTATCTTGCAGGTGGCTATCCTTTTCCGGGACCATGAAGATTTGCTTGTGGAGTTCACTCACTTTCTCCCTGATACTTCAGGAACTGCCTCTACTAATGATACTGTAAAAATGTCAATACGTGATAGAGGCATTAAATCTCTTCCCACCATGCGGGACTCTGACAAGGTTCCTCTCTCTGTTTTTTTTCCTTCTTGAAATAATTGTGATATACTATTGGATAATCGATACTCAAAGCCATCACTTGTATGCGGTTTTGTTGCAGAAGGAACGGATTATTACTCCACATCCTGACCGCGACCTCAAAGCTGAACATATGGACATAGACCATGAAAGATCTTTGATGAAAGAAAGTAAAGAAGAAATTAGACGCATTGACAAAATGACTGATTACATGGATGACAGAGACAGGAGAGGTTATGGAATAGATAACAGAGGTCTTGAACACGATAGCCAGAAAGAGCAGTTCCTCCACAGTAAAAAGAAGCTGACACTTAAGGATGATGATTCTCCTGAGATTTCAAATCAGGCTAGAGAAGGAGACAAGTTTTGTGGAGCCATTGCCACTTCATCTACTTATGATGATAAAGGTGCTAGGAAAAGCATATCCCTCCATTTTCTTATTTTGTACCTTCAGAACAACTCAGTGTGACTATTGATTTCTGAGATAGTTAGGAGTTGCTTGATTTCTTGCAGCCTTGTCTGCTATTCGTTGTGTTCTGACATAGACTTTGTGATGACAGGTCATATCCATGAACTTGCTTTTGTTGATAGAGTGAAGGCAAAGCTTAATACCTCTGACTACCAAGAGTTCTTACGATGTCTTAATCTCTTTTCAAAGGAGATAATCAGCCAACCAGAGTTGCAGTCTTTGGTATGTTTTCTTGCCTGACTCAAATTTGCTCTCTGCTTGCTGAATCTGAACAAGATTTTGAGAAATCTTATGGAATTTTCCGGACATATATTCTTGTATCAGGTGGGCGATTTAATTGGAGGATATCCAGACCTTATGGATGCCTTCAGAGTCTTTTTGGTTCAGTGTGAAAAGAACGGTAATCAGGCAAACTTGTGCTTCTCTTATTTCAATTCGCACGTTAAAAGGTTATGATTTGAACCTTTTTTGGTTTTTCTTTCTGTAGAAGGATTACTCTCTGGTATCGTAACTAAGAGTAAGTCTAGCAATTTTTGTAACATACGTCTGATGTTTCTCTTTATGATCAAGCAAGTTGAAGAGAAATCATCTTAGCTCTAACCATTGGATTGCTGTGACGACAGAGTCCTTGTGGAGTGATGGCAAATGTCCTCAACCTACGAAGTCACAGGACAAAGATACTGACCGAGAACGTGAGAAGCTTGAAAGGTTTAGAGAAAGAGACCGTGAGAAGGAGAGGCTTGAAAAGGCGGCAGCGAGCCAGAAATGGGCTAAACCTATCAGTGAACTGGATCTTTCAAACTGTGAACAATGCACTCCTAGTTATCGGTTACTTCCAAAGAATGTATGCGGCTACAGACCTACAGTTCATCATGAACGAATCTTCTCCTCTTGGTTTAGTTTATTTTTTTTGGCTTTATTAGTTAATGTTCATATTTTGTTTTCTTGTAGTACCCAATTCCTATTGCAAGCCAAAAAATGGAGATTGGTAGCCAGGTGCTTAATGACCATTGGGTCTCCGTCACTTCAGGAAGTGAAGACTATTCATTTAAACACATGCGCAAGAACCAGTACGAAGAGAGCCTCTTCCGATGTGAAGATGACAGGTTCGTGATTAATTTATACTAATGGACCACTTCTTTGTTCTCTCGATCAAAGTCTTGACTGTTATTTGTTGAGCGTGTTCTTGGAGTAGCTTGGATTTGGTGAATATTTATTTGTTCCTGTGCTTTAGGTTCGAGCTAGACATGCTATTAGAGTCTGTGAACTCGGCTACGAATCGAGTGGAAGAGTTATTGGCAAAGATTAACAGTAATGAACTGAAAACAGATACTCCCATATGTATCGAGGATCACCTCACAGGTATACATATAAGTTGGAGTGAACAACAGCATCATAAAGTTTGAACTCTTCGCTTTGTGGCTGCTGAAATTTGTATGTTATTGTCTTGTAGCTCTAAACCTAAGATGCATAGAACGGTTATATGGAGACCACGGGCTCGATGTGATGGATTTGTTAAAGAAGAATGCCTATCTTGCTTTACCTGTAATACTGACCCGTTTGAAACAGAAGCAAGAGGAGTGGGCAAGGTGTCGCTCTGATTTTAACAAAGTCTGGGCTGACATATATACCAAGAACTACCACAGATCACTTGACCATCGCAGTTTTTATTTCAAACAGCAGGACTCAAAGAATCTGAGCACGAAAGGTTTTTCTTTTCTCATTACCCATTACTCAAATGAGTTACATCTGCCTGCAAAGTGTTTACGGATTTCTTACGTACTACTATCTTTCAATGCAGCGTTGCTTGCAGAGATAAAAGAGATTGCTGAGAAGAAGCGTGCAGAAGATGATGCACTTCTTGCTCTTGCGGCTGGAAATAGACGTACTATTTGCTCCAACATGAGTTTTGATTATCCAGATCCTGATCTTCACGAAGATCTGTATCAGCTGATCAAGTATTCATGTGGAGAAATGTGTTCAACCGAGCAGTTAGATAAGGTAATGAAGGTATGGACAGAATTTCTGGAACCAATGTTTGGTGTTCCTTGTCGCCCTCAAGGTGCTGAAGACCGAGAAGATGCTGTCAAGTCTACGAATCAGAATCTAAAAAGTGGTAGCCCAAGCGAGGGCAGTCCTCAAAATGGAGCTAGTGTTGCCAACTCAGTCCGGTCAAATGGCCCTCGAAAAGCCAGTGAAAGTAATCAATTGCGGCAAGCTAGTGATTTGGATAGAGATGTCACTGCGAGTAAGACCTCAGATGCCTTATTATCATGTGACAACACTCAGAATGATAAAATGCCGAAGAATCTAACCACACATGACGAAAAGCTCGAAACCAAACAAGCTGTTTCTTCTATTGAACGTATGCATAGCTCAAATGCACCGCCTGTGGATGGATTGCTACCTCAAAGGAATGGAAAAACCAGCATTTTATCCATTGCCGGTAAACACTTCAGACTCTTCTTGTTAATAGTACTCTTAAAATTTTTCTTGTTTTCAGATGATGAATGGTATCGTTGTTCCCTTTTTTACTCAACCAGGGCTTAGCAATAGTAATCCAAAACCTAGTGCTGTAACCAATGGAACAGAGATGGAGTTGAAGCCAAACCACGTAAACGGGCCACGCTTAGAGGTATTTTCAAATGGGACATTGGCCGAGATATCAAGTACTCAGACCAAAGTCGAAAGAGAGGAGGGTGAGCTTTCTCCAACAGGGGATTTTGGGGAAGATAATTTTGCAGTTCATGCAGAGAATGACGTGGAGGCTCTCAGCAAAGGTAAAGAGATTGCTGGAAACAACTTAAACCAGAGGAGTAGTGGAGAGAATGATGCTAATGGCAATGAAGAAGAAGGGGATGAAAGTGCCCCAAGATCATCAGATGGAAGCGGAAACACATCCCAGAATGGTGATGTTTCTGGAACTGAGTCTGGTGATGGTGAAGATTGTTACCCTGAAGATGATATGGAACATAATAACAAGGCAGAAAGCGAAGGTGAGGCAGAAGAAGGCATGTCTGATGCTCATGATGATGCTGCAGGAGATAAGGCTGTGTTGCCCATTTCAGTGAGAAACATGCTACATGTGAAGCCTCTGGCAAAGTATGTCCCTCCAGCTTTGCGCGATAAGGACAAAGATGAATCTCAGAAGAGCTCTCGAGTGTTTTATGGGAATGATTCGTTTTACGTTCTTTTCAGGCTTCATCAGGTAAAATGATCAGTATATTCAAATCTGCTACTCAATGAGGCTGAAGTTATCTGTTACACTAACATTTCGCTGTTACTTGTTAACAGATTCTGTATGACAGAATATTATCAGCAAAAATCAATTCATCGTCTCCAGAGAGAAAGTGGAAGACCTCAAATTCAACAAACCCTGCGGATTCATACGCCAGGTGACTTTCCCTTGCAATTTTTTATTATGCAATCACCACAGGATGCATCTTTGTTGCTGCTTATACATCTAGTTTTGGTGTTGGAACAGATTCATGAATGCTCTCTACAACTTGCTTGATGGCACATCTGATAATTCAAAATTTGAAGATGATTGCCGAGCAATTATTGGAACGCAGTCATATGTTCTCTTTACATTGGACAAACTGATCTATAAGCTCATCAAGCATGTAGGTTTTTTTACCCTCTTTTGTTACATTCTTGATATCTTTATTTATCCTTCACTTGTGATTCAACTGACCAATGTGATCGTTCAGCTCCAAGGAGTAGCAGCTGATGAGATGGACAACAAACTACAACAGCTATATTCATATGAGAAAACCCGGAAGCCTGAAAAGTTTCTCGATGCTGTTTATTATGAAAATGCTCGTGTTCTTCTTCCTGATGAAGATATATACCGCATCGAATGTGTAAGAATTATTTCCACAGTTTTGAACCAAGCTAGCTTATGATCCATGAACTTCATAGGATGTGTATCTTTGTGCTTTTATTTCTGCAGAAACTATCTACACCAACCAAACTCTCTATTCAGCTTCTGGACTACGGATATGATAAGCCTGATGTGACCTCCATATCCATGGACCCAGCTTTTGCTGCTTACCTTCACAATAACTTCCTTTCCTATCAATCCAATGTGAAAGAAAATCCTCGAATCTATTTAAAACGGTAAGAAGACAGAGGACTATCCCATCTTTCTAAAAGATAATGAGTAAACTAATCAGAAGATCACACTCTTTTTTCCGCAGGAATAAGCGTAAAAATGGTGGTGACGATGAACTGTGCATCACGGATCGAGTTAAGATTATTAACGGTTTGGAATGCAAGATCACATGCAGTTCTTCAAAGGTACAGTGCCTTTATTTTCTGCTTACATCTGTGAGTTGCCACAATAGCAACTTTAAGCACATCTCTATAAAAAGATTTTACGATTGTTTGGTATATCCTGCAGGTCTCGTATGTGTTAGACACAGAGGATGTTTTGCATCGTGCTAAGAGGAGGAAAGTTTTGAACCAAAGCGGCTCAGCTCTCAGACAGGACCCTGTTTCCAGTGGTTCTTTAATTAACCAAAGGAGGATACAAAGATACCAAAAACTTCTCACCGGCCAATGACATTTCGCAGTTACCACCATCAGAATTCAGAAGCTCGGGAATAGAGCAACTTCACATTCTTTTAGAGACACAAGGTTGCCATTCTCTGGTTGTTTCGGCATTGAGCTTTGTCAGGAGAGAAGAAATTTAAGATTGCTCTCACTTCTGTTGCTGGCTCTGGTCCCTGTTGAAATATCACAGAAAATAAAGAGGGAAAGAGGGGAGATTCGAAGGAATATACTGAAAGGACTAGCTGCCCAGGACTTCAAGTCTTTTTTCCAGAATTGTGTATATATGCTTTTGTATGTTGTTGTAACATTAACTCAAAATTCCTCTTTTGTTTACTCCTATTCTTTCCCAACAATTAATCACCTGAATGGAAATTTGTTCTGTATCCCCAATTCTTACATATGCACTTCTTGCACACCCAAGGCTCTAATGTTTTTTTTTTGCCAAAGGGTCATTAAAGACATAGCGAACGTGTGGAGACTCCTTAACCGGCAAGCTCACTGATTGGTGGGCGGTCCATGATGTCTGCTGCAGCTGCTGCACTACGTTGCAGGGTCGGGTCAATATCAGGCAACTTAGGAATCTGAGCCAAGAGATCAATGGTGCGTCGTAACAGACGAGCAAGATCACCTTCGTCCATTGCACATTCCATCATCATTTCTTTCCAACTTAATCCAGAAGCCCAAGCTTCAACCATACCAGAGAACTGAATGTCCAAACAACAAGAAATCTCAACCTCGTGCTTCTCTTGAAGCTTTATAAGAGAGCTTCTTTGTTCTTCTAAGAAATTTACCACATCTACTACTGTATCAGATGGCTCGTATATATAGTTGTTGTCTCTCCACGGTCGAACTTTTATGCCTTCACAAACTAAACTTGCACATACACCAGCTAGTTGAGGAGGCTTGAGATCCACCAAGACTTTATTCCGGAGCACCATTGCAAGCCAGAGCTCGTTTTCTCCTCGGATTGCAGCAGCTGTTTCACCCAGAGGAAATATCAAGTGTGTGTTAATGTCTAATGCTCTGCTTTCGTGAATCACATTGCTTATGCGCATGAAATCTTTCCAACCAGACGGTTCGATCTGCTCTAAACGGTTTATGAGGCGTCTCGATCTCGCCTTGAGCCGTTTCATCTTCTCAACCGTCAGCTTAGCGTTCTCTAGAATTTTCTTATATTCTCTGAACCCTGCCGACCGAGATATCCTCTTCTTCAAACGCGACACTTTGCTCCTTTGTTCCTTGTATTGTTCTGCGGCGTTATCATACTCTTGGGACATATGTAATACCTCGTCTTCTTCGGAAAGGCTGCTTAGGACAGGTACGTTTAAACTCCATGACCATGTCTCTAGAGATCCTTCCATTCTCCACAAACTTCCAAGTTCAGATTCAGCTAGTTTATCCCACTGCATATCTGCCTTATCCAAGAGAGTCTTCATGATTTCTCGAGGCAAAGAATCTCCCAGCGCTAGAGCAATGTTAGGGAAACCAGTTCTGTAGACAGTTCTTATCCACTTCTCAGTAAAGAGATACCATGAGTTATCAGAGCCAAGAGCCACGTAGTAAGATGGTTGAACAATAGGCTTTTCAGGTTCATCAGACGCCAACTCATCCTTGATTACGTTCAAGCCAAAAGACTCATCCAAAGACATCATCTTCTGAAGTTTGGAACCAGTAAATGAATCAATATGTCCTAAATAAACAGCGGGGACTGACTGCTGCATCCCTTCAGAATCCTTGAACTCCAAACAAATAAATGGTAAGTTTCCCTCTTCCATCCCTTTTAAAAGCGGTTTTAGAGCTGAGAACCTTTCGAGTTCCATCTTTCTTCGTAGTTCAGTACGCTTGCGTTTCTCTTCCCGCAGCTCTGCCTGAAGAACAGTAATCTCCTTGTATTCCTTCGCTGAGAGAAGTTTCCTACTCTTCTTATCTATTGCTTCATCGCTTATTTCTGATGTCAGAATCTCGATCTTCTTGTCGATTTCTGCAAGTTCCTCCTTAGCAGCAACCATCACATTGCTGCTCACATAGTTTCCAAAACTCTTCTCAACTAATTTCTTGGCTTCTTCCAGACTTCTCCCGGCTTGTAAGACTTTCCCGTCCTCAGTTCCATTTGATTTACGAGTAACTTTTGAACCAGCTACAAGATTTAGCACCATTCCATATGAAGCAGTAAACTGTGACACGAGAGGTTTTACTCCAGCAAAGACAAGTTTACAGCATTCTTCAGCGCCTTCAAAAGCAGTCTGAACCAGCACAGTGTAACCCTTTTCATCAATGCCTCTGCGTCCAGCACGCCCCGCCATCTGGAACAATTCGTTAGGACCCAACTGTACTCTTTCATTACCAGCCTTTTTTGTCAGAGACGAAATAACTGCAGTTCTAGCCGGCATGTTTATTCCAGCAGCAAGTGTCTCAGTAGCAAAGACAACCTTAACAAGCCCGCGCTGAAACAATTCCTCGATGAAAGATTTCCAAAGAGGTAGACATCCTGCATGATGAGCAGCAATTCCCCTTAGCAGTCCTTTCTCTGCACTCTCTCTCACTGCATCTGGATAAAGAATGCGAAACTTCCTCAGTGCCAGCTCAACCTCACCCTTCTCGCAATCATCTAAAAGCTGAAAATTTTCAACATACTGCACAGCTGCATCACATCCTCTACGGTTAAAAATGAACCATATCGCTGGTAACATATTTTTTCCCTGGAGATGCCATAATGTGTCGCTAATTTGAGGTACCTAGAAATTTCAAGACTCAGCTCAGTCATTAACTTGTCATGAGAAGTTAAAAAGTCATATTCAAATATATAAGGAAGTATAATGTAAGACCTGTGAACGGCGAATCTTGTTTATCTCATTCTTTGAAAGAGGATAATCAGAAATGTTCATGAGGCTGTTGTAGCTCGTATCACCTCCTCGTTTTCTTGACCTCCTTCCCCTACGCCCCTCGTCATCATCACGATATCTAGCTTCTGAGGCAGACAGTTGCAAATAATTGAGAGACAGCTTCCTGCTCCAATTAATAAAGCATCTTCCAATTATTATCAGAGAGAAATATTCTACACTACATGTTGACGATAAAAGCAGTGTTGAACATGTTACCTATTTACATGTGTCCCTTTCTCATCAAGCAGAGGTACTAAAGAATGTTTTGTTGAGAAGTACCAGGTTAATGGAACTGGACGTCTTGTCGATGTTACCAACTCAGTCTTACCATGTATCTAAGGAAAAAAACACAACGGCCAGCTAACACATCTTAGATAACCAGTGGCTAATGAATCTAAGGATAACTGCAGTTGCAATAGTTGTAGTTTACGGCTTGAGTACTTGATCAGCAAAAAAAGTAATTACGTTGCTTAACAATAGAAGGTAAATGAGATAATGAACATGGCATTAGGTACACTGTTATATCTCCTTACGATAAGGACATGATAATAGAAAGCTGCAATGCATTCCCATAGGGAAAATGTCTAAAAACACACCTCACCAATCCAACCAGCTAATTCGTCTGGGTTTGCAACAGTGGCTGATAGGCATATAAGTTGAACCTCCTTTGGGCAATAAATGACCTGAACATATTAATGAAACCAGAATTCAAATGAGACACTCCGCGGATAGTCTTTTGGAGGAAAGAAGAGAAACGGTGGAAGAAGAACTCACTATCTCTTCCCACACAGTTCCCCTAGATATATCGCTTAAATAATGAACCTCGTCCAAAACAATTGCATCAACATGAAACAGTCCAGTTCCTGAAGAAGCCATTCCAACACTAAAAAATTCCGAGCACAAAAAATTGGTGTTAAAGAAGCTCCTAACAAGTCCAGGTACACAGAGAGATGCAGTTTGATATAACTCCAAATGAGAAACACCTTTGATACAACATGTTGCGGAGAATCTCTGTAGTCATGATCACAATCTGAGCCTCTTTGTTGATGGCAGAGTCACCTGTGAGTAGACCAACGTTATCGTCGCCAAATGTCTCCCTAAAAATCAACAGCAAAACCACATTTCAGCGACTAAAGTTGCTTCCCAAAACTTACTAAAATAAATGTAACGAGAGTTACAAACGACCTAAACTCGCGAAACTTTTGATTAGAGAGTGCTTTAAGCGGTGTGGTATAGAACAACCGGCGACCTCGAGCCACCGTGGCAACAGCCGCTGCTTCAGCTATCAAAGTCTTCCCACTGCTCGTGGGAGCAGAAACCACCACAGAAGAACCTCTCAGAAAAGCCTCAATAGCCAATCTCTGGCCAAAACGATGCAATTTTAGATTTCAAAACCTCCAATTCCAAAAAAAAAAAAAAGACTTGAAAGCATAAGCAAACCTGAAACTTGTCGATACGAAAATCGTAGATGGAAACGAGTTCATCGATATCAATCATCTCAACTCCAAAATCTCGTACAAGACTACGAAGCTTCTCCACTCTCTGCCACCTAAACTCCACGCGTTGCCGAGCCGATTCCGCAGGCAAATCCACCGAGAATTCGGCTTCGTCGTCGCTGTTTCGAGTTTCATCAGTAATATCGTCATACTCGTCCGCGGCTTCATCATCGCCGTCGTCGTCATCCTCCTCATCTTCTTCTTCCTCCTCCTCTTCCTCCTCGTACTCCTCGGAGAGCTGAGACTGCGACGGTGACAGAGAATTCAAGGATTTGAAGGAAAGATGTCCCAAACGTGTTGGACTGAGGACTAAGGATTTGGTGAAGCAAAACCTTGGGGAATGAGAGAGAGGAGAAGGATGGAGAGAAGGAAATTGGAAGAATTTGAAGGAAGAAGCTGTGAGGGAGACGACGGGAAGAGTGTTCATGTTGAGCGCATTTGCGATTTGATATTTTTTTTGCCTTTTGGATATTACACACCCAATAATTAATTCATTTTTCCCGGTTTTGATTTTTCCATAATATTACACGTACAAAAAAAAAACTATCTAGTTGGATGAGTTTTGTGACTCCTTTTTTTTTGAGTTTAGTGAATTTGTCAAATCGGTAAATAGACTAGTCAATGAAAAATCAACACATTACATATTTGAGAAGGAAAAAAAAAAAGAAGAAGTCAACATATTCTTTTAGGTTTTAATTTTAAACATCTGATTAATCGGTCTACATCGCATAAATTTATAAATTTACAATCATTGCTTTGATGAAGATTTGTATAAGTAAAAATATTCTCTTCATTTTTTCTTCAAAAGTCAAGTCACTAACTGAAGCTTATATATTTGAATTTATAAAAAATATTAGGTTTATTTAAAAATCCTCTCCAACCAAAGAGTAATGTCTAACAAAAAGTTTAAATATTGGTTAATACAGTAATAAACAGCAGAATTTTTTTTTGAAAAGGTCCTTACAATAAAAATATATATCAACTATACATACTTTAAGCTATTAAATTCTTACAAATAAGAGCTGAAAGAGGTTAAAAAAACTTACAACTTAAAAGTCTAAACAACATGAATAATCTATATATTTAAGAAATAAATAAATAAATAAGTTGACAAAAAAAAAAAAAAAAAATTAGGTAGATTCTTGCATTTGGGCATTTGAAGAGAAAGAGGCGTTAGAATTTGGAAAAACGCCCTTTTGCGATACGAAAAAGCGTTGACATCTCTTTCTTTTTATATCTTCTTCTTCACTTGCCTTAGCTTTTATTCAAATCACTCAAAATCAGAAACATTCGTCTTTTTTTTCTCCTTCTGTGCTCCACAAAGCAAGCTCTCAACGGCGGAGATGGCACTATCACGGTTCTCTTCTCGATCCAACACTCTCCTCCAGCCGTTCGCCACCGCATTCCCCGTCGCTCTTCGCCGCCAGATTTCCACAGACACCTCACCATTAACAGTCGAAACCTCAGTCCCATTCACATCTCATCTCTGCGAAGCTCCCTCACGCGCCGTCGAGACCTCATCCAAAGAGCTTCTCTCCTTCTTCCACGACATGGCTTTGATGCGGCGGATGGAAATCGCCGCCGATTCGCTCTACAAAGCCAAACTCATCCGTGGATTTTGCCATCTCTACGACGGTCAAGAGGCCGTCGCGATCGGTATGGAGGCAGCGATTACCAAAAAAGACGCCATTATTACTTCGTATCGAGATCACTGTACGTTTCTAGGTCGTGGTGGAGGGCTTTTCGAGGCGTTCTCTGAGCTTATGGGAAGAAAGACGGGTTGTTCTAAAGGCAAAGGAGGATCTATGCATTTTTACAAGAAGGACGCTTCGTTTTACGGTGGTCATGGGATTGTTGGTGCTCAGGCTCCATTGGGATGTGGTTTGGCTTTTGCTCAGAAGTATTCAAAGGATGAAGCTGTGACGTTTACTTTGTACGGTGATGGTGCAGCGAACCAGGGACAATTGTTTGAGGCTTTGAATATTGCAGCGCTTTGGGACTTGCCTGCGATTCTGGTTTGTGAGAACAACCATTGTGAGTTGATTTTTTGACTTTTGTGTTTTTGTGATGGATGTGGTGTAGTGAGTACTGTGTTGATTGGAATGTTTCTTATGCAGATGGGATGGGAACGGCTGAGTGGAGGTCAGCTAAGTCTCCAGCTTATTTCAAGCGTGGAGACTATGTTCCTGGCTTGAAGGTGAGATTGAATTTGTGTATATAATCTTCATCTTTGAATGGTGCAGTGTAGTTATCCTTCGTTTGGTTGTTGTACAGTAGACTTGTGCAAATTAGATTTCTAGATATAGGGTAGGAAATGGAGTTTAGGATCAGGATTTTTTACACAAACTGAAAGAGGAAAGACAAAACCTTTTTATCAGAACTTTTTCAGGAGGAATTGACAGAATTTTTTTTGTTCAAAGTCTCTATCTTTTTGGTTGACCTAAAGAATCAAAGTCTTTGTTTTTTTTTGGTTTGAGGGAGTGCGACCTTGAGGTAAGTTAGCTTATTTGTGACAATAATCTGTTTTGTGTTCTAGGTGGATGGTATGGATGCACTGGCTGTAAAGCAAGCATGCAAGTTCGCCAAAGAACACGCACTCAAGAATGGACCTATTGTAAGTCTTTGCACTATGAATTCCCGTCTCTTTTCTTTCGTGTCCCCTCTTGTTGTTTCTTTGAATGAAATCGGGAGAATTCTCCAATAATTTTACGAAACAAATCTTAATCAGGCAATCAGTTCGTGCTTGCATGTATCCTTTGCGAGCAACATTGATTGCTTTTACAGTTGTACTTGGCCGGGATTCTGGATTGAATAAGGTTGTGTTTGAATGAATAGAAAGGAGAAACTTGTCTCTGTAGTATCTTTGTTTATCCCACAAAGTTACAGCATATGGCCGTCTGTTATTTTCCTTTTCGATGGGAGTGAGCTTTTGATTAGGATACATGCATTTTTGGTCTTGCAAGTCTGGACATTTCTTTCTAGTTACAGTAATGTTATTGATTTTATTAAAATTTCTGAAACTAAGGGCAGTGACCATCATAGCTTTGCCTTTCTTTGAGCAGATCCTTGAGATGGACACTTACAGGTACCACGGTCACTCTATGTCTGACCCAGGAAGCACTTACCGTACACGTGATGAGATCTCAGGCGTGAGGCAGGTTAGTTAATCTCTTATCTTATAGGAATAGTGCTCAATCATTTAAATTTCAACTTTTTAAATCTGTATACGTGTTTCTTGTGGCCTCCAGGTGCGAGATCCAATTGATAGAGTGAGAAAGTTGATCGTATCTCATGACATAGCTACGGAGAAAGAGCTTAAGGTACTCACTCAGACATAATAAATCCTCTCATCTTCTGTCAGAAAACAATGGATTATTAGTTTATTACTCCTCAGTCCTCATGGGGGAATATGTAAAAGAATGATGCGCTCTTTATTTCTTACTTTAGGATATGGAGAAAGAAGTGAGGAAAGAGGTAGATGCAGCGGTAGCTCAGGCCAAGGTACGAACCTAGCTTTTACTTCAACTACTTGTACATCAGTTACCACCATTTGTTGAAAACATATTCTCTTATTATATGTGTGTGTTCAGGAGAGCCCGATACCGGAATCATCAGAGCTTTTCACAAATATATACGTAAAAGGTTTCGGATCTGAGGTAACTTTCCATTCCTTCATATCCATCCTTTGAAGACAAACCTTGGCATTAATAAAACCTTTGTTTGATATTTATTGAGTTTGAGTTGTGTTAATATGCATTTCCTCTTTGCAATTTGCAGTCTTTTGGAGCAGACAGAAAGGAACTGAGAGCAACACTTCCATAAATTATGGTCCCGGTTATGCCCATCACAGATCCGTCTCTTAGATTCATCCTAACCGCAACTCCTCCATGAGATCCCGGTTCAATGAATCCCAAGACCAACTTAAAAATTGCTCCAAACATTTTTGGTTTTCAACTCAATTCAAGTGTAGATCCTGTTGTTTCAGTTTCTCAACTTCTTTTTAATTAACTCTACTTGATTGATTTCAACACACATTTAAGTGCAAACTGGGTCTAAACTCAAAAGCATTGATTCTTTTAATGAAAGGAACGATTATTACCTCCTAATGTTGTTTCCTAGTGATACTAACTCCCACAGACGAATAAACGGATAAATGTGGACGTTTTTGTTCCTCTAAAATTGAGGATCTTGTATATCTATCTTAGAACAAGAATCAAGCATGAATTGTTTTGCCTCGGAGTTGGGATAATAAGCAGAGATGAGAAGAGAAGGCAAAGAGCTGGTTATTGCTGGCTTTGTTTGTCTTGTTCTAGGTGTCGCATGTAGTTAATATAAAAGCAAGTGGAGAGGTGAAGACAAAGTCTCAATGAACCCGTGTTGTACTCGCTAAGCAAAGCATCATTCGTATTTCGCAGTAATTCGTTAAATCATAAATTGTCACATACCAAACAGCACATTTATTATTTCCAAAATTCAAGAAAAAAAAGGGAAAGCATCTACCTTCTCCGTCCGTATCCAAGACGACATCATTGTTACACCACCTAACTTTGCTTTATATTACTATCCCAACATGAGCTAATTCAAAAAAAAAAAAACATCAGCTAATTCTTACGTCTCTACCAAATTCCAAACTTGATTTCTTCTCTCTCTTTTTTTTTATCCTTTTTTTTGCTTACTACTTCTTATCATGACATCTATGGGGCAAGAAAAAAATAAAACATATTTTTTCCTAATTTCCCGCAGTGGAAATGTTTACGTGTGCTTGATTGAGCTTCTTGTCAAGAAGTTTTCGTCATTAGTTTGGTTGGGTGTTTCTATTTTTATTTTTTTTGGTTTGGTTAGGTTTTTCATGAGTACATGGCAGACAATTATAGTGCTTATAGTCAAAATACATGAAAAAAATGAATGCAAAGAACTCAAGTAATCATAAAAGAAGGTTGGTTCTTTACTAGCTTGTTGAAACCATAGCATTAGCTAATTCACACTAACAAATATTTAGTTTATTAAAAGGAAAAGGGGGTATTATAATCAGATTTTTTTTTCTAATATATAACCAGATTTTCGCTCGACGGTATCTTAAAACTCCAAATGTTAAAGAATTTTCTCCTTCACACAAAAAAGGGAGTATTTTCGAAATGTTGTTCGCAACAAAAAGTACGCAGCAGGACAAACGAAATGGAATTTTTTCTTTAATTTTGGGTAATGAAATTCCTCTTTATATTATAATTAGTTACGATAATTTTATTTATTCAGTGGCACTAGTCACACAATAAGTTGACAAAAAATAACACATTTATTAAGTGGCACCACGCAACGAGAATATTCGTAGTGTGAGACACGCTCGCTACTCAGTATTCCAAAAACAACAAATGCAACAAAGGAGCATTAAAACATTTTAAAGATAAATCATTACTTTTTCCAATATTTAGATAACTCATAAACTTAGTCTGTTAAAATCTAGAAATCCAAAAATTACCTTGTTTGCGTAAACAAAATAAAATATTTTTAGACATCAAATTTCCTTTTCTTGTCCAAAAAAATTCTTTAGAAAAAATTTTGTCGTAATCAATCCATTTACCGTAAGAAATTACTACTACTGGTCAGAAAAATGAGCGTGCGTGGCACGTGAGAAAATTGGGGGTTGGAGAAACGAGTGATCAGCCAATGAAAAGCCTCCTCATCGTTCAATCTCAGCCGTCCACTTTGGTATCGAGCCCATACAACTTTAAGAGAATCCAGCTGGCTCCATCGTGTTCACAGCTGGCACAAACCGATCACAAGTTTCCAAAAGCCACCATTCAATTTTCATCTTACGGTACACCAAACCATAGACAATCAAAAAAATGCTCTGCTTCTCATTTTAATTACCGAGATCTTGGATTATTAATTGTTAATCCCATCAGTTGAATCGGTAATTACGTTGGGATTGATCATAAAACACTTTCTCTTTAACGACGAAGCCCAAAAAAAAAAATTAATATATAACGACTAAGCCACATCACTCTCTTGCTTTCAAAGCGCTTGGAAGAAACTTCTCTCTAAAAAGCCAAATAAAAATCCAATAATCTTCTTCTTGTTCATCTTCTTGCTCTTTTATACATTCTTGAACTATTTTCAGTAATTATTTACAGAAGCTTCACAGTTCTTGAAAATGCTAAATCAGTAGAGCAAGAAAGCACAGATCTTTACTCTACTCTCTCTCTCTCTCTTTCAACTCGAAAGATTAAACGATGAGAGAGGAGGAGAAAACGCGTTTTCTGAAAATGCGGGTGCGTTTTCCGATGAAATCAGCGGTTTTAGCTTTCGTCGTCTTTTTGGTGTTTATTTCGCAGTTCGCCGTCGGAATACGGTTGGTTCCGGGGAGGATCGCCGCCGTCTCCGCCACCGTCGGCAACGGGTTCGACCTCGGACCATTCGTGGAAGCTCCGGAGTACCGAAACGGCAAGGAGTGCGCGTCGCAATCGTTAAATAGAGAGAACTTCGTGTCGTCTTGCGACCCTTCGCTCGTTCACATCGCTATGACGCTCGACTCAGAGTACCTCCGTGGCTCAATCGCGGCCGTCCATTCAGTGCTCCGCCACGCGTCGTGTCCAGAGAACGTTTTCTTCCACTTCATCGCTGCCGAGTTTGACCCGGCGAGTCCACGCGTTCTGAGTCAACTCGTCCGATCGACTTTCCCGTCGCTGAACTTCAAAGTCTACATTTTCCGGGAAGACACCGTCATCAACCTCATATCCTCATCGATCAGACAAGCCCTCGAGAACCCATTGAACTACGCTCGAAACTACCTCGGAGACATTCTTGATCGCTGCGTCGACCGAGTCATTTATCTCGACTCGGACATCATCGTCGTCGACGATATCACCAAGCTGTGGAACACGACGTTAACCGGGTCAAGAATTATCGGAGCTCCGGAATATTGCCACGCAAACTTCACCAAATACTTCACCTCAGGTTTCTGGTCCGACCCGGATTTATCCGGATTCTTCTCGGGTCGAAAGCCTTGCTATTTCAACACGGGAGTGATGGTGATGGATCTTGTTAGGTGGAGAGAAGGGAATTACAGAGAAAAGATCGAGACTTGGATGCAGTTACAGAAGAAACGAAGAATCTACGATCTTGGTTCGTTGCCACCGTTTCTTCTCGTCTTCGCAGGGAACGTTGAAGCAATTGATCATAGGTGGAACCAGCACGGTTTAGGAGGAGACAATGTACGAGGAAGCTGTAGGTCTCTGCATAAAGGACCAGTGAGTTTGTTGCATTGGAGTGGGAAAGGGAAGCCATGGGTTAGGCTTGATGAGAAGAGACCATGTCCTTTGGATCATTCATGGGAGCCGTATGATTTGTATGAGCATAAGATTGAGAGAGCTAAAGATCAGTCTTTGCTTGGCTTCTCTTCTTTGTCTGAGTTAACAGAAGATTCAAGCTTTTTGTGAGAGAGTATGTGCAAGTCAAACATTCTTTTTTTACGTTATGTTGTAGTTTCAATACATTTTTTTGGTTGTGTGCACAAATTTGATTAGCGAGAGAGAGGAAGAGAGAGTTTGTAAAACTAGTTAGGAGAATTCCTTTTGGATACAATTGTTTTTTTTTCATATGTTCTGCTGATTTCAAATCTGTCTTGTAAGCATTTGCATAAGAAATCTCAATTTTCACCGTTGAGATACATTTTTTTCAGACATATAGCAAGAGTTGTCTGCGTGAATGAATTACTTTGTCAATACTTTTTTTTCAGACATATAGCAAGAATTGTCTGCGTGAATGAATTACTTTGTCAATGTAGATTTCATATTTGACTAATATGTATCTCGAAGTGGTTACTTGAAATTGTTAAAGAAAGATGTCCGTGAGGATGAAACAAAGTGAAATAAATGAAGGAGAATGGAGAAGAAGCGTTACGTTATTTGAATCTGGTCTTTTTAGACATTAAAGGCTTGGCTCCTCGGAAATATAAGTTTTCAAACTGGAAAATGGACACACAATTTATAACTCTTCTTCATATCTTTAAGTCTCTCCACCATTTGTCAAACTTACATCACTATTAAACTTTTTTTCTGAAGACTCACCTTATACTGCATGATTTGGGTTATTTTGGTTTCTGGACTGAGCTGATCTGGGCTGGGCTGAGGTAGTCTTTGCTGGGCTTTGTTGGTCAGTTGGCTTTTGAAAAGAATTTCTACTACTCCAAGTATAATATTTTTTGTGTAGTCTTCACACAGTGAAAGATTGTGAAAGCTACGTGAACAAAAAAAAAAGAAAATTATAAAAACTTGATGTACAATATAGTACCTTTGACTTTGATGATTACCACCAACTAGTACTTAGCTATCAACATTAGTCAGTTAAAATAGTTAATAATCATTTGTCCCCACTCCACATAATCGCATAACTAGGTGAAAGTACTGTAGTATCTTCCCTTAACTTCTCACTTTCTAACACTTGTTACTTTACTATTTTCCGACAAAGGTCCCACCATCTCTTGTCTTCACTGCTCATCCTTGTGTCTGATCTCATATCTTCTTCTTCTTCTTTTTCTTCGTCTCTCATTTATCTTTTCTCTCTCAAAATCTGCATTTGGAATTTTCGTCTTAAGATCAATACTTCGTTATAATCTTCCTCTTATGTTTTTTCCCCCACAAAGACTCCAGCTTTGAAAAGGCATTGGTGAATCTTTACTTTGACAAGTGTTTCAACTTTTTGTTTCCATCGTCATTTTAGAAACTATACAAAGTTTTGTGGGTTATCTTCACTTTTCAGGTGAGCTTATAAGATTGCCTCTAGATTCTTTCTCTCTCCTGCTCTCTTTTTGGATTTGGAATGATATTTTCTTAGCTCCAATCACTGATTAGGGGTTGGGCTCTTTCTTTGGTTCTTCAATTATTGAAGCTTAACTTTGGCTCTTTCTTCAGTTAATTTCAGAAGAATTTAACTTTGCTCACCATGAGGGGTTTCCAATTCTGTGAAATAGTTAAAAAAAAATAATAATAAAGTAGCAACCAATTTACTAAACTGAGATTATATGCTTTTCCTCTTTCTTTACCTTTCTTTTTATAAAATTTTCTGCAATGTGCATATATAAGAACCTTCACTTATTGGCTGTAAAAAATTGGTATTATTTTAGCCAAGTCCAAGCTGATATTCGTTTATTCTTAGCTTGTTCAAGTTTGGAAGTGATAAGAGTTTCTTTAGTTTTGTGGGGATTAGGAATCTTTCTGGTGAGCATTAATGGGGGATATGGAAGTTACTATTGCCAATGGTGAAGATAAGGTAATGCCCATTTGTAGACATCAACGGACATCAACATAACTTGCTATAGACTGTTTTAGTTTATACTTAATCTGTGACTAAAAAGGTTAATTGACGTTATCATCAATGTCCTATGATCTGTTACGTATATGTGTGGTTAATTAGTTAGGTGTTTAAATGAACTTGTTTGTGGATAAACAGATAATGACTGCTACTTCATCAAATCCGGATATGCAAGTGTCTGTTTCGTTTGGTAAATTCGAGAATGATTCACTTTCATGGGAGAAGTTTTCGTCTTTCTCTCCCAACAAGTACTTGGAAGAAGTGGAGAAGTGTGCAACTCCAGGATCAGTAGCACAGAAGAAGGCTTATTTCGAATCACATTACAAGAAGATCGCTGAGAGAAAAGCCGAGATCATCTTGGAACAGGAGAAAAGATTAGAGAGGAATGCATCTTTCAGGCCAACTCTTCAAAACCGTGGAAATACAGACAATGAAAATGACTTTTCGGTTATGATAGAGTCTAATGCCTATTATGGATCTAATGGCGTGATTACTTCTGAAGAAGATAAGTTTGAGACCGGCATTGCTACTGAAATGAATGAGACATGTAACCATGAGCCTCCTGAAGAAACTATGAATTGCAAGGAACGTCAAAACTCGGTTGATGCTAGGGAGAAACTTGAAGAGGTTGTTTGCATTGAGGAAAAACAAGAATTGATTGTCCAAGTGGAGAACAAAGAGAAACCAGAAGAGGTTGTTTGTATGAAGGAAGAAGTAAAGGAAGAAATGAAACAAGATATTTCATCAAAGGATACTGGCGACATGATTGAAACAACGATGAAGGAGACAAAGAAAGAGAAAGATCATTATCTAGTTAAGAAGACAGATAAAAATGTGCGAACAAACCATAGAAGAAGCTCTCCCAAGGTAATACCATAAGCTTCCTTATATTTGTTATATTTCATACTTTCTTCAAATGACTGTATCTCGGTCTTGCAGCCTAATCAGGTGAACAAGAAACCGGTAGTGAACGAGGTTGTAACGAGTAGAAAAAGTCAACCAAGCAAGGAGAAAAACATGATAAAGGCAACAAATAAAGCAGCATCAGCTGTCTCAAAATCCCCAGGGTTTTCAACTCCAAGAATGTCCAAGCCAGCTTCAACAATCAGTTCCATATCTACTTTCCGCTCTTCAGGAAAGAAGGAAAATGGCTCGACTTTACCGAGAAAGAAACAAACCGCTCAAAAGACATTACACACTTTTCTCAACCTTGGTCAACCGGGCTCTGAACCTACGGCTCTTGCTACCAACAGAAAATCCTTGTTCATGGAACAAATGGGAGATAAAGACATTGTTAGACGTGTTTTTAAAACTTTCCAGCAGAGTTTTGACCAAATGAAACCTTCTGATAATGGGCAAGATACAGCTCCAAAGCAGGTATAGTATTTTGCTATTTCAAATGTGTTAGAGATTCTGCTGGTTATTAACTAAACAGCAGCAGAATCTGCTCCAAAGCAGTCAATGATTGCTGCCTATGTTTTATACCAGGTTCATGCAAAGGCAACTAGTGTCTCGAAGTAAGCTACTTCTGGTCTGAAAGAAAATGGCAGGTACAACTGGGATTTATGATATCTTTCTTAGTTATAAATCATATTTATCTTCTTTTTGCTCATGCATCAACATCTAGTGTTTGCTAAAAACTCATCATGTCTTGTTTGAGTCCTAAAGTTGTGTTCTTTTTCTGAAACAGGCTTGCGAAATCTGATGGCACGGAGAAAAAAGGTTCTAACTCTCACCGTTCTTCATCGTTTATAACAAAAAGCAATGGGACACCGACAGTCAAGAAACAGGAGGTAACATATCTGATGAGCAAACCAAACTGTATCCACCATTTTACCTCTGAGATAGCAACGTGATGGTTGAAGAATGCGCAGTTTTTCTAATCACTGTGTCCTCACACTGATATTTCTTCTCCAAATTCAGCTCTCCAGGCCTGAAGAAAGAGCTGTAGAGAGGATACGCTTTCAGGCGAAACAAAAGGCATTACTCATAAGGGCTTCTTCATTTATGAGCCTCACAAGAGAACCTTGTGCACTGCTTTTCATTAACACTGATCATTCCTGTCTAATCAGGCAAAAGCAACCAATGCCACAACTCGGACGCGCAATCTTGATCCAAAAGCAAAATCCATGCAAGGACCTCTCCCAAAAGGCTCTTCAGACCAAGTACGATGATGTGGCATTCCTCGTTTTGTGACCGATGAGCATTGTTTTTTCCGATCTCCTGGAGGGTTCCATGGTATGTGACTAAACCACAAGGCAAAGATCTTCACCAACGGTCATCAGAATAAAAAATCAAGTATCTCCAAGCTTTCAGGCGATTCTTAAGAGGTAAAAAGTCAATGATGTTTGTTATATAGAAAAGTTACCAAGTAACAAAAAGATTAAATGTCTTCTGTGAATGCATGTGTACAGAGTCTATAGACTATAAAAGTGAGAATGCTGTTATTTTCTCAATAAGGAGAACATAACTGAAAACCAATCCTATTATTTCCACTGTAAATGTTTTTATTGTCACCAGGACTATAGACTTGTTACAGAGACTTACATTTTCAAAAGAAATCAAGAACCTGCAAGACTATATGGTTAATAATCTTTTTAGCGTCCATGAGAGACAAAGGATTCAGTAAAGGTCAAGGGAGCGATGGAACTGGACTCAGGAGAATCAGCTGCTTCACCTGAGGCATCAGTGCTTCCACTAATTTCTCGAGCCTTCATAATTTCAAGTAAGTTATGAGGAAGCTGAGAAACATTGTCCATGAACTGAATGACGCTGGACATGCTTGGCCTCATGGCTGCTACCGGATGCGAACAGAGTAACCCGAGTTTCAGAACAAGTTCCACTTGCTCCTCAATATACTCATGCCTTATCTTATTATCAAGAACCTGCATTAAATTTCCATTCTCCCAGCACTCTAGTACCCAATCAGTCAGTACCATCTCACTTTGCGATGCTCGTGACAATATGGGTTTGCGACCGCAAGTAATCTCTAGCATAACCACTCCAAGTGCGAATACATCTGATCTTGTACTTGCCTTTCCTGTTCTTGAAAGCTCAGGTGAGATATATCCAAGAGTACCTTTGAAGTAGAACATTGTGAGTGAAAATATATTTTTTGGAGTTAAGTCTTTTAATACATATAAGCATGAGAGGTACCTGACACATGAGAGGTCTGAGGATCAATCCCATGATCACAGAGCTTCGCGAGGCCAAAGTCACCAAGTTTTGCGTTCATAGTTTCGTCAAGCAGGATGTTGGCTGGTTTAATGTCCCTGTGGATAATCACCTGCACCCATTGTTGGTGCAGATAGCAGAGTCCAGAAGCTACATCTTTGATGATCTTGAATCTTTGTGACCAATCAAGATTTTCATTTTTCTGGTGGTAGAGGAACTTATCAAGGCTTCCTTTCGGCATACAATCATACACCAAGTAGAGTTCACCTTTGTGTCTGCAGTAGCCTTGGAGCCGAACTAAGTTAAGGTGTCTGAGACGCCCAATGGTAGCGATCTCAGCAATAAACTCTCTCATGCCCTGTCTTGAATCATGAGAAACCCTCTTCACCGCGATCTCTATGTTGGACACTGGTAATGTACCCTTGTAGACTTTCCCAAACCCTCCTCTACCGAGAAGCTCGGTATTACTGAAACCCTTTGTGGTAATGTGTAGATCTTTGTAAGCAAACCTATGAGGGACCAAACTGCACCTCCCAGTCCTCGAGAACTTCCAGTAGCTTCTTCCTATTCAGGAAAAGCTATAATCCAAGACTCAAGAAGATGAGTATGGTGACGCCTGATATAGTCAAAATGATGGTCAAAACCCCGTTCAGACTCTGGCTCCATGGCTTACTGTCATCTTTAAAGTAACCTGCTGAAGCAGCCATTTCTGACTGTAAGTTGTTTATGTCTACACCAACATGGATATCAATGTCATCGAACTGAGAGCTTTGGAAGGTAGCAAGGTCAACAGCTACTATATGATTATTGGGATCTCTCATGGAATAAACGTTGGACAAACCTTTCGTAGGAGAAAGGGCAAAGGAAAGTCCATCGCCGTAGCTAGTTCCATAGACTATAGCGAAAATGAAGGTGGTGGAGAAGGAGTAGACGTTACCGTTTACAGAGTCCTTGAATCGCAGTTGGAAATTGTAGAAAACTTGACCAAGTGTTAGAAACATGGTAGAATTCGTAAGACTTATCAGGCCCATTACTGTCTAGATTTGCTGATCCACATGTATATAGGTATCTGTTGAAGTATCCATTGAAATTGAACTCTCCACCAATTGGCTCTGAACCTTGACATACTACGTTCTTGGGGAAGAACAGCATCAACAAAAACAACAACAACATCATTATTGACTTGTTTTGGAAACAGAGCCAGATGTTCTTGCAAAGATGGCAAGAAAGAAGAGATTCTAGGAGGAGAGAATAGACCAATGAGAAGAGTTTAAGAGTCAGAGTCATACTTCTTGAATTTATCATTCAATTCAATTCTTAGTTAATTATTTTTTCTACTCCACAAGATTCAAAGTCATACTTCCTGAATTTATCAATCCAATTTTCTGTTGACTCGTTCTTTCAAGTTTCAATATATATGAATTATCCAGTTACGCAAGATGTGGACAGTCTGGGAATTTTCAGGTTTGTTTGTTCTTCCTTTCTTGGTTACTTAATTGATTCTTGTCCATTATACTGTAATTTTGCAAGAGACGAAACAATTTAATACGTTTGCAATATGGACAAAGACTTACTAATGCTCTGTTTCGAGGCTAGACTTACTAATGCTCTGTTTCTAGGCAAGATTATGTTGACTAATAAGGTTACTAATAATGGAAAGAAAGAAACTACCTTATTTTATTCATTCTACAATCTCAACTTTTCAGCATAATAAGATCATTAGTTAGCGTCCACGAGAGACAAAAGATTCTGTCATGATCGAAGAAGAAACATTACTACTAGCCCCCGGAGACTCGGTTGCTTCACCCAAAGCACCGAATCCTCCATCGATTTTTCGAACATTCACAAGATCTAGCAAGTTATGAGGAAGACTTGCTACACTGTCTAAGAAATTGGATTACCCACGACATGCTTGATCTCTGCACTCTCTGCTACTGGATGCGAACAAAACAATCCCAGTATCAAAACCATAGTTACTTGTTCCGCAAGATGCTTGTGCCCTATCCTCTCATCAACCACCTGCAGTAGATCTCTACTTTCCCAACATTATAGTACCCAATCAGCCAAAACCATCTCGCTGGCTTGTCCTCGCGGCTCGATGGGTCTTCTTCCACAAGTTATCTTCAACATGAACACTCCGAATGCAAAAATATCAGAGCTTGTGCTTGATTTCCCTGTTCTTGAGAGCTCTGGTGATATATACCGAATGCAGTAACAATACCATACCTTCAATAAGTCCAATGATCTTTGATTGATTGATTATAATTAATGAACAGAAAAACGCAAACTTACCTGCGACATTGGAGGTTTGCGAATACATTTCGTGGCCACACAGCTTTGCAAGTCCAAAATCACCGAGCTTCGCATTCATAATTTCATCAAGAAGAATGTTTGCTGGCTCAATTTTGTGGGAATTGGTTAAAAACTTGACCAGCTCCTCCTTGTGTCTTTGAAGTTATGAGTTTAAGCAAACCGTCCGGTTTAGATCTGCAACTCCATCAGTGTATAAGTAGCCGTTGAAGCTAAACTGTCCACCGGTTAAGTCTGAGCCTTGAGAGACTGCGTCCATGGGGAAGAAGAACAAGAACAAGACCAACATCACCAGTAGCAGAGACATGATTGTGTATAATTGTGTTGGAAATTTGTGGAATGGTTGGTTCCTTTTAACGGGTTATTTATAAGCATTCAAGCAAACATTTGATGATGAAAAAATTATGTTAACCAAGACTTTTCCATGTTAAACTCATTTTTTTCTTGGCTAACACGTTACTAGACTTGCTATTGAGAAAAAAGGCAAAGAAAGTGCTGCGATAATTCGTAAAGTTGAAATTTTGCTTTAAAACTCTGCTTAGTGCTTTCTATTAAAAGCCATGAAAGATATTCACACTTAGGTTTTGTTCATATCCAAAATCAACTCCTACTTCCCTTAAAGCTCTGCCTTTTGTTACCCACTTAACTAATACCAAAAAAAGATATTCACACACACTATTATTATGCATTTGTTCATATCCAAAATCAACTCCTACTTCCTCTAAGGATCTGCTTCTTTTTTTAATCCAAAAAGAGAAAATTCAGAAATAAAGATGGACAAAGGATAAGTTCACAAAGAGCAACAAAGAAAAAAAAAATAGATAAGCTTACTAGTTACTAGATAAGCAACAAAGAGCTATGTTTAGTGAAATGTATATATACTCTAGTGACTCAGTGTGGTTAAAGAAGACGTGTTCATAAACATGGAAACGTCATAAACCAAAATTCTTTATCATACTATCAACATTTCAACAAAAAATCAATACGCAATGATTCTACTATCTACAAATAACAAAATCTTGACTATCTCACATATCAGAAATCAGAATCCGATCCACCTGAATCACTCCTAGTTCTGTCCGACATGAAATTAGGAGGCAAAACCGGGAATTTCACAGTAGTTCTCTGCGAAGAAGGCGACCCCGAACTCACTATCTTCCTCCTCTGCAGGTTCCTCATAATATCTAAGCATACTTTATCAACCATGGCGAGAAAATCTCTCACAATAACAAAAAGATGAAGAGGATTCTTTCCCTTCACAATACCTCCTGCTTGATAATACTCTGTTGTCCGCTTCACAAGCTCCATTACTTTCCTCTCTTCTTCTCTCGCCATTTTCACTTCTTCTTCTACTGAATCAAGAAACGCCATCATCTTCTTCACAAACCTCCCTCCTTCTTCTCCTCCTCCTACTTCACACTCTGCGATCACAACTCTCGCGTCTTTTGCTCTAGCAGCAAGAGCCGAGCAAGTTGCAACAACCGTGTCGTAGTCTACACAAGCAGCTTTCTTCACATTTGAAAACTCAGAGCTTAATCCTCCAACAACTGGTAAACCAAGCTTCAAGAACTCTTTCTCTTGCTCTTCTGTAGACATGGCTTGAGGAGTGTTGTTACTACCTCCATTGTTGTTACTGCTGCTTCGTGTTAAGCTATTGCTTCTTCTGTTCAAAACGCAGCGTTTTCCTTCCGACCTAACCACTTCCTCCACCACAAAGTTAAGCAGAGTCGTCTTCCCATCAACGCTTTTAACGTCCGAGAGTTTCAAAAGCGCGGTTAGATTAAACGCCTGTGCGTTTCCTCTCGCGGTTCCTGCGTTCATTCTATTACCAGCTTTGAGAATCGCCTCCAGAAGCTTCACGAACAAACCGCGAGATCTAAGCTCTTTGCACGCTGAATCCAGCGTTTGGAGAGATTTGCTGTGGTGAGCGATCTCAGGATAGTAATTTGCCCTGAAGAGAAACGCGTTTAGCCGTGTGAACGCGGTTGGCACTGCTTTGAGGAGGTGAAATAGAAACGATTCGGCGTCGGCGAGTTTTGCGGTGTCACCGTCGAATTCGAGAATCGCTAATTGTTCTTCTTTCGTCGGAGCTATTCTCGCTAGCCTCTCGAGTGTGTCAGGCACGAAATCGTGTCCTTCAATGAGTGCTTCCACAAGCTCTTCGCGTGTCATGCCTAGGGATTTGATCACGATCGCTGTGTTCTGTGATTTTCTCGGATCGAGGATAAAGATTTGCGTCGGCGAGGTTGATTTAGGGTTTTTATCGTCGCCGTGGTCTGGAGATTTCTTCCCGACAGCGACGTATCCGAAGAGAGCTTCCATAAGTTCGCCGTCAAAGCTGAGAAGAAACGAGTTTGAATAAATTAGAGATTTTGATTTTGAATTGGACTTAAAAATCGTAACTTTGACATCGATTTAGAGTTTATATACCTGAATGAGCCACGATCGATTTTGTCCCAAACCATGGAATGATCAGAATCTGGGTTTACTTTATCCCAATGTAGAGGCTTTAGCTTCACCTGACCGTTTCCACTTGATCCTCTCGGCGCAGGCGGTGGTCTCGACGTCGATGATGATAAAGCCGCCGCCTTTTTCAACGGTGGAGGCGGTGGTGAAGGACCCTTCTTAGGCGGCGGAGGAGGAGGAGCTGCTGCACTCAATTTCACCGGAACTGGCGGAGGTGGTGGTGGCGGTGGCGGTGGCGGTGGTGGTGGAGGCGGCTGAGATTTAGTATCGGATTCAAAGGAATCGTTGTGGATTACACTGTGAGAGGTCGATGATCTTCCTCGTAGAAGAGGAATCTCTGTTATGGGCTCCGATTTCTTCTTGTTTTTGTAATAAATCACTTCTTTCTCTTGACTACCACCGTCTTCTCCGACGATGATCTCCTTTCGGAAACTTCCACTTTTTCTCTGCCTCTGGCTCTGCAGATTTCTCCAATACAGCACATCGAGGCCGTTCTCGTCAAGGATCAGACCTTTCACGTTACCTCCAAACCGCGTGAAACCTTCTCGAGCCAAAATAGCCGTCTCCGTCGTCGCCGGAGGAGGAGGAGGAATCCGATATAAAGTGTTCTCGACGCCGACTCTGTTTTCTCTCCGTCGCCGCCTCGCGATGACGCATTTCTGGAGGAAGAAGAAGAACACTGCTGCGACAACTATTGTACTTGCTGCCGTTATAAGCACAGCTTTCGTGACCCTTCTTCTCTCCGAGGAAGATGAATCATTCGACGGCGGAGATGGGTTTGTCACCGGCGGGACACGCGGTGGAGGAACAGGGGAGAGCTCGTTGATTGGGAAGAAAGTTTCGATGTTTTGAGGAGAATCGGATTGTGAAAAGGAACGAAAAGGTAAAAAGACGACGCAGAAGAAGAAGAAAATGAGGGTGAGTTGTGGAGAAAACGGCCATGGCTGCTGAAACATGTCAGCCATGAACGATTAGTTCATTTACAGAGAAGATCAAATAAAGAAAAAGGAAAAAAACTTATAGAACGAAAAAGCTTACGTCTTTGTTTAATTTCCCTCAAATTCCAATTCCAGAGAATCTCAGGAACTTTAATGTAAATATTCGATTTTGGTAAGGTTTTTAAAATTTAATTGGGAATTTTTGGGGTTTTGAGGAGTTAGAAGCAGAGAGCAGTTGATCTGTTCTTCAAACCTCATCTTCTCGGGTCTGCTCGTACTTTGTCGATATGACGAGAATACCCTTTCTAGTGGAATCAACGGTAGAGAAAACATGAGGGTGTTATAGTATTTACAGTCCTTTTCGTGTGATGGAGTTTATGGAGCTGGTGCGGTTTGATGTTATTGTTGACTATGTCCAAAAGGAGTGCTTTATGTGTTGAATTGTTTGTTGTCTATTTTTCTGTTTCTAGATTTATTTCGATGTCTCGGAAGTCTACACATCAATGCCAAAACATCTCATTTAGGATACGATTTTCAATGATTAACAAACAGAAAATGAAAAAAAAAAGTAGTGGAAATTTATGTTTTCTATGGCAATTAAATGGATTCACATTTGATTCCTAAAAACAAGGGTTGCAAGTTTTTGGAACTTTGAGAATGACCCTTTTTATTGGTGGAACTCTTTCCCTAGATCAATTCCTTGAGGGAACTAACATTAATGAAAAAAAAACAGAGATTACCGAGTAAAATATTAGTGTTACCTATATTATAAACACTCTATCTTTAACTGAATATTTAATTTCCAATGCAATCTCAATCAGTCAAACAAATAAGGAATGAAATCATCAATGATAGTGGATCACCATTATTAGACAAAAATACAAAAACATTGAAATCAGAAAAAAAAATACAAATACAATTAGATCGCGTATCAAACGAACGTGTAAACAAAATGTATGGTTCCAAAAATAAGACATTCGTTTTAAAAGTAAAAATATCTTGAAATTGTGGCCGGTCACCGGACCTTTAATGTCGAACGCGGTAACACACTCGTCGAAGGAAAGTAGGAAGGCTATCGAAAAGACTGAAGTAACCCTGTTTTCCTAGTCAATTCTACCGGTATAATTTCTCAACTAAACCGTTTACTTCGTTAATGGCTTAATGCTTGCGTGCCTGCTTTAAAGAGAGTCTTCTTTAAAGTCAATCGTCAGAGTCTTGTTTTGTCCCATCTACTCTCCAATTTCGGATGAAGATAATAAACTACTACTATACTTTAAAAAGTTTGGTAACTACTACCTTTTGATCCTCTGTAATTGTTTTGAATAATGTTATGAAAATGTTGTGGTTATATTACTATGAGAGGTTGGCTTTTGTAATTGTTTTTTTTTCCTCAATTGTTTTGAATCGTTTGTTTGGGGAAGAACATGAAGATTTTTTTTCTTTCTCCATAATGTTTTCCTAGTTTTCCTTACATCTTACATAAGACATGAATTTTTGCTTGTATGTTATGAAAAATGGAATGGTAAGTATTTATCATTTCTGTTTTTTTTTTAGTTTCCTTGAATTTCTAGCTTGCAAAATCATATCAGCTTCTCTATATACCATTTTTCGTTGAACAATTTTTCTACCGTGTTATTTTTGCTCTACAAAATTTAAAATTTGTATTATACCAAGTAGTTGAGAAAATCTGAAAAAATCTAAGATATAGATTAACCACTAAAACTTAAAAATATATGAAAATCTTTGTTTTGTATTTTTCGTTCACAATTCTCTTCTTGTCCTTTCCTCTTATATTACATTTTCTCTTTTTATTTTTGTTTTCTTCTTTGTTAACATAATGCATATCTATGTAATGTATAATGTATATTGGACCTCAACAATCAATGGTTTGACTATCAACGAAAAAACGATGTAGATTATAACTTAAGATCACATACTACTCTTTGACAAGTTGATACTACTGTTAAATTTTGAAGTTGGAATTGGATGTATGAGTTATTATCTGTTTTAGGCAAAAAAATCTTCCTTCATTTTATTTCATTAGAACTCCATTGCAAAAATCCCAACATTTTTCATATTCCTGATATTTAGCTAAAAACATATCTGATGTAAGTCAATCATCATCACTACAACTAATATCATAGATTGTCTACGAAAACGGTGAAAACAACAAAACATTTTGGCTTGCACCAATTTTGAACACTTCACTAGATTACAATATAGTCATCAAATGTAGTTCAAGAGGCAATTATATGTGCAATACTAAACAACATAACAATGTGGCCGATTCATTAACTTAGTTTACTTCACACAAAAAAGTGAAAATCCAAAAATGATTACTGTTTGAAATCCAGGCTGACGAAAAATCTGAAAGGTAAATTACAGAAATCTGCAAAAGTCCATGAAGGTGTATTGCTAATCTTATTAACTTAGGGTTATATTCCTGGCCTAAAAATAAGTTTTGGCAACTCCAAATCATACATACAAAGAAAATAACACAGAAGAGAAGTAAAATCAATTTATTCCAAACTCATTTTCAATCACCATTTGTGACCTAAGTTAAGCTGTTGTTAGTAATAAAAGATATGAGTTACAAAGAACTTTCTATGATATTATTATTCCAATATTATGCCAATCTAGAACGAACTATGCTTGAGTAAAATCATTAATCGATATTTTTTTTAAAGCTATGGCTGCACAAGCCAAAAATGGCTTATTGTCGGAAAAATCAAATGACATGTTTTTTCTTGGTCTTCTATTTCTCTGCTTCATGTGTTTATGACAGTACGTTGCTGCTTTCTCATGGAATACGTAGCCATTTCTCTTGATGAATGATCGTAGTATATTTGGTTTCTTTTTTTTCCTTGGTTCACAAGACACTATAAATTACCAAACCATTAGTAAGCCAAACCAATCTAACCATCTACAATCATCGGATATGTCATTATATTTTCTAACAACTCAACAAATGGCAAATACATAAATAATATAAGGAATCTATACTATACAACAAAGTCAGTGTTTATCATAATATTTCATTCACAGTTTTTTGTTGGCTAAACTTTAGATGAATTAACTAAGGCCCAAGTAATCAACGAGAAATGGGCCATAGGAGTGGAAGAAAATGGGCCTTTTAAGTTAGTGTTCACAAGTTTCTTTGATACTTGTCGTCCCGGGAAGGAACGGCGGTTTTCATTGGTCGCCGACGGCCGATGGAGTGTGCTGCACGGGGATTCGGGACGCGTTGTGTTGGCCCACCGGCGCGAAGGTGTGGCCAGTGTGGCGCTGTGGCGTATTGCTCCGTCTCTCATCAGGTTTCTTTATCTGACCCTTCTTCCTCGACCTAATCGGTTTATTCGCTCGCTTATGTATCTAACCGCTCCTCGAGCATTTTAGATTCTGGAATTTGGTGATTTGATCACTTTGTAGCTTGGTAGATAAATTTACTAGTATAACCATGGAATTCATGAAAGTTTCCTCTAAAAACCTTTCCTGTTGCTATTGTGATTGTGTTGAGGAAGTGTTATGGCACAGCTAAATTGGACTCCTTGTTTGGAATTTTGGTTGCAGACTTCTCATTGGAGATATCACAAAGAAGAATGTGAGAGACTAGAAGAGCAAATGCGTCGTGTTGATCTGTTAAACGATTTTCCATTTACATTTACAGAAGAAGCTACAGTCCAGGTTTATTTGATAACTTTGCATGATAGGGGAGGACTATAATGCCTTTAGTTCATGCAAACTCAGCTCAATTTTTATTTTTTGGGGTTTATTCGTTCTCAGGTTAGTCAAAAGCAGCAGAGCAGGTGCTCGTTTCTCAGCAGAAGGGACTTACATCATGTTGGAATGTGGATGTATGAGTGCAACTGTGGAGCCTCTGCTCAAAATTCGGCTTATGATAGGTTTTAGCGCCTCTCCTTTTCTTTTTATATAAACGTTTTGGTTTGAAGCCATTGTCAATGAGCTAATTGCTATCCTTTTCCTTCAGTTTTAAAAATGAAGGTTGGAATCTGCCAAGCTCTTCTTGTCCATGTCGTGGTACGGTTCACTTACTTCTGTGTTTGTGATTTACTGAACGAGTGGTTCCTATAGAATTCTGATTTGGGATCACACAGGCCCTATATCTCCAGTCTTAAGCCAGCTATGTAGTTGGACGGATTATTACGAGTGGAGAAAGATACCTCTAGATTCTCCTGTAGCTCTACTTCTCCACTGGGTAACATTTCTTGTGATGATCAATGTGATTGCTACTATAACTAGAATGCTTAAGGTTTTCTATATATTGACTCGTAGAGCTTTTGATGTTATTTCAGACACTTACGATATATCATGCAATTCAAGCCGTTGGGATGGAAAATTTGACTCCCCAAATAAGTAATGAACTTCGTATACATTATCTTGGTATGTATCATTCTGCAACTCTTCTTCTTTTTAAAAAACTGTATTCTCTTTGAAGTTCCTATCTTGTTTCTCGTTTTTGTTAATCGCCTCCACGTCCTTAATCTTAGTGTAGTACCATAATATTGGCATATGGAAATTATGTAAGTGTTTCAAAAGATGAACCAAAGCCACAATGGTGTAAATTCTGATACATCATTTGCTAATAGTTTGAGCTTCTGAAGGGCCTCAGAAAGAGCTTGGCCAACTTGGTGTCTTTGCTGAGCTGCATTCTCTCTTCCCTGGTCTGCGCATTCGTGTAGAACTGGTTGGACCTGACGTTCCACAACATATGTGAGTCCTGCATTCCTCAATCTCCACAATTTAATTTGATAGTTTTGTATAAAACTTTTATATTTTAGCTGGGAAAGTAAATTACATCACCAAGATATGTATGTACTGGCATTTTTCTGATGGATCGTTCTCTATTTGTTCGCTCCGTGAACAGGGATGGAGAGATGATCTCCCTTTGCGGATATTCCCCTTGCATGGAAAAAGAATGTGAATGTAAATATTCAAGCAAAATTCTCATTCCTGGTAACGAATCAGCCCGGTCTTCAGCTGTGTCGTTACAGCTCCATAGAGGGTTTTACCATGATCGTTACAGTGACATAGCTAAGGTAACTTTCTATTTGTCTAGGACCGAAACAGTAATTTACTATACTGTTTATATCCAATTTCCTGGGCCTTGAATTGCTGGATCCAGAAAACTGTTTTGATTTCTGATTGACAATCTTGTCTGAGCAGAATTCACCTCCTCCTCACATAGTGATTGCTCCAAACGCTGGCATTGCAGCATATCCGAGCTGGTTGCCGACTATTGTACGTCTTTTCCAGTTACTGATAATCATATTCAATATCTCCTACGAACGTCCCTTTAGCAATTATACAGAGAGCGCATAATTTTTTATTCACTCATGTCATGTGTGTGAAAAAACTTCAGGAACTGATAAAAGAGATCAAAGTCCGAGCGGTATTTTCTGATTACTGTGAAGAAGCTTGTCATCTTGCGGCTTGTTGCATTAAAACCATCACAGGACAATCTCTATCATTACCTGTAAGTCTACATTTTAGGTTTATTTTCCTATTTAACTTTATCAAGTCTATGTTTTTGTTGTGTGGCTGGTGTCAAACTAGTAGAAAATGGGGATAAATATGTTGGGATAGTACGTAACAAGATGAGGGGGTGAATATGATTTCCTGCATATGTTCAGGCTTGTGTCTCATCAAAACTGTATTAAGTGAGCTGAGAGTCGACACATATACCATATAATGAAGTGAATGAGGACAAAACATATGTTTTCCTATCTTACGAACTGCTTTGGAGCCACGTACACTACTGTCCAGTTCTCCAATCAACCTTTATTGGATATCGATTTATGTTTTTGCATAAAATTTATATTTTTGCTTATAAAACCAAATTTGTTATATTTTTTAGAATAATGTATCTTGGAATGCAGATTAAGTTGAATCCATTCAGACAGCCAATGGCGGTGGAGGAGAGTCCTCTGTTTATCCCTTGCTACTCAAACTGCTTCATCTTCGCAATCTGAACTCTCCCAAGATTATTGATCATCTCAGTGGTTGGGCGTTGTGGTATGGACCAGATCGGTCTATGGACTGACATTTTCGCAGGAAACGATTTGTATGTATATAATGAATGTGAAAAATATCACATCAGTTGGTTTTGGTTGTTGTAGTTATTTATGTGGATATGGACCAGCATCTGCATACCATCATTGTTTTCATTTAATTCTTAGGTGAATTCCCATCATGTAATGTTTCTAGTGAAAATTATGCAATTATTTTTTCACTAGATGTGTCATATGTTAAAAGGAAATAATGTAAACACGCAAGTTCGAAGAAAATGAAAACGGAACTTTCGTCGTATACTGGAGAAGACAACCAAAGATAAACACGAAACTATTCCAGTTAAATGAAGCAATTGAACATGAGCACCGAACTAAACCGGCCCTGATCGTAGAACCGGTTATGGAGATTCGACGAGCCAAGTCGACGTGGAAGATGGAAGCAAAGCAAAGAATCTTCAAAACTGTTTCTAAGAAAAGTCGCCAGTTAAGTCTATTTCTCCATCATCCCAATTCATCTTTTATCTTTTAAATCTCCCCAAAGTCCAATTTCCCAAAAAAAATAATCAGAAACAGAGAGAAGAGAGAGAAATCCCAATGGATCATCTTCAATCTTGACAGCACGAGAAACCCTCTTCCCCAAAAATACCCAAAGTTCTAGGACCAAAGTTTTCAAAATCACTAATTGAAAATTCCCGCAAAGTAATCGGAGCGATCCGATCGAATGTCTCAGAACCCTCCACCTCTGACTCGGACGCTCCTCTTGCTCCTATGTCTTCTAGGTTTAGGCTTTTGCGTTGACCTGGGTCAATCCCTGAAGGTCCCGTTCAGCGTCAACGATGTTCTTCCGATGCTGCCTCGCCAAGTGTCGTGGCCCGTTTTGAACAGCTTCCACAGCGCCGTGGATTTGTTGCCTGTTTTTATCGGGTCCGTTACTCCGAATAACGCGTCTCTTGAGTGGAAAGGTGCTTGCTTTCATGGCAACGAGGCTCGTCTCGATATCACCGGTAGCGATCGCGATGAACCTGGGCTTGGAGGTGGCGTTCTCCATCTCAAGGTTCGTAACTATCTGTTTCTAAGGTTTTGATTTTCTCAAATCTCTCCTTGTTAAGCTTCGAAAAAACGATGATTTATCTTCTACTGAATACACGTGACTATGTGAAGTTGATTGAAATTGAAAACCTGGGAAATCTTTTGAGCTGCTTGCTGCTAAAATTTTCAAATTTATGGTCGAAATTGAGTTGGTTATGGGAAATTTTTTGCAGACATCAGAGGCACATAGCTTGACCTGCATGGACATATATGTCTTTGCAACGCCGTACAGGATCACCTGGGACTACTATTTCTCTGCCCGAGATCATACGTTGAACTTTGATTCCTGGGAAGAGAAAGCTGAACTGGAATATGTAAGTTTTGATTAGTTTTTCTTCTTGTAAGTCTCAAGAGGCTGTTGATGATTTATTATGTGAATTTTCGATGAGTAGGTGAAGGAGCATGGAGTTTCAGTGTTTCTAATGCCATCAGGGATGCTTGGGACGTTGCTTTCCTTGATAGATGTGTTGCCACTTTTCTCCAACACTGCTTGGGGACAGAATGCGAATTTGGCTTTCTTGACGAAACATATGGGCGCTACGTTTGAGAAAAGACCTCAACCTTGGCGGTCCACAATCAATCCAGAAGATGTGCATTCTGGCGATTTCTTGGCTGTGTCAAAGATTAGAGGTAGGTGGGGAGGGTTTGAGACGTTGGAGAAATGGGTGACTGGGGCTTTTGCTGGTCATACTGCTGTTTGTTTGAAGGATGATTTGGGGAATCTTTGGGTTGGTGAATCAGGACATGAGAACGAGAAGGTAAGACATTTGTTTGGAGGAAATAGAGGTTTTACAATAGAGATTTTACTCTCTTTTTTTGTTTCTCACAGGGTGAAGAAATCATTGTTGTGATTCCTTGGGATGAATGGTGGGATTTGACATTGAAGGATAATTCAAATCCTCAAATAGCTTTGCTACCTCTACATCCTGATATCCGAGCAAAGTTCAACAATACTGCTGCGTGGGAATATGCACGAAGCATGTTAGGCAAACCGTATGGATATCACAACATGATTTTCAGCTGGATTGATACTCTTGCCGATAACTACCCACCTCCCCTTGATGCTCACTTGGTACTTCTTAACCTCTGTTTTCCTTTAAAGATCCATCATCATGGTGATAAACAAGTGACATGTGGACTGGACTTTCCAGGTTATTTCTGTCATGTCTATGTGGACTCGTGTACAACCATCATATGCCGCAAATATGTGGAACGAGGCACTCAATAAACGACTTGGTACTGAGGTAAACTATATACGTTCTTCTTTAAGAAACTGTTTATCCTGGTCTTCTGAATAGAGCTAACAAGTCTTTTTATTACAGGATCTGGATTTGTATGGGATTCTTGAAGAAACAGCGAGGCGTGGAATGTCGTTTGATGAACTGCTCACCATCCCTGAACAGGATGAGTGGGTTTATAGCGACGGGAAATCAACAACCTGCGTTGCTTTCATTCTTGCTATGTACAAAGCCGCTGGTGTATTTGGCCCTCTCGCTGATCACATTCAAGTCACTGAATTCACTGTGTGTTTTTTTTTTTTTTCAATACTCAAGTCTTTATCCTTGTTTTCCATTTAACATTACTCTTAAGCGGTTTTTTGGTTCTCTTTTTTCAGATTCGAGATGCGTACACACTGAGGTTGTTTGAAGAAAACCAGACGCGCTTACCGAGTTGGTGTAACACAGAGGAAGGGAAGCTTGAGTTCTGTCAGATTCTGGGTGAATACAGAATGGAGTTGCCTGGTTATAACACCATTCAACCATATGCTAACATGAACGAGAATTGCCCTTCTTTGCCTCCTGATTATGAGAGGCCTTCTAAGTGTTAGGAAAAAAAAAAATTAGCTAGCATGTTTGTCTCTCTCTCTCTCTCTCTCTCTCTCTCTCTCTTTCTCTGTTTGTTGTTTGTCTACTTTTGCTTTATTTATTAAGTTTTACCCTTTTTAGTTATGTAGGGGAAGAAAACCACGTTTGAGAACAATCTTGATGTGAATATATGAATGAAGTGTTATCAAATCCAATGTTGGCTTAACTATACCTTGGTGGTTTTGGTTTTCAACAGTAAATTATCTAGTCTCAGTGGGTGTTTGGTTCTTGTGTTTCGCTAGATGCCTAAAGTTTAATAATAAAGAGTAAAAGAAAATGCACCATGATTCATATGAGTATTCTCAAAACAATGAAACGAAATGCATAGAGAAAGAAGAGCATCAAGCCCAAACAAAAATCCTGAAAGCCTTGAAAGAACAGAGAAAGTGAAACTAGAAATAATTGTTGCAGAATCTGAAACCAGAAGGGATGATCCTCGGACACAGTTCTTGAATGGAGTTTAAGTTTCTTGCTTTGGTTTCTTCACGAGCAAGCTTGAGAGACCATTGGTCAATGCAGAGGAGGATATTAAGGAAGCTCTAAGAATGCTAATGAGCTGCAATAGAAGAAATATGAAGAAACATTAAACACACTGAGGCAAGATGGATCATATACCAAAGAACATAAAACTAAAAGAAGGAAATATGACAATCATACCTCTGCTTTGGAAATGCTAATCTGATACTCCTCGAGATCACTGATGTCTACCTGCATCTTCTTCAACAAGCCAATGGTTGAAGATGAACTCATCGGAGTTATAATAAGATCATTTGACACAACAAACTTTGTCTTTTTCTGCATAAACCCAGTCCCACATATTGAATAAGATTTGCGAAGGTGATCAAGAAGATTGTTGTTACTGCAAATATAATAATCAGGAAGATGCCAGCTTTTGGAAGCTCCTCCTCTACACGGACTTCTACACAAATTTCCAACACATCCCAAAATGGTATTGTCATTAGACAATGAGCAAGCCAACTCAAGAGGGAGAACCAGAAAGCTGAGAAGAGAGTCAAGTAAGTCTTCATTGCACTCGGCATAAAGAACCTCCCTGTCAAGCTTTCTAACAAATACTTTCACAGAACACGCTCTGGCTGCATCTACTACATCCCCACTTTTTAGCGCAGGTGGAGACAACATTTTATGCATCCTTGTCGTGCAATGTTTTCTGAGGAATGCGCATGTCAAGGGAACTTCTGAAGTGAATAAACATCCCAGTAGAGTCAGAACCTAAATTCAGAGAAGGTTATATATTAAGAGCTATACGTGCGATGCAATGAGAGAGAAAGAGAGAAAGAGAGAAAGAGAGAGAAAGAGAGAAAGAAAGAGAGAGAGAGAGAGAGAGAGAATAAAAAAGCAAAAAGCCAATACGTACCTCTTCGTACCCTACATCAAGTAGGACTTCCCGTAGACCACTATATCCAGTATACCCTAGATCATTAAGAACTTTCATGATAACACCAATAGAGTTCTCTGACACTTTCAAATCATCAGTGACAATGAATGAGGATCGGCAATTTACAAATACTCCATATGCATTACATGGAATCACGTCTGGAGAACAATTTTGATTGCTCATCAAACATCCACAAGTACATCTTGTGGTGTTAAAATTGCTGTATGCCCTGCTGCTGCATGTATAGCGTGGGCACGTAAACATCTTGTTGGGATCAGCATGACTCATGTTCAGCTTGAGATTTCTGCAATGGAACTCCTTATTACTGATCGGATGCAGCAACATACTCTTCCAAGCGTTGGTCTCAAAATGATCGTTTCCCATATCCGCAACACTTCTGTGAAGGTTTTTAAAACAACCTAGTACGTCTGTCTTCAGACTTTTATGATTCTCCAGCAATCTAACAATTTTACCCATAGGGAGGGTCAAAAGACTGAAGAGAACATCAACAAAGTCCTGATCAGCCTCAGCGAAAACAACTTTGTTTCTCTTGTCATCGATGAGAACTTTCAAGCTAAACTTTTCACTTTTGGCCATTTGAGTTGAAGGAAAACGAGTAGAAACCAAATGTGGAAGAGATGTAACTGCGACTTTAGGGATAACACTCTTTGATGAGTAACGTGAAGATTTCCCTCGTATATATAGTGAAGAACCCAAAGGTTAGGAATCTCAAGAGGTTTCTTATCAAACAGTAAATGATAATAATTATTCTTGGGAGTCATAAAACTTTGAACTTGGAATACAAATCCCAAAGGAGCGTGATAAAGTGACCATTAGTTAGGGTTAATTATTTATACCTGGTCAAAGAATGAATATCCTCATTTTGCATGCATGTTCAATGAATCTTCATTTGTTCAAACATTTTCCATTCATCTTCTAATTTATTTTTATTCCCATTTGTTGAGATATCGAACTGAGCAAATGAAGAACAACAAGGCTGGCATATTTTGGCAACCATTATTGGTCGAAGATGATCATAATGTATTCTTAAAGCTGAAACCATATAGTTAAAATAGAGGGAAACGAATCTTAGAGCTTGAACTATAATTAAGTGTGACCATACATAGATAACCGTAAGCAGATTTTTACTAATCATTGTCCAAACTGTTATGTTTCTTCTCCATAGTGTTTTCTTTCATGTATAAGAGTTTTCTTTCGTTTCTCCTGGTCTTGAAAGGCTCTAAAGTGGTTTTCAAGTTGTGTTCTGGCCAGTGATGGCCTAGAACCAGAATGAACTCCACTTTCTTTAACCCGTTCAGATTTTGGGTGAATACAGATTGGAGATACCTAGTTATAACTTATAACACCATTCCCAATATGAACGAGAATTTCCTTTCTTTGCCTTCTGATTATGAGAGGCCTTCTAAGTGTTAGGAAAAATGAATCTAACATGTGTGTCTCTCTGTCTTTCTGTTTGTGTTTGTCTATTTTAGTTTATTTATTATTAAGCGTTACCCTTTTAGTTATAAGAAAAGAACACCACGCTTGAAAACGATCTTAATGTGAATATATGATGATGCTTTTATTAAATCGAATGTTTGGCTGCTTAGTGCTTATTCCTCTGCTTTATCTGCTTCTTTGGCGAAATTTTATTGTGTGATTTTATGTTTATCTGTTTTCTGAGTAGCTATTGAGTAGACAATATTTTGTGAGAATGTTGGTTCAATTTATGGTTGAACCAGTAAGTCATTTGAGAGAGCTAATGAGATTGCATAAAGAACTGAGAAAATCCTTGAACACTTGTTAATCTGTGGTAATTTAGTTACATACTCGTACAAAAGGTATGACGTGAAGCCAAGTCAGATGCTGTTACCATTTGTTGAACATAAAAAAAAGATTGTAACATCAGATTTTAGGTGATATAAACTTGTGACGTCTTTAAAACGTGTAAGTCGAACATTCGCTGATGACTTTTCCGACCAAACCAACTCCCACTTTGAAACAAAACAAAAACTAGTTCAACCCCTTTGTTTTGACTTCACTTTCCTTAAAACCGGTTATCTACCATCGGTTAGTGTCCATTTCCTATTAAACCGGATTAAATTCTACCAACCAGGCCGAATTTTCTCTGTGGCAACAATAGTTTTCTCTCTTGATGACCTCTGCGAAGTTTGAACGTGACCAAGACAATAGATGTTTCCATTGGAATCATTCACCATTTCTTAAAATTTATAATACTAAATAGAGGAAAATTGGCAAACACGCAAACGATTCTCAACGACTCCTCACCCGCCAACACAAAACGCAAACGCAGGAGCTGACCTCAAACTCTCTCAATTTATCTTAATTCTTAAATATAAAAACTAGCTTCAAACGGCATTACCTGTTTTTAGCTTTCATTTCTCTGTCTCTACTAAAATCCTAAATATTACATCTCCCAATTCTTTTTTTCTTCTTCGTTTTTTAGGTGGCTTACCTCTAATCCGAAAACGACCATGAGGTTTTGCGTTTTCGGGTTTTTATCGTTTCTCCTTATTATTTCCCCCGTCTCCGCCTGGTTCTTCCCAAACTCCACCGCGATTCCACCGTCTCTCCGTAACACAACACGCGTTTTCTGGGACGCTTTCTCCAAATTCACCGGCTGCCACCACGGCCAAAACGTCGACGGTCTCAACCGCATCAAAAAATACTTCCAGCGTTTTGGTTACATCCCCGAAACGTTTTCCGGAAACTTCACAGACGATTTCGATGACATCCTCAAATCCGCCGTCGAACTCTACCAGAAAAATTTCCGGCTTAACGTCACCGGAGAACTCGACGCGCTAACAATCAAACACATCGTGATCCCTCGTTGCGGCAATCCCGACGTGGTCAACGGAACTTCGTTGATGCACGGCGAGAGAAGAAGAAAGACCTTCGAGGTCAACTTCTCTCCCGGCGGCCGGCGACCGCGTTTTCACTCGGTGAAACGTTACACGCTCTTCCCCGGCGAGCCACGGTGGCCTAGCGACCGTCGTGACCTGACCTACGCGTTCGACCCGAGAAACCCATTAACAGAGGAGGTCAAGAGCGTGTTCTCACGCGCCTTCGGTCGTTGGTCGGAAGTGACGGAGCTGAATTTCACAAAAATCGAGTCTTTCTCCACCGCCGATATCACGATCGGATTCTACACCGGAGATCACGGAGACGGCGAGCCTTTCGACGGCGTTTTGGGAACGCTGGCTCACGCTTTCTCTCCTCCGAGTGGGAAATTTCACCTCGACGCAGACGAGAACTGGGTTGTTTCCGGCGATCTCGATAGTTTCCTCTCCGTTACGGCGGCGGTTGATCTTGAATCGGTGGCGGTTCACGAGATCGGTCATCTTCTCGGTTTAGGACATTCCTCGGTGGAGGAATCGATTATGTATCCGACGATCACGACGGGGAGGCGTAAAGTTGATTTGACGAATGATGACGTGGAAGGAATCCAGTATTTGTACGGTGCGAACCCTAACTTTAACGGCACGTCTCCGCCGTCCACCGCCACTACTCGGCAACGAGATACCTTTGGGTTTGGTGCCGCGTGGAGAATCGACGGTTCATCGAGGTTGACGATTTTCAGTCTATTATTGTCAACCGTCGGATTTTTCTTGTGGTTTTCACCGTAGATAGAAATTATTTTTTTACTTCCTTGATTTATTTAGTTTTGATTTTCTTACCTCAAATCTTGATTCTTTTTTTGTTAAAGGATGGGGATATATATATACACATGTATTCAGACGTTGGTTCTTTTTCCTACAGTTTTTCATTTCACATATACATACTTCTGTATATAAATTCCTTTCTTCGTGTTATACATTTTTTTTTTACTTTTACTTTTCTTTCTTTGATTACATACTTTGGTGATTAGTAGTCAATTAGTTATTAGATTCACGTTGAATTCAGTAAGGTATCGGCCTTATGGAAAATATATCCTTCATTGCGATTACGATTTAGGTGGTGTTGATTGATTTTTTTTTTTTTTTTTTTTTTTGCTAAATATATATGTTGTTGGTTGATTTTTTTGCTAAATATTACCTTTACGGACCATTGCCGTTGTTAGCATTTTAACGATTATGGGAAATGTTTTCCTATGAACTAAACAGACAAAAGGAATCATGCATATTGACATGTCTTTTTTCATTCTAATGACTCTTTAAGGTTTTAAAGCGATTAAATGTTCACATAGATTTTTCAAAATCAACTATAGAACATGCAGGTAATTGCAATATATATTACTTTTGAGATTTTCAAATGTTTTGAAGTTTTGAATGATCTAGTGTACGTAGTTCTGTTTACGTAGTAGCTAATTAAATGAATGGTTACGTTTCTAGCTACATTTGTTAAGCATTCTTCGATAATTTTATGGGTAAATGATCACACTGACAAGTAAAACATGAAAATGACGAAAGCCAGGCCACAACATAACCAAAATGACCCATATCTCCTGTAAAACGAGATGGTATCTAATCACAATTTACGTCCTCAAGTGGCTCATCAAATTAAAACCTCATTTTATAATTAAGCAATGTAACTGATTCGACATTCAATAGTGGAACACGACAGGATCGCACAGACTCATAACCTAGAATTATCTAATATGTAGTATTCTTTGGAATGAGCTTAATATTCTTCTAAAATATATCAATTATGTGCATAAAAAGGTATGAAGACATAACAAACACGACGACCAATATTTCACATCCGTTCATGATTCAAACTAATTCTCAATATATTTAAACCTTAAAAATACATAATTCACCTTCAATATCATAGTACTTGGTTAAAAAAAACAAAATTGTCTGCATTTCGGTACTAATAAAGGACACAATAGACCGTAAATGAAACAATTGGGTCAAATGTGAAAATAATGCAGAAATCCGAGGACATCTCTTAAATTCATTTGCAGTTGATGAACATGGGCGAAGCCACCAATTCAGAGTCAGGTCTCTTGATTCGTACTGCGCACAGCTCTTTCAAAGCGAGTCCCCGTCACGATCGTCTCTTCACGTAAATAATTTTTCCGATTTCTTCTACGTTTATCTCATCGGAAAATTCGCTGGGATCTTACGGTACCCTGTGTAATCGTATCTTCGGATTATACCCTTTATTTTTCAGGAACATTTGTACTCTCTGTGTGATTTTGAGTAGATTCGGCTCCATACTGTTAGGGTTTGAAGGAGGTGATTGTGAGGCCTCTTTTCGCTCTCGGGTTATATCTCCCTTTAAGCTAGAATTGGTTCTCTTAGGGCTTCCTCCTTGAGTTCCTCAAATGTCAGAAGCTTCTCGGCGGAGTAGGGTCACTATTACTCTAGGGCGTAGCGGCCAGGTACGTTTCCTCTCATGAGATGCTAATTGTTCATCCCAAAGTTCGTTAAAATTCTTACTTTTGCAGTCTATTGTTGCTTTGGTGATGGTAACTGGATTATCATAGGGCTTTGGAAAAATCTGGAAATGGGTCTGTTCCACTGTTTACGTAGATGGGTTATACGAAGAAAATATGCTGGTTTAGGATCCAATGAGCCGAGTCTAGAAAACTGTTCATTTTGTGATATCCCGTTTTGCAGGTGGTAAGTCGAGATGGAAGTGATTTAGATGCCGGATATGAGTTGCCCAGAGTTGGGACCAAGCGGTCTGTCAAAGAAAGATTAGGGAATCAGTTAGATAGTTCTGTTTACGGAAGTGATGCGGTCAGTAAAAGGTGTTTCCATTTTCCTTCTTATGTTATCTGTATTGCACTATTGCTGCATATTGAATATTCAGGAACTTCTTAATTTGTGATGTTTTCTATTATTGTCATGAAATTTAGGCCTTTTTTCGGTTCTTGGGGTTGGGAATAAGGAATGCTGATTACTATAGATGGATTCATGGGATATGCTCTGGGATTTGGATTTTTTTAAATTCTTTGCATGTGTTGCTGCGCCTAAATACCGTGTTTTTGCTCTTCTTTGTTTGTGTAGGCAAAGAGGGGAAGGAAGTTTCAGTGGAAATGGTATAGATATATATATATATTACTGGATACAGACTGGCAGCTTTGCTGATTTTCTGACCCACCACTCTTTGTTACTAAGATTTGCAGATCAGTCAAAATGATCTCCGGTTCAAACTGATGCAAAAAAATGTCCAGAGACGAGCTCAGAGCGATGGAGGCAGCACTTTTGATCTTCGTGAGAAGCTCTCTAGGAGTGAGCAGCCTCCTCGTAGCCTTGATATTCGACCTCGTATGGCTGAGCCAAGAGATGACCCGTTACCTCCATCGAGAACTGCTCGTGATTCTTCTCAGATGCTATCATCAAGCAGTTCCTCTTTTCCATGGACTCTGGATGATATACGACGAAGATCTCCAGAGAGGTATGTGGATACTTCCAGGGGTCGGTCGCCGCCAAGAAATGCTGAAAGTATCAGTGGCACTCCAAGGGCTCTATCAAGGGCTCTATCACCGCCAAGAAATGCGGGAAGGATGCTTGGCCCTCCAAGGGATCTATCACCGCTAAGAAATGCGGGAAGGATGATTAGCGCTCCAAGGGATCTGTCACCGCCAAGAATTTCTGGAAGGATGATTAGCGCTCCAAGGGATCTATCACCGCAAAGAAGTTCTGGAAGGATAATTGGCAATCAAAGGGATCTATCACCGCCAAGAAATTCTGGAAGGATGCTTAGCGCTCCAAGGGATCTATCACCGCAAAGAAATGGTGGAAGGATGATTGGAAATCCAAGGGATCTATCACCGCCAAGAACTGCTGGAAGGATAAGGGATCTATCACCGCCAAGGAATACCAGAAGCTTCAGTGGTTCTAGGACTCTGTCCCCAAGTAGAAATGTGGGAAGCTACATGGGTTCTTCTCGGGGGTTTTCTCCTCCTAGGAATTCTGGAAGCTACATAGGTTCTTCCAGGGGTTTTTCCCCTCCTAGGAATCCTGGAAGCTACATGGGTTCTTCCAGGGGTTCTCCTCCATCTAGGAACATCGATGATTTTCGTGGACAAAGCAGGATGCTTGATGATGTGAGAGCGTCACCATATGCAGTTAGAGGTGTACTACAAAGTCAAGCACCAGCAAGTGGTACTACTTTCTCCAGGCCAATGTTACCTCCTCCCGTCCCAAACCCTCATCCGTTGCCTCCTTTGAGTCAGCTTCCTCCCCTTGGAAGTATTATGCAGAACAGTCCCTTCCCTGTAAGATCTTTTGTTTTTTCTTCTCAATTTTGACGATAATTTTGCTTTTTGCTTTCTCTTTTTAAACACTGTGTTAGTCCTTCCCATTCACCTCTGTTTTATGACCCATAATGCAACATTTGTGTTCAGATAGTCAAAACTATTATACATGTGTTATATAATATGCCATGTATATCTGCTTGGTGCTACAGCAGGTGGAAGAGCCTCTAACAGTTGATGGCTTTCTAAATTCAATTGGACTGGGAAAATACTCCCTTGCCTTTAAGAGAGAGGAAGTAAGTGCGCCATTCTTTTCTTGTCCTATAGCTTTGCCATTGTGGCCTTTGTGCTAGTTTATTGGGTGTTTTTCATATTGGCATTTCAATGTGCAGCAGAACACAGATAGATTGTATCAAATTACCAATGAATCCGCTGAGATGATTAACTTGTCGTCTGAGCTCTGTTTCTTAATATTCCATTGATAACAAACTCGACTAATATGATAACAGGTGGATATGACCACGATAAAGCAAATGAAAGAAAGTGATCTTAAAGATCTCATCATACCAATGGTACTTTCCTTTTGATGCTTATCGATCTAAAAAACAATTGGGATTTGATTTGTTCTTTTAAAATATTTCTTGAACTTGGTACCATTCCATTGATGCAATGCAGGGTCCAAGGAAGAAGATTCTTCAGGCTATAGCCTGCCTTCCAAACCGGTAGCAATGACAGACAGGCGGGTTTGGTCTCTCGCTGGATTCTTACTCTTTTAGTTTTGTTGGCATCTATGCGGTAGGAACTAAGGAAATGTTTTGAGAGTCAAAACCGCAACTCTTAACCGAAACTCCTCCTTTTTGGGTAATTTGTAGGCAGAACTTCTTTTTGTAATTCTTCTGTCATGGAATTTCCGTTTTTCTGCTATACAAGTTGGTGATGGGAGCAGCTTGTTATGGAATTTCCTTTTTTAGAATGAAAACTGTTATTAATCTCAGACTTGTTGATGCCACTTTTTTTTACTGCTATGTAAGTTTGGTCCCTTTGGGACAGGTGCATGTCTTTTCTCCCCTGGAGTAACAACACAAACAGGAGGTTTGTTGGTTGGTTACAACTTCCTGAGTTTCTTCAATTCCGACACTTTGCACTCCCTTCTTTCAACCTTAAGGGAAGGGATCAAACGGAAACAATTAGAGAAGCTCCTCGTTGTATTTTTACTTTGGTTGTACATCGCAACAACTGTAATCGTAACTGTCTCACTAGAGAACATTGCTGCAACCATCAACAGTTCGACCTTACTGCTTTGATTAAGTGAAGTAGTGAACAATGCAGATTTGACAGCTTTTTAGAATAATATGAACGAATTGATAAAAAGAACGAGTGTATCTGAAGCCCAAGTTGAGTTTTTGGCCATCAAAGCCCACAGAGTTTTAAATCAGTAGCGCTTATTGGTGTTTCGTTTCAGTGTCCCACATCGGAAGACTCGGAGTAATTGGCAGCAGAAAATGCAATATAAATAACTCTCGTTCCTTCTTCAAAAAATCACGCAGCCATGTGGTGAGCACAAAGCGAACTATTCTTTCGCCTTTTACTAAAGAATACCGTGTGCTCTCCACGCTAAGTGGCATACGCCTATTTTTGGAGGGTCCCGCTTTCGGTGGGCCCAACAGTACTAGTTAAATTTGTGAGCAATCATAATGAAAAGAGAATTTAATGGAATTATCGCTCACATCATCAATTTAGAAGAAAGTATTTCAATTAATTGTGTGGTTGGTTTTTATTAATTATGAAAATTATCGGATTATTATTAGAAGGAAACGAAAAGGACCATCGTGAGTGATTTTGGAAAGAACCATTTTGGTCTCCACATATTAGGGTTTTCAGGGTCTCTACACATTTAAAATTTCCTTGATTTTGTGTCATATAAAGCCTTTTAATATTTGTTTTCATTTTAGAGACGTGATATCATCATAATTTTTTTTGTTTTTGACCACTAGTAACTATATTACTGAAAACTCATTACAAATACACCGCAAAGGTCTCAAGTTTAGCTGGGCCAAAAGAGTATTGGGTTTCAGCTTATTTTAGGTGGAGATAAATGGGCTTTTCGATGCCATTGCATAATCTCTTTTGACTGTTTAGGGCATCTTCCCCAGATGAAGCAAAAACCCCATTTCGTTGCCTATTTCCGCGGTGAGATTCCGGTGCTCCGTTTCTGGAATCGGTGAAGATACTAGAGCCTCGCTTGCTAAATATGAGCTTAATTCTCAGATTCCGTCAACATTTATCGAATAGGTTAGCTCAAACCTCCAGATTATCACTTGTTTCTCGTATCGGCGATTGCCGGAGTTTCGGACAACCGGCGAGAAAAGAGGATAAAGGAGAAGAAGAAGAAGAAGAAATCGATCAGAGGAAGCTCCCAACCGATTACGATCCAGCGACTTTCGATCCAACAGAGCACCGTAGTCCTCCAACGGAGCGTGTGTTCAGACTCGTCGACGAGATCTCATCTCTCACGTTATCAGAAATCTCCGAGCTCGGTGCGATCATCATGCAGAAGAAAGGAATCACGGAGTTACCAACCGTCGCCGTCATGAAACCCGGAGCTGCTGGTGCCGGGATCGTCGGAGGAGTAGGTCAGGGACAAAGCGGCGGCGGTGGTGGAGCGAGTGAGGAAGCTAAAGCGGAGAAGACAGTGTTTGAGATTAGGTTGGAAAGTTTCGAAGCATCTGCTAAAATCAAGATCATTAAGGAGGTAAGGAGTTTTACTGATTTGGGTCTTAAGGAAGCTAAGGAATTGGTGGAGAAGACTCCTTCGGTTTTGAAAGCCGGATTGTCGAAAGAAGAAGGTGAGAAGATCTTGGAGAAGTTGAAGGCACTTGGTGCAAAAGTTGTTTTGGAGTGATATCAAATCAAATCAATCCAGGTCTGTGTTTTACTTTGGATCTTCGATCTTATGAGCTTCGATCTTATGAGCTTAAGAGTGACTGGTATTAGGAGCTAGTTAAGGTTTCATAAGGCCATAGATTACACTAAACTTCTTTTTTTCTCATTGCTAATTGGTTTTTGAGAAATGAAATTCTATGAATCTTTGCTACTTCAAAATGTATTGCAAAATAGTGTTTTTTTTTTCTTGGTATAATAATCGAATGCTTGAGAACATTAGACATGTGTTTTAGTGTTAGTCCATGGTTTTGATCTTGACTAAGAATCAAGCATATTTCGCTTGGCTTTTCAACTTTTTTGGTTGGTATCAAGATCTTGATTCTGCTTCAAAACTAATGAAAGCTGAGATTCCGAAGAAGGAATAAACAAATTAGTATGGCATTGTAAATCCCACTTGTGAGATTTGGTTTCACTGCAAGAGAAAATAAACAAATTTGGATGAATTTGAGGTTGTTTTAAGTTTCTTATGTGATAAAAAATTCATACCAATCTTTCTTCCATTCTCACTTTTCCCAATACTGCTCCTGCGCCATTTGAGGAAATGATATTTTGGTCTAGGATTCGACAAGATTTTGATAGACATCTGACTCGCTTGAAAGATGTCACACGAGAAGCCTATGTTTTACTTCTATCAGAATTGTCTCATAATCAGCAAAACATATGTTATTTCCTTGAAATCAAAAAAGAAAAAAAAGTTGTCTTACTTTTTCATCTATCTTGTGATGTTTCCATCTCTGCATATACTTGCGAGTCCTACGAAAGAGTTTTTTTTTTTGTTTTTCCTTTTTCCATAACGTCAATGACACTCAGTGTTGTGTTATTGTTAGAGTGGCATCTTTGAACATCGGGTTCGCTAATCATAAACCCTTTGATGAAAGTGGACCAAGCAAAAAAGACATACTGTAAGCAGAGCCAAATTCTCACCGAAAGATTGGGTGGTTCATGACATACAGATTTCTGGAGAAACAAAAACTAAGTGACAATTTCGGATTCAAGACCCAAAGATACTCGCAAATTATCTACTTACCAAGCAGTTTCAAAAGACGAGAAGACTATTTCCACGTTGGTTTAGTTCTTTCTTTATGTGGTAAATGATAAGGAACAGACCCAAACCTCTCTGTTTCTCTTATACCCCACACTTGCTTCACTTGAACTTTCTGTATATAATAAATTAAGCACAAAGCTTTGTTATTTTTCCCTTTTCATTATATTAGTTACAAATGAAAACCACGGAAGAGAACAGAGCCCAATGGATTCTAACTACCATCTGTACCCAAGTTTGCTTGAGCATGATGCATTCCTAAGAAAATGTCCATAAATGGAACATGTCAATCATTTGTCAACGGAACAAGTCAACAACATTAGATTTAAGATATTTTCACTAGAACTATGTGTGACATGTGATAACTTAGAGAGAGTTTTTGGAAAACTTGATTAACTTTATCGATCACAAATGTATTCTTTATATATACAATATAAGATAAGCTCAAACTAGAATTCATGTTATCCTAGTTATATATATCCATCCTAGTTATAGAACCATATAGATCCTCTCTTAACAACATTTACCAAAGAGAATCAAACATTTCTTTCTGGTCCATTCAATTACGAATAAACTTTTACATACAAAATAAAAACCAACTCACACCAACGCAGCCTCAGGCTTACTTACATAAAGATTTTTTTTTCACCGCCATATCCTGCTACGTTGCATGTTTCTATTCCCATACCTTGACGCATTTACAAAGCTGATTTAAAATACACCACTATATCCAAACTCGATAGGAGACAATTTTTCCGCTTTTTTTTGTTATTTGTTTTGTGAAACGGAATATATCCAAATTTTATCAGGAGACAAGTAGTTTTCCTTTTCGTGTTATGTCTATATATGATATGAACGAATGAAAACTCTTGTGGAGCAAAGAGATATAAATAAGGAGAAACCCTAACTCATAGCACAACAAACACGCATAGAATACAAACAAATAAAAAAACCTCAGAAGGAGAAAATCAGAGTGAGAGATGGAGACTAGAAGACAGAAGAAGAAAAGGAAAGAGAGAGATATGTATCTTCCGGAGGAAATAGTGATGAGCATAATGGCGAGATTACCGGTGCAAAGTATCGTTAGATTCAAGTTAGTGTGTAGAGAATGGAAATCTCTAACGTTATCTGCATTCTTCCGAGATCTCTACCATAGCAATTCCAATTCAACCTCTTGTTATAATTGGTCGATCCTTCACGAATTACATTCTAGTTTGGAGGAGATGAAACTCGACTTACCACGTGAGTCATCATCGCAGGTTAACATTTCTTCTTTGGCGAGTGGTTTTATTACTCAAAACAAGAGCAAGAAGATCAAAGAGATTTGTGTTTTGGCTTGCACCGATGGATTGGTTCTGCTGCGTCTTCTCGAGGAGGAGGACATGATGATGATGATGATGATACGTTACTACATTGGGAATCCAGTGCTACCACAATGGATTCAACTCCCTGATCCTCCTTCTCTTCCTAGAAAACATTTTCCATACCATTATGGTTTCTTTGACTCGGGAATTGTGACAAGAATGCACAATGGTGCCCTCTTAGGCTACAAGGTGGTTCGGATACATAGGGATGCACTAACGTTAATTAGGTCTCCAACATGGAGTTTTGAGATCTTTTCATCGGATACGAGTGAATGGAGTGTTAAACAAGTCTCTTGTCCTGGTGGTGGTGTTTCCATGCTCACCACATCTACTCCCGTTTCTTTGAATGGGAAACTTCACTGGCTTGATAACTCCTACTGTGTTATTGTCTATGATTTCTTTTCCCACGATGATGAACTCCGAGCCATAAGACCATGTCCATCAGAGGATCATGGAGAGTTCATGGCTCAGTTTTTTAGGCAAAAACCATTAAAAAAAAAGAAAAATGGCTCAATATTGATGAACCGCCTCTTCCTGAGGAGTCTAAAGAGACGGTATCGTCCAAGTATCATGCATACATCGAAAGCTCTGATTGGTCGAAAAATTTGGGGACAATTTTTTTTTGGCATCGGGTATTCTCCTTCACACGACTCTCTTCTCTCTTCTTCTTCCCAGATGATTTTCAGTTCGGAGAAAACTCTTAATCACGCCGCCGTAGACTTCTAATCCCATCATCAAGATCCATTCCAAGCATCCGGGTAATAAGCTTTGTGGTCTTTAATTTGTTAAACTTTGAAACAGATTTGGGGATTTTAGGGTTTCGAATTTGGGGAAATTTCGAATTCTTTTACTCAGCAACAATTTGATCAGTGTTCTAGACAGAAGAGGCGGAGGTTGAATACCCGATGAAACCGTATTGATTCGGGAATTGTTACGGGAATTATACTCCTGCATTTTCTCATTGTATCGTTTTTATAGGGTTGATGATTTAGTGTTTTGTGAAATTGTTTGTTTTTCTGGGTATGGGTGATTTAGCTTTTTGATTCTTGTTTTCCTATAATTCAGCTGGGATGTGCTCGTAATTGTTGTTTGCTCATTGGAAAAGTAGTTTGATAAAGATGACTCAGATCATGGAAATTCAGGATTGTATACACGGTGCTGAAGAAGCAAGACGAAGCTCTTTATGGATCTCAGAAATCTGGTCTTACTTCTTCAGGCATTAATCCCTCAATCCTCCGGCTGGGTTTGTGAACATCGCCAACAGATGGCTGGATCAAAAAGTTGAAGAAGAATGCTTGATACTTGGTAATCTGGAACATGAGTTTGTTGGTTTTGAGTTGCAGGCTTTTCCTTGCTTTGAATCTGTAGCTATTTGGAACAATGGATCTTTGTATATAGTTGATGAACTGTTTTTGTCTTCGATCAAGAGTAATGGAACTTTGGAACTTTATAAAACCGTTTTTTTTTTAATTCTGGTGAACCTCATTATTAGGTTTACTAATGGAACCAGAATTACGGCAGACTCTTCCCAAAACACAAAACCAAAAAATAATAATAATATATTTTGGTGAACTCCTAAGATGAGTTTACTGATGTACTTGCTCTAAGCCCACCCGCCTGGAAAGAAGACACTCGGTGGTGTAATACTGTGAGCGGAATCCATTTATGTGGCTGCTTCTCTCCATGCGATAAGATTATCTGCACCACCTCACAAGGGTATTTTTTGCTTGTTGATGTTGGATTGATAAGAGAGGACAAGAGCTATAATGTTAGGGTTTGGAGGCTCGAGTGTGGTGATTCTTGCAACTGGCAAAAGGTTTGGGAAATCAACATGGCTTGTCTAGGGCTTGGCCGTAGCTGTGTTCCAATGGCAGTCAACTGTTTTGATATCAACGTCATCTACCTGTGGGACTTAGACCGCGAATGTTTTCTAGCTTGTAATTTTAGGACACATGCAAAATCTTACGGAACTCGTAAAGATGGTGATGCATATACTTTGTGCTTCGAGTCAAGTTTATGCCTGTCGCAGTTTGTTCCGTCCTTGCAACTCGTACCGACACATAGAAATCCAAGATGATATATATATTGAATACTATCTATAATTTTCATGCTCCTATATGTTATTTCTATCATTTGTTTCCTTCTGCTTAGCTGGAAAAGGTTTCTCTCCGTAAATCATTTTGATTGATTTTGCATCAAATTTTCATTGTACATAACTTCTGATCGATTTTACATAAATTTCATGTTCAATAACACATGAACTGGGAAGACATTTACAAATCATTAGTTTGATAACAGAGGATTTGAAGAATAAAAAATAAACAAAATCCTCTAAAATCAAAATGGCAAACTAACTGATGTAGTTTATTTCATGGATTTAATCTTGATTTAGAATTCTTACATTGTTTATTTTTTAATCAAAGCATGTTGGCTACTTGGCTTGGCTCCTCATTGATCATGTCATATACTCTGATATCAGGATCTTGATTCTGAAATAATTATAGCATAAATTCAACCGAATTACCACGATTAATCTCAGGTTCTGCATCAGTGGAAAAATATGTCACATTCAGTAGCACTACATAGGCAGAAACAATTTTATCACACGAAGCTATGGATGTTCCTATAAAGACGCAAGAATATGATAGACATCAACCCACTTGGAGTATGTCACACGGTATCCTATGTTTTATCAGAATTGTATCCCACAATGAGCAAAACATCTGTTATTTCTTTGAACTAAAATCTATGATTCAAAAAAAGATAAAGAAAAATACATTTTTGACATCTTGCGAGTCCTATGAATGATGAGTTTGTTATCAAAATCTTGCGTTAATGTTACACTCACTAATCGTTGTCAAAATGGCAGCTAAAACGCTAATGAAAGTGAACAAAGCACCAAAAGACATAAACAAGAGATTTAAAACAGGGCCAAAGAAGTGAAATAAATCAGATGATTGGAATTAAGTGAAACAAATAGTCAGAATCTTATTATGTTCTGAAAATGAAATTTGCCGACATCGTTGTATCCACGAAATGGCACAAGAGAAGCAACAGAGACAGAAAAGCATATCCTCATGTAACGTTTTATGCCCTTATCCTTTGTCTAGTCTGTATCTTGTAATACTTCTACAAGAACAGAAAAAAGATGGCTATCTACTAGCAATTGATTAAGAGAATTCCTCCAAAACAAAATTGATCAGACTAACACTTAGATCCACTTTTGTGATGATCATTCGTCATTTGAGGTTGAAGCAGCTTTTGCCGCATACTTGACTAAGACACCGGTTAAGAGAGCCTTTTCCTTCACCTTTAACCTATGAAATTGTAATATCAAGAAATCAATCAGTTTAAGTAAAATAAAATAATTACAGTTGGTAACTGTTTTAGCAAAGATTGCTGCATGCTTTTTACCTCTTGGAAGATCCTGGAATTTCTATCGTTGAGGCCTTTTTCCCTTTCACAAGAATCTTTTTCTTCTTCTTCTTCTTCTCCTTCTTCTGCCCTTCGACTCTACTAGCTGGTTTTGCTTCTTGTTGATCAGAGTCAGCTCCTCCGCTCAAGAGCTTTTCTCTACCAAGAAGCTTAAGCTCCAGCCTACGGATTCTATCTATCCGTTTTTCATCTGAGGATGACATTGAACTGTTCGGAGGTTCAAGATTCTCTTTAGCAAATTCTTCTACATCAGCCGTATCAAGTTCATCATCATCCAGGCGTGTTTCTCCTACAGCTTCCTCGGATTTATTTGCCAGGGATGAAACTAAAGACGTCTCTAATTCCTCGTGTTCTCCAATCTCACGCTTCACGACTTGTTTCTGAGACCTTAAGTCAGGTTTCGAATCACGTCTTGGTTCTATAGGAGATTCTACGCTGCTAGAGATACCATTTCGTTCTTCTTCTTCCGCTTCCGTTTCATCCACCTCTTCGTCTGAATCATCCGATTCTTCTTGTGAATCCAAGAAAGCAACATCAGCATTAGAAACTGCTTCTAAACCGGAAAACGGAAGCTCCTCAAAGACTGTATCTGAGCGTAATTCCTCAGACACTGATTGATTTGAAGAAAAGTCCACAACTTGACATTTGATTTGCTTTATAACTTTTCCAAATGATAATCTCTGTCCAGTGAACTGCTCCACGAACCTAACAAAAAACAGAACAAACTTTAGCCTTATCACCAAAGATAGAAATGCTAATTTTACAAACAACAATGTCTCTAATACCTATTTGCATCAATCTCGCTTTTGAAATCAACAAGAGCAAATCCTTTACAGACAGGATCTTTAGTCTTCTTATTCCCTGACACAGCTGGTGCTATATTTAAGATACCACTTACTTCTTTGAAAGCAACCTTAAGATCTCTGTGAACATTCTTCTTCTTAGGAAGATTGGTCACACGAACACGGAACCCAATCTGAGTTTCTCCAGGTCCTTTTTCAATACAAACAATCCAACAAAAGCTTAAATGAGATTCAAGCTACTACTATAAGTCATGTCAGAAATTTGGGATTGTTTGGGAGGAAAGAAAGACGAAACCTTTGATTTGACTATCGTTGCGCTTGAGAGGATCGTTCTTGAGCTTATTGAGATTAGCAGCTTGAGCTTTCCAGCTTTGTTCAATTTCGTCGAGCAGCTTATCTTCAATTGAAGTTTCGTACTTTTTACCTACCCCAAACCCACGAGGCTTTTTCTCCAACCATTTCTTCATCTTCCCCATTGGCAAAAACTCAACTTCATCTTCGTCTCCATCTCCTTCGCCTTCTAAATCAAATTCACCCCAATCCTCATCCTCCTCTTCATCATCGTCTTCTTCTTCCCCATCATCGTCGTCGATACTGCTTCCCGACTCCATCACACCGGAACTGCCGCTTTTTCGTTTGTTTACAGCGAAGGAACGAAACCCATCGTTTCTTTTGACAACGAATGCTCGAAATCTCTGTCGAATTCGATGAGAAAATGAGATATATGTAGAACTTGTAAAACAGGGAGAAATCAGATAACCAGACGACGAAGAAGAAGAAGCGAAGGAGCACGATGACTTCAAACGAGAAGGAGATTGAGAATGGAGCAAAACGGAATTGCAGAGCGAAGCTCCGTTCATGGTTGTGTCTTTCGTTATCTTCTTCTTCTTCTTCGCCGGAGAAGAAACTGCGTAAACGCAAACAAAGCGTCTTCAAAAAGGCCCATTACTTTATTCATGTTGTAATTAATGGGCCAATTACAGTCTCAGTTTAGGCCCATTACTTTGGAATTAGCCCATCATATTTCTGTCGTAAATTGATGTAACACCATAAATGTTGCTGGCTTACATTTAGCATGCCTGACCAATAATTTACACGGAATCATATAAGTATAATGGATTTTACTTGAAAGATGTATGAATATGTGAGACAACATCTTTCAAAGGCCCCAGGTTTTTATGAACTTCAAAGTGACGTTGATATATTATACCCCAAGAAAAAAGTGACGTTGAAATAGCAAGTATAAATTATATTGTTTATGTGCTTTCCTATTTCTCACAATTTTCTTACAAATTCTGATTTCATTAGCCGTGACAAAATCAAAGGACGCAGATAGACTCATTGATGAAAGTGTGAGACTTTCTTAGGGCGGATACAAAACATTAAAGGGACGAAAAGATGAAACTAAAAATGAAAGGTAAATATTAAAGTTACAAAATAGAAAGAAATAAAAACAGTGCAGAAAATACAAAAATGCTAGGCTGTGTGTAGACCCATTAGAGAGATATATGGAGATTAAGCTTTGTATATATTTACGTGTCCATTTTGTAATTGGACCAGTTCTTGATTTGAAGTCATGAGATCTCTCTCAATGGGACCATTTCCTCATACATGTTGGTCCGTTTCACATGTGTGTGGTTCTGTATACGTATCGTATACTTAGAAATATACGGTGTTATATGTCTAGAGTCTACACAACATAAACCTACTTGCATATTGCCATACGATTTTTGGGGTTGAATGTGTTAGGATATAATTAGTCTTACATAACACGTATATATATATATATATATCACCATTCACCAACCAATAATCAATATACTACTTTAGTAGTGTAAGAAAATATATGCTATATAAGTGTAAAAGAAATAAATGCATATGAGAACTATCTATGTTATTATAATGTCAAACATGCATAAGAATTTTTTACATTAAAATCTTGCCTTATCATTGTTAATTAGTCTTCATAAATAATCAGAGTTAGGTTGAGTTGGAGTAGCTCTTGAGTTGGCCTACACTGTTGAGTTCAAAAGTCAGTCAATAGTCAATATATCTTTATTGGTTGCTATTTCTATAATCTTTATCTAATGTTACTTATACATATATCATAGATGATATATTATGGAAATTGAAAGTATGAAACCACGCTAGGTATCTACAACTAGAAAAAGGATTATAGAGTTGATCATTGAAGAATAGCCACTATCTGACAAGCCGCCATAGTGGTTAATTGGTTTCAATAAAAGATGATAGTGCTCTAAGATAGACCATGCTACAAACCCTTAGTGGGTAGGGTAGTTAGATAATCAGCAACATAGCACTATTACAATGATAAACAAACATCTACAGCGTTGAAGCTTTTAGTGTTTTAGTGTAAAACTGCACATATATAATTACATCTGCATATACGTGTGCGTATATATATCCTAAGTTATCGATACTATTCCATTTCTATTGGATTGAAAAACGTATTTGAGATCTATCCGGTTATATTCATTAATTAGTACCAATGTATAATTCACATTTTTCATGTTTTGGGCCTATGGACATAAATACTTTTTTTTTTGAAACCTAAAGGCATAAATACTTTACAAATGGTAAAAATAACTAGAACGGTTACATATGTTATAAATAAAGTTTTTGATATTTTCGTTCTTGTATGCACGTCCCATTCTTATGTGTTTAAGAACCTATTATATTCCACACCATTTAATCTGCTTGTTTTACATAGGTTTTTGTACGGGTATAAATGATGAAGCGATTATCTGATACACATGAACAGTTGAACTTGTTTTTCTTAAATGCTAGAGCAGAGTAAGATACTGTTATAAGCTATTGAATTTTTGCATTTATGTATGTATATATATATGTCTTTTTGATGGCAATATATATATAGATAAATAATTATATATATTTATACAAATATTATATTTAATAAACAGCTAAACGAAACTAAGTAATGACGTGGAAACATCTTTTTAGAAAAATGATGAAAGGTTAAATGTAAATTGAAGTTGATCGGAGCCTATATGCCACTAAGCGAGTGAGAGAAAATTATATGATATAGAGATTAATAAAATTATATGTAGGATATAGGAAAGGGGCAGAAATGGTGGTGTAGAGTATAGCGAGAGTCACAATCCGCCAACGCCAATCAAAGTCCAAAAAGATATATAAAAGATGAAAATTGGTCCCTTTGAAGTATGAACATTTCTTGTGAGCAAATCTCGATGGCAACTTGTACCAGATTGCTAACGTTTTTCAAAATTAGTTTAATTAGGTTATAGAGATTAAAGAAAGTTAAAAAGATTATAAATTCATGTTGTTATGTAGTAATAAATAGGAGTATGGAAGCCAAGTAAAATTGGTGATTTGTGCATAAATATCATTTAGGGATCATTATCTTTTTTGTTTGTCGTTCATTTAGGGATCATTATCATTCTATTGAAATCGGTAGCGTCAGTGATCAAAATTCACCGACTTTTTAATGTTTGGTGTTATTCATGTTCTCTTTCTCCTATAAAGGTGATACTAAAGAAGTGTTACCAAAATTAATTCAATATAGCAACAGTTACAAATATATAGTTGAAAATGACTCGACACACTCGTTAACTATTCACTATATATCTATAACTCAACATCGACTCATGGTAATCGATCGTTGTATGTAAACGAGAGGCCTACGTCTGATTTAATCTCCTTTTCTTTTTACACAAAAAATAAATACATTAATATCTGCAAGAGGTATAGACAGAAAGAGAGCCATATGTATCAAAAAAGTCCGAGTTGACCATGCTACAGGGAAGGAAAAAACACATCTCGAAACGAGTATCAATTAATGTGATGATGATAGTATAAGATCATGTCTAGTGCAGAACATCACATAAGAATCTGAAATAACCATTCAACAACGATTGTTGACTATAAACAATAGCTCCCATGAATTGTATCGATTTTCTTTAAGAAAGTCTGACATTAACCAAATTGACGAGCCCTACCACGAGAATATAGTGTCAGTCTGATAGATTGTTGTAGGTTGCGAGGTGCGTAATTTTTTTTTTTTTTTTTTTACTCCTTTCGGTTTCAATATTTGGCTTCATTAATATTGTCTACCTAAATAGAGAAGAAATTAGTAATTACAACCGAGCCATAATAATTTTTTTTTGACGAATATATACAGATTTCACCTATGAAATTATCTTCAGTTTTACAATACCCCATTTGTTTCTATGTTTCTTCTGTGGTCCAATTTAACGGTAAGATCTTTATTTGCTAGTATTATATTAATTTTAATCTCCGTTATGTTCAAAGCTTCTTCGCAGACAGGGCCGGGCCCATGTAATAGATTTTGAAACATTGGCTTAAGGCCAATTTTTTTAACATTTTAAAAAGCTTATTTATTTTTACCAAAAGATCAAACATATCATAATTTGAAAGGTATATATATACTTGTAAAGCTTAAAAATAGATATTTTTTGCATATTTCAACATAGTTTCTATGATTTTATCATATAAAAAATAGTTAAAAACAAAATTAAAATTAGTAAAAAATGTTAAATCTCTACAAAATGGTGTTTGTTAATTTTTTTCTCATAATTTTTTTGTTTTTCTAGAAAATTTTTAAGGCCTCAGTTAATGTGAACACGGCTCTGTTCGCAGACCATATTCCCCCGGAGTTGGAAAGCATCGATCTCAACAGGTTTCGAATGCTAAAAGCCTAAAGGCCTAAAAGTCCTAGAAGTTCTTAACGATGTTTTTGTAGTCAACTACCAAAGCCCTATGCAATTCAGTTATTCTAGGGGTTATTTCGGTTTTTTCAAGCCCTTTGCAATACATTTCCAATGTATTATTCAATTTTTCACTTATATTACTCAATTTTCTATTCTAGGAATTCTAAAGATATTTTTTTTTGTATTTTGTTATTACATTTTATCTATAAAATTTACAAATTTACCAAAGTTTCTTCTTTTTGTCAAAACTTCCATGCATCACAATTCCACAGATTTTTATATTATATGAATACAATGTAGATCGATCGTAAGTTCATAAACTCATATATTTATTTTTTTTTAAAAAAGAAATTCATTGCTCAAATAACTAATTATAACTCTTAAAGTGAAATCACTTAAAATTTGAAGGGGTATACTATAAATTAAAAAAATTAACTTGAAAATGGATTGAAAATTGAGATTACTCTATATTTGGAAAAAAAAATTATACTAATTTGAAGTTAAAAAAAAATTAGTAATTGGAGAACATTTTATTCGAAAAAGATTAGAAAAACTCTTACAACACTCCAATGTGGTCCTCCACTCATATGCTGTTATCTGCATAAGAGAAGCTCTTAGTGAATAACGTTGTCATCCTTCAGAGCCCATTTAGGTCATTGTTGATGACAAAAAAAGTTATACTTGATTCCATGGACAATTTTGTTAGATACAAACATTGACTCTCCAAATGATTCCATGGACAATTTTGGTAGATATGCATTTGATCGGAGCCTCCAAATGATTTTGGGAAGTGGCATTACAGTGCTCTTGGAATATGTGTCTTTGGTTTTGGCTTAAGTCGTTGAGCTTGTTAGGTTTAGTGGCATTACAAGGGGATCCTTAAGATGTTACTTTTGCCTAGGTCATGAAAAGAGGGACATGGATATGTATCTCAACTCTTGTTTGATTTTCTTCAGACTTTCATGTTTTGTGTTGTACAAAAATCGCTCCATTAGAAATAGTGTATAGAGAAATGAAATTACCAATGTTGAAATCTAACTAGATTTTAGATCACATGTAATTATGAACCAATGATCCAATTATCATTTAAATTTGGCCAAACCCAAAACTTAATCTAAGTTTGAGAATTTCTTTAGAGTTATTTTCAAATGTTTTAATCTTTTATAATTCGTCTAAATAATTTGATAGATCTTTTTGTAATATGTGTGAAGACAACCCTAAAATAAAACCAAAATATTATAATGTATGTGAAAAGTTGGATAGCAACTATCAAATTTCTACGAAATAAAAGGGTTTTAGATAAACTATAATCATTATATCGAAATATAATCCTAATGATAATTGAAAAAGTCTAATCCAAATTGAAATAGCAAAAAAAAAGAGTTAACTGCAGGCATAATTAAAATTGGCCAATGATTTAACACTTTATGGCATACTTAAAAACATTACGAAATATTTTTTGGTGATTTTTTTTTTATTGTGAAAAGGATATGAAATATTGATAAAACAAAAAAGTGATTGTGAAGAATCCACCTCAGCTCTCCTTTCAAACTCATATATCCCCTACGCTCCCTGGCTTGTTTAGTTTCTTCCTCTAATTAACCAAAGTTTAACCTCCTAAATCAGAAGATTAATTTGATAACTAATTTTAAAAGTCTCAACTTTTTAACAAGGCTTTAATATCCGATATAACTTAGATAATCAGAGGAGGAAGGCACAATCAGGCCAACTCAAAAATTCTAAAAAATGTGGTCGTCAAAGCCTTATTGGTCATGGACCACAATATTAAGGATTTCAAATGACTTACTGTTTCCTGTAGCTTCTCCTTTAATATTTTAGAATTTGATGTCCTATGAATCAACAAGCTATGTATATGCTTATGCATCTCTCTCTCAAATTAAACTTCTTTCTTGGTCTCTTTGACTACAAAAATCATAGCCTTGTAATATACTTTCCTTGCATTTTAATAAAAAGTCATTTTTACAAAAAAAGAAAGAATAATGTATTTACTATACCCAGTGGCTGTTGACGGGTTCGACGCTTCGCCCCTGCAATTAATAAAAGAAAATGACCTCGTCCTCATATATCCAAGGACATCTAATTTTTTTTACAAAGTTCATTGATTAATTATCTTATAGATATTCTATTTTGGTTTCTAAACACAATTTGATCTTGAATATTGCGTTATTTGAAATTTTCATCGTCACAACTTTTTTTAAAGGAAATGTTTCGATGTTCACCATATGGCGTCCATATAAAATTAAACAATTTGTAAGATTGTCAATATGCATGAGCTAGCGACATACATAAAAATAAAATAACAAATAACAAATATTTTGGATACAGATGCGTTTGAAAACGTATGACCGCCTCAAACCTGTATTGGGTACAAATACACCAATGTATCAAAGTTCACCAAAATGTTAAAAAGAAAAACACAACATTATCACACCGAAACAAAAACAAAAATGATCGCATTCAATCAAAATGAAATACGATGACAAACAACATTTTTTTTAAGGCCTATACTTGAACATAATGTTATTTTGCCCATTGGTAAATTCCCAACGTTACTATAATGTGTAATCTATATAAAATAATGTGCCTAAGCGACTTACAAATGGTCCAAATAACAGAGAAAATGTTCATTAACACCCCCATGCAATCTAGGCCCATTAAACTAATAACCAATTAACAAAATACACGTCAGCATATTTAAAAAACAATACGGCCTTCTCTCTTCACGAGTGATATGCAAACAAACGTACATTATGTACTCATGCAACACGTAACCTGCCCACGTATTAGACGTCTATACGTAATTACGTTAGACCATGTACATCAAAGAAACTCTTTGAATGATCCTTAATAATATTTTAATATTTTTTTTATGTTAAGAAAAATTAACAAACTTTCATACTTTTCTTCATCTATTAGTGAACCTGAGAAAGGTTTTTTATGAATAAAAAATAATATTTATAAAAAAAAAAATTCTTCAATAATTTAGAATTTAAACCTACAATACATATACAAGAATACATATACAACAAGAAAATTTTAAAACATGACATAAAATTTTAAAAATACAAAGAACAGATATTTAAATTATAGAACATGTAAGTTTTATTCTTGAGAAGTTCCAAACTTGTAGACATGCTCAATCAAATCCGCTTTCAAACGGTCATGCATTTTTCTATCACGTATATCATTTCGATTGCTGATTAAATTGGTGAGGTTTGTAGGCATATTCGTAGAGTACGTCATGTCTACTTCTGAAGTTCTGATTGATTCTCCTTGTTGGAATTCTTGAATGTTATACTGGGTGTAGCCACTTCTTTCGTTTTCTACTATCATGTTGTGTAGTACGATAGATGCTCGCATAATTTTTCCAATTTTTTCATTATCCCAAAAAAGAGCTGGATTTCTGACGATTGCAAATCGGGCTTGTAGAACTCCAAAAACACGCTCGACATCTTTTCGGTATGATTCTTGAGCTGTAGCAAAACGTGTTGCCTTATCACCTTCAGGAATTGGAATAGATGGTATAAAAGTTGCCCATTTCGGATAAATTCCATCAGTGAGGTAGTATGGCAACTTATACTTGTGTCCGTTAACCCAATATTGCACTTTAGGAGCTCGACCTTGTAAAATATCGTTGAAAACAGGTGAACGGTCAAGAACGTTAATATCGTTTAGAGTACCTGGAGGCCCAAAGAATGCCATATCCAAAGATCGTATGATGCCACCGCTTCTAAGACAATTGTTGGTTTTCCAGAACCACGTGTATATTGCCCTTTCCAAGCGGTAGGACAATTCTTCCACTCCCAATGCATACAATCTATGCTTCCTATCATCCCGGGAAATCCCGTGACTCTCCTTTTTCGAGTAGTCGTTGAAGATCTTCTGGAGTGGGTCTTCTTAAGTACTCATCTCTGAACAACAAAATTATTCCTTTAGTGAAATTTTCCAAGCATAACAGTGCAGTACTAGTACCTAGTCGGAGGTATTCATCAACCGCGTCTGCCGCACAACCGTATGCCATCATGCGAATTGCTCCCGTACATTTTTGTAGTCCGGATAGACCAAACCTGCCGTGGCCATTTCTTCTTTGTTGAAAGTACGGAATTTCTGTGGAAAGGCAATGAACAATGTGCAGGAACAACTCCTTGTTCATTCGAAAACGGCGTCGAAATATATGAGGCGGATATGTTGCACCTTCACTAAAATAGTCGTTCCATAAACGGATGTGGCCTTGCTCGCGTTCTCTTTCTATGTATGCGCGTTTTTTTTTTCTGCCTTCTTTCAGCCTGACGGTCTACAACAGCATCAAACATATCATCATATTGTTGTTCGTACAACTCATCAAATGCTTCATCAAAAACTTCATCCAAGGCTTCGTCCAAACCATCGTGTGATGATGATGCCATAATTATAAACAAAAATTGATGACGAAATGAGGAAAAGAAATTTATAAGCTTTTTGTGTTTTTAGAAGTTATGGAAAAATAACAAGAAATGTAGAAGTTATGGCATCATAGTTCAAAAGGAAATAGGAGAAGAAGCTATGAATATCGAAGGAGAAGAGTTCTTTGCGGATGAATATAAACTTTGCTTTGTCTACAATATATAGAGAATGGAAATCGATGTTATAGAACTACCACATATGTGGATTACAATATGTGGTCTACAATTCAAAGTGTGGACTACCATACATTTACAAATCCCGTGACATAAAATTACAAGATGCAAAATCCAAAAGCGAGAGAGTGTAGAAGCGGTTAAGACTTTAAGAGAGTTTTAAATTTTTAAAGTTTAAGAGTTGGAGTTTTAATAAATGAGAGATTTGAAGTTTTGGAGAGTTGAAATAAATGAGAGTGTTGAGAGTTTTTGAAGTTTAGAAGTTTTAAACATTTAAAGGTTTACAGTTTCAGAGTTTTTAAGTTTTAAAGTTAAAGAAATAGGAGAAGAGTTGAAGTTGAATGTTTTTAGAAAGCTTTTGATGCAATCAATGCTTGAAAATAGCTTTAAGTCAGTCACTTGATATCCTAAACAACCAAACCATTAAAACCCTAAACCATTAAAACCACAACTCACAAACAATAGCTTTATGTCAAACCAATATTTACTCTTCACCTAACCCTAAACAACTACCACACTTTAACACACAATCCTATCTAACCGAGACTTAACTATGAAACTAACTACTTTTTAAGTTCTTGTAAGGAATGAACTAACCTCTTCAGAATGAACAATCTTATGTACTAGATCATGTGAGCTTGCAAAGCCAACCACCCTGCCAAACGAAATAACCAAATTATCATAGACAACACTCACAAAACCAAAGTATCGGTGAAGATGAAACAGCTTATGAAGATGAAATACCTTGAAGATAATCAGGAATCATCATCACCATCATTATGCATCTTCATCATCTCACCATTAACCCTCGCAAAACAATTACAAACCCAAATACCTTAGCATTGTCGATCAATGAAAAACCCAAAAAATCTACACAATACACCAAATTCGATCACTGAATGCTTAAGAATGTCTTCAAACAACACTAAAATCAACTATTAATCATTCAAATTACAGGAATATCGCTTACAACAAAATTTCTCAATCCAAATTACAACTCAACTACAACGATCAAAGAACAGACAATCAAATATAAAATCTATACAAAAGTCGAACAATATATGCATAAAAACGTCGCAATACAACTCTAATGTCGACGATTACTTATCCAAATTCCAAATTTATCGATGACACCAAAAATCCCCAATTTAATCTTCAAACCCAAACCCTAATTTCAAAGAGATGAATAATAACAAGGGAAAACAGACTAACCTTGACGAATCCATGCCGGAATCTTCGTAACTCATCCGTTCACGTCTTCGCTTACTCCGTTATAGTCAGAATCTTTATCGCTACTCACAGAAAAATCGTCGATGTCGACGAGGGAGAGAAAGAAGTTTTCTTCCAGAAATTTTTTTTTGCCCAAAACACATCTTTCCTCAGAGCAAATAAAAACTTAACACGTGGCTTATAAAACTTGTATGGATCGGTTCATAAATAACCTGTGCAAGGAGCGATCCATAATAAATGGGCTTTTATTTATTTATTTAAATTATGAAAATAGGTTTACAAACTCTTAACAAACCCATAAAAAACTTCAATGGACATACTCTTAACTCACTTTCCTGTCTATTTTTTTCCTGCTAACCTGCGCGTTTTTGCTTTGGCGCGTGTTAGTCACAGGAACAAACAAATAATAAAAACTCAAAACGTCAAACCCAATGAAACTTTCTTTGCCCGTCTCGATTAAGGAACAGTCCCGTTTTCCCCGGGCAAAACGGAAACGGTAACCGTCTCTGTTTCATTCTGCAACTACACTTTTTTTCCTTTTTTTCTTTAAAGACTAAAAAAAAAAATATTAGTCTCAAGAGACACTGCTTTTCGTGTTTATATATCGAGACAAATGAATATGTTAAACCCTCACTCTTCTCTCCACACAAAATCCAGAAATCCATCTCTTCACACCTCTCTCTTCTTCTTCTTCTTCTTTCTTCTCTCTCTCAAAGATCCCTGGCGATTTTTCCACCGTCGATTTCCCGGCGTTTGTTTTGGTAACGACGAGTGACTATGGAGATGAAATGAAACGTCGTCGTGTTTCTTTCCTTCATTGATTGCTGCGACGATATGGATTTGCTCTGCGGAGAGGATTCCGGCGTGTTTTCCGGTGAATCATTCTCGTCGGAGGAGGTTGATTCCTGGCCGGATGATTCGATCGCAAGCTGTATCGAGGATGAGAGGCATTTTGTTCCGGGGCTTGACTATCTCTCCAGGTTCCAATCTCAATCTCTCGACGCTTCCGTTAGAGAAGAGTCCGTCTCATGGATACTCAAGGCGAGCTTTTAAACTCTTTTCTTTTAATCTCTCTCTTAACACAAAAAATAGATAAATCTTGTATTATCGGTTATCTTTCCGGCGATGCTAAAATACGCCGATGAAATGGTTTACATGCAGAGGAAATCCTTGAGATGGTTTTATTTTGACTCTGTGCTATTGATGTTTGGTTGCAGGTACAAGCGTATTACAACTTTCAGCCTTTAACGGCGTACCTCGCCGTTAATTATATGGACCGGTTTCTCTACGCTCGCCGGTTACCGGTAAGCTTATTAAAAACGTCAAACGTTCATATTCTCTCTGTTTTTGATCATGTTGATATGACTAATAACAACCCAAAAAAAGTCATGTTTTCACCTTTTATTTTTATGGATCAATTGACTTTTCTTCAGAAATTTGAAAACGACTGCGAGATGAAAATTAATTATTAGAACACGACTTGTAGATTAGAACACTAACTACAGAAGAGTAATGTAGTAGAAATCAATTAGATATTTGGATTGTACTAATTGTTAAAATAACGATAGAACAGTAGCCAAGGAGCGGGATGGGATAGTTTTGTGTTTTTATTATACATTTAAATTTAGTTATTAAAATATTTACATTGACGTTTACATAATAATACTATACTTTTGCAGTAAACTTTCCACTGCATATATCCGCTTTATTGAAAACTTTATAATCATGGTGTTAAAACGCTCCTCTAGTATAATATTTTAGTTATTCTTGTGATAAGAAGAGTATAATAAATCTTTAATGATGAGATTAATCAGCTTTAAATTTTGCAATCTTTAACAGGAAACGAGTGGTTGGCCAATGCAACTTTTAGCAGTGGCATGCTTGTCTTTAGCTGCCAAAATGGAGGAAATTCTCGTTCCTTCTCTTTTTGATTTCCAGGTATAATTCTTGATTATTCCTTTAGAATTTGAATTTTCTCTGGTATAATAATGTATTTTTATTCATGTCTCTGTGTATTATATGTAGGTTGAAGGAGTGAAGTATATATTTGAAGCAAAGACGATAAAAAGAATGGAACTTCTTGTTCTGAGTGTGTTAGATTGGAGACTAAGATCAGTCACACCATTCAGCTTCCTCAGCTTCTTCGCTTACAAAATCGATCCTTTAGGAACCTTTCTCGGTCTCTTTCTCTCCCATGCCACAGAGATTATACTCTCCAACATTAAAGGTGCGTAATTTTGTTATATATATGATCGCTAATATCAAATGTATACATTGTGTTGGTTCTAACAAAAATTAATGTATATTACAAACTAGTACAGAAGCGAGCTTTCTTGAGTACAGGCCATCGAGCATAGCTGCAGCTGCGATTCTCTGTGTAGCCAACGAGCTCCCTTCTCTATCCTCTGCTGCAAATCCACCCGAGAGCCCTGAGACTTGGTGTGACGGATTGAGCAAAGTAAGGACATTTTTAATCTTTGGATTGATCCGAATATGTTTTGATTAAGTAGGAGAGTTGTATTTATATTTTTTCAATTCTTTATTGGTTATTCAGGAGAAGATCGTGAGATGCTATAGGCTGATGAAAGCCATGGAAGTAGAGAATAACCGGAGAAATTCACCAAAAGTGATAGCAAAGATTCGAGTAAGCGTAAGGGCAGCATCCACATTGATGAGTCCAAGTGATGAATCCTCTTTCTCATCATCTTCTCCAACTAAAAGGAGAAAACTAAGTGACTACTCGTGGGTAGGTGATGACAAATCCAGCTCGGAATAAATGGGAAAAGTAGAGAAATAACAAGGAAGTACATAATAAAAGAGAAGATTCTAAGAATTAAGTTTGGGAGGGTGGTATTAAATTAAAAAGTATAGTTAGTGGGTGGTGAGTTTAATTAAAATTTAGTTTAATTAGAGTGTTTCCATCCAAAGGGGAAGGAATAATAAGAGGTAATGAAATAGTGTAATGGGAAGAGTATGAGATTGGGTTGGTTGGGAGAGACAATGCTCATCATTAATGACTTTGCAGATTCCCAAGAAGAAGAAAGAAAGAAGAAAAAGTGAGTGTAGTGGACACACGTGTGAGAGGAAGAAGATCATGATTGTGTGTGCGTGTGAGAGAGAGAGCCATAATATGCATTACAGTCACAGGTAGTGATAAGACGGGGAGCGTGTGGAAATATTTTGAGTGAAATTTTGAATTTTTAGATTTTTCGAGGACCTTTGTCTTAATGGATCGCAGCAGATTGTGGACCCTGAGCTCTCGTGGTCAAGCTTTCCTCAAGTTGCGAAGTATATAATTTTTTTAGTTTTGTTTTGGGAGTGATATTTTTGATTCCATGTGTGCCGACTGCACGTGCCGGAGGCGTGTGTCGCACGTGCTTCTCTTCAAATCTTTTATTTTTGGCGGGAGTTTTTGTGTTTTTTCCTTATTTAACACGTACGTGGACTCCGAATGAGTTTTGCCACGGTACGTTCATGTCATATACATACGTGTAAGGTGTCACGTGTGTAATATATAAATATCAATTTGTTCTTTCTTTCTGATATGTTATAATTTTTCATTATATATAAAAAGTACATGGAATTTTAATAATGGTCGAAGAATGTGGGAGAGAAAGATAATACGAGTGGTGGTGAGATTGGATTGGTGTGGCTTGTGTGGGAGCACAAAGCATGTGAGCTTGTTGAGATGTGGATCGAGTATGTGTTTTATTGAACGACGAACGTATGAAGACAAAAAGATATACTTTATTTGATTATAGTTGTAGACTAACAACAGAAAAAAGAGTATCTAAAATTTACCAATCTGATTCCTAGAACACATTTGTTTTCTAATTAGTAAAGGGTTCTCCTCTTCTCTAACCCACGATTCCACACAGCTAATATTTCCATATATTCACCGATTGTAAAGAAAGAAGTCATAAATGTAGTGGTATCTCTCTTGGCTTTAGTATAGACAATTAATAGCAGCAGTAGCATACATGTGAGGTTGATCTGTCTACATGTCAGAGAAAGTGGTCTCACCACGAAACCATAACGTAGCAACACCGTTTTCTCTCTCGAACCCCTCAAACATATTAGCCACACTGATATTTCCAAGTTTCTGCCTCTGTCTATTGGCTATAGATACATGCACGAATCCACAAGTAAAAAGGAAGGTGAAACGAAAAAACAAAACATTTTAAAAGTGTGTGTTTAATCTTATAACTAACTTAGTTTGAGTTTGTTTTGTCCGACAGAGGTGAAACCCACGTCGAGATAATGTCTCTTTCCGCTTAATTCTATAGTTTAAAATATACTAATGATATAATATGATTTATTTATTCTTCATCAGTGACATTATTGTTTCGCCCCCCCAATGCATTAATCACGCGTCTCATATATTAATCTCATCACTTCCTTACTTATCTATCGGATTTAACAACGTAATCTACTTTCTATATGCTCATGACGCTCCTCTTCTTTTATTCATTATTTTAGTTTACATCACTTTTCCCATTTTTCAACCATACAATGATGTTGACATCATATTGTATATATTTGAATCCGTATATAAATTATTGAACATGCACTGTAACCATATTTATCGAAACTATTCCACTCAAATGTACGTAACGATTTGTGTTACTACTTTTACTACCGTACCAGTCAGTATTACTGTTTAATAACTTTTTCCCTTTTTTATAAATAAAAATTGCCATGATTTGTGAAATTCATGACATATGAATATAAATGGTATGGTGTAAGAGCACCAATATATGACATGACAAGCTGAGGATCAACCATATTGACTTATAAATAAAGACGTACAAAATAACTATTACAAGAAAAAATACAAAAATAGAACTGTAAAGAAATTGTAATGAGAAAGAACAGAAGCTTCACGCACTTCTATTTTAATCTAAACATGAAGCAAAAGTATGGTGGTTAGGTGATCGATTAGCAACTGCTAATTATAAATAAATTATGACAGCCCACGCATTTGGACATATCAAGCATCGGGATCTATCATTGTTTATTAATTATTATATTTGTTTTAATCTCTTTTTAATCTTCTCTCGGGTTTTGATTAGGACACACGGGGACACAAAGGGGCCGAAGCTTATATATCAGCGTATAAAGACATTAATCTTTTAATTACTTCTATTATATTAAAACAGAAGCACTTTTAATGTTTGTTTCCAAATATTCCCAAAGTTTTTTAAAAAAATATTTTTTATATATATATAAATTTAATTCCAAAAATTAGATATTAATTTAGATATCTAAAAATTTCCTTAAATATAGGTTATATTTATAGTCTATAGATATTAATTTAAATAGACTTTCTTAAATATAAGTTAGGTTTAGTTTAATATTTGAAATTTAAATAAGATTTTCAGAATAACATATATGATTAACAAATATTTTTTATATTTTTTAAATCATATTCTATCAGAATAATTTCATATTTATCAACAAGTTAAGTTTTTTTATAATTATGATCTTACGCGGATTAGGTTATTAAATCATGTAATTAGGAGAAAATTATTTTAAAATTAGTAAATATTTATATTATAAAATAATATAAACGGGCGGGTTAGAATTATGATTTCATATTGTATGGTATTTTTCGGATTAATAAAATGAGCGAGTTAGAAATATATTTTTTTAATAACAGTTACTTTTTGATTAATAAAATAACCAGGTTAAAATGATATTTTTTATAATTATGATGGTCATAGTATTTATAATAATACTGAAAAACAAATTAAAAAAAAAAAATTATATCTAAACACAAATTTTTTTATATTACTTATTAAAAAATTATATTTATAAAAAAATATAAATTAAATTACAAATTTTGATTAAAACAAAATTCTAGTGCGTATGCACAGGGTAAAATCTACTTATTAATTAATTTATGTCCTGTTAGTTTGGTACACGCGTTCTCCATTAATTGCATCCCTTTTAAATTATCTGCATAAGTATTTAGACCCCTTTTTGCATACACTTCACCACCACTAAATTAATCAAACAGATTATACATTAATTATTCTTATAGAAAATGTACAAGGATATCTGATAGGAATGAGACTGAGACAGAGACAAAAAGAAAATGACATTATACATTGTTCGCCTTCATTTTAATTTACAGATAATGGACTGATTTTATATTATTACATTACATACATATATATATAGGTGAGTGTGTAATGTGTTTATATATAGGCGCATGTAGACCATGTCGACGTGAGTAGGAATAAAATCAGAAAGACTTCGCTTTATTATCAACTAGTGTTAAAAGTGAAGGATCCTGGGTCTAATTTTACGTACATTTTTTTTGTTTAGTTATACGTACATTTTACCATTATATAAACGCAATCTATTTATATCAAACTTACCACTACATAATATATGGGCTTAAGATACAAAAGCATATTTTTAACATTTATTCTTAAAGCGAAGCAAAGAAAAAAAAAAGATAATTCGAATGAATATATTCTAGAACATATAGCAACAAAGTTTGCACATGATTCTTTGCCTTTTTTTAATCTTTAGAGAAGAATATACAACATATTCATTAAAATAATCAAACTTTGGATGCTTGAAAAGTAGTAAGAAAATACAAAGTGATAAGATGATATTTTAGAGAAGGAATATTAAAGAAAGAAAAGAAAAGGAGAATGCAATGGTGGCATGGCCCGACCCGTAGGGCGTGAGAGAGTGAGAGTGAACTTAGTTTCTCGAGGGAGCGTCTCTTATTGTGTTTTACTTTAGGAATGTTCGTGGGTTTGCTTTTTGTTATTTATGGTCACAAACCAAGATTTGGTCACACTTCCTTTCTTTCACTTTCATTTCACCAATACCACCTTATAATCTCTATAGTGGACATTGACACATCTTACCAAAGTCCTTTGTTTGATGCATCATCAATTATTCCTGATTCCCACCTATTCATGTTGTTACAAGGGCACTCGCACGCACGCACACACGTCTGTTGCTGTGAGACAAAGCTCGAACTTGTTAGCATCTTATAATTAAGGCCAAATCCACTAAACGAGAAAAAGGTAAAAGTATATTTAGTGAAATAAGAAGTTAAAATCCCACCGTTGCATAAACTGATATTTTCCTCTATTCTGGACAACCCCCCATAATTCATTTTATTCGCGTGTTTATTGTGTTTAAATTTATCACATTATCAAATATATTTATGTAAGTCACACCCATAATTAACAAAATATCAACATATATTAGCTAGATTTACTCAGACGTTTAAATAACATGTTATGTGTTTATACTATGTGTGATTTCTATTTTGTTTAGCAACTAACCACATTTCAACATATAGCATTCTATTGATAAATATCACACGCATAATAAACATATAACACATTTTGTAAATATATAGTAGATATGTTCAGACGCTTTAATAACATACTCTTATTTGGTCATTGCGTATGTGATTCCCCACAATAACACGTTACACATAAAGGCTAATGGCTAAAAATCGTCCATGGATTTTACACACACTCCTACTACATTTTATTTTCTTCATTTTTCCAGATCTCATTCCTCATTAATCTACAATCGCCTAATAACTAAACACAGTTTGACTATAGTTTTTGTTTGGTAAAGTTAAGATTAATGCATTCACTGATAGTTGAACTGGAGACCTCCTGCTTACTAAAGAAGATTATAGTTTCGATTAATCTAAATAGTGTAAGGGAAAAAGAGGATGAACGTGAGAGAAAGGAAATGAGCATAAAAGAAAAGCAATGAGCACAGTGACTGAAAGCAATAAAGGAAAATTATAAGTTCTTTCAGATTGAAATTTTTACAGAGATTTCAGCAAAGAGATGAGAAAGTAGAAAGCGAAAGGCAATTTTTAATGGGCGAAAGCAAGCAAAAAGCGGATTAGAGAGAAGAAAGCTGGTTTTAGTTAAAGAAAGACAAAAAGAAATGTAACACTCTTTTAGATTTGACACTAAAGAAGCTTGTGAATGTGACTTTGTAGGAGCCATACCAATAATACATTGAATCTACATCCGTAAATATTCATATTCCTCTAATCACCATATGATAAACAAGATTTAATTGTGGGCATTGTATTGATTGGGCTAAGACTTGGGAAATAGCTCATGACCCATTTGTAAAGTCCATGGACTTTCTGGATTTTGCATATCAAAGTCCTTGAGATTCGCAGTCTTAACTAGTTCAAGTCACCCATCCATTGCACCTTTCAATTTCGGTGTAACAAAAGAAAATGTAAATGTAGAACTTTTTATTAGTGAGTACGTTTCTAATGATATATATTTCGGCTCAGAAGGATTTGCAATACAAAGAATGACATCGACATCGACACTCTCGCTGTTCACTAAAAAAAAACATGCTGAAAACTTACAGAAAATATCATCGAACAAATGTAGGAAATTGTTTTTTTTTTTAACCAAATTCCTACAAAAATTTTTCATAAAAAATCAGCTATCGGAAATTGTAAAAGGTAGGAAAATGGTAGGAAATTTTCTACGAAAATATTGGTAGAAAAATTTTGACAGAGGATTTTGGAAGAAAAATTCCTACCCAATTACTACAATTTTCCCTCGATTTGTGTTCCTTCCAATTTCCTACGAAACATTGGCTACATTTTTTCAACGAATATCCTACTATTTTTTTCTTCCAATTTTCTACCAATATAATAAAACTAATTTTATAAAATCAAAAATAGAATTAATATCAGAAATTTAATTTAAATTAAAATATGCATTAATTATAAATTTGATATAACAAAATAAATTCATTAATTATTATGAGCATATAACTTGACTGAGTAATTATTAATTAGATAGAATGTGAAGACTCTTATTAATAAATCAGGTCATCTAAATTAATTTAGATTTTCGATGTAGGACAAACCAAAAAACATATTTTCCTACAGAATTCCTACGATTTTTCTAAAAATAATATTTCGAAAGAAAATCATAGAAAATTTTAATTTTGCTCTTTTTCATCTAAATTATATTAGATCCTCGATGTAGAACAAACCAAAAGACACATTTTCCTTCAGAATTCCTATAATTTTTCTACAAAAAGTATTTCATAAGAAAATTTTCTACGTAATTCTACCAGCGTAACAGTCAATTGAGCCATACCACTTTTCTTCTAAATTTTAATCGAATTTTCTACGAATATAAATTTGGTAGTTTATTGGTTGGATATATACCCTACTACTTTTTGATATTTTTTTCGTAAATTTTTTTTTACCAATTTTCTACCACTTCTATTTTTGTCATAATTATGTAGGAAATTGGTTAAAATATTTATTACCAAATATTTTGTAAGAATTTTCATAGGAATATGAAATTTTTTCTTGTAGTGGTTGTCAACACCAAATATCACAGATACAAGTATGGAAACAAAATTATTCTGTGTAAAAGATTTTCTGTAATAATGTAAAACTTGTAGTCTCCCTCGATACTCTCTCTCTCTCAATTCTTGTCACCACCGAATATCACAGATACAAGTATATATGGAAACAAGTATCACAGATACAAGTATAGAAACAAGTATCAACGGATACAAGTACGAAAACAAGATAATTTTGTGTAAATATTTTCTAATTATGTAATACCTAGAGTCTCCCTTTGCTGTATATATTAATTGTAATCGTTGAGATCAAGAGACACAATACAATTCCTAAAGTGTATATCAAATATCAATCCCATATAACTCAGAAATCTCAATATCTTTATTATCATGAAGCAACAACTTTATATTAGCTTTGCCATCATAACCGAGCTGAAGGCTGACGCCACATATCAGTATTAGTTATGTCTAGGTTAACTTTCTCTAAGTTATTCCAAATAATCTGTTCTAAAATAATAAATTAGAGTAAAAAGTTATAGACTATACCAGCCAATTTGTTGAGATGATTTTGTGATATTATGTTCTCCTATCATGGTGAAAAACGTATACAACATTCACTGCATTTTCTGAATCCTTTCTTGTAAAACTAGTTTGACTATACTTCAACTATTCTTGGTGAACAATGTTATTTTCATAGAAAAACTATGCCTATAGAAATATCAAGGATCATTTTTCAACAAAGTATGGAGCAACTTTTGTGCAAATATAATATGACATTCTGGTTCCCAAAAACAATATTTTATAGCATTGTTATATTATACTATACAATCTGATATTTTGATTTTCTTATAAACAAAATATACACAAAAAATTAATTAAGTGATAACACATAAGGGTTCTAGATACATGAATCTAGAGAAAAGTAGGCTTGTATTTGTTTACTAACAAGATAGTATGACATGGTAAACAATATAATATAATTCAATTTAAATAGTGACATTATATTTTATGAATGTCCATATTGAATGAGGTATTGTTTCATTAGCAACATTATTCATCAAGTTAATTTAAAAATGTCCCAATTTTAAAATGCAAATCATGTTAGACACGAAAAAACTATATATTGTATGTTTTTTTAGTAAACAAATATGAAATTTTAGAAATACAAGTATGGAAACAAGTATCACAGATACAGATATAGAAGCAAGTATCAACGGATACAAGTATGAAAACAAGATAATTTTGTGTAAATGTTTTCCTGTAATTACGTAATACCTAGAATCTCCCTTTGCCATATATATTAATTGTAAGCATTGAGATCAAGAGACACAATACAATTCCAAAAGTGTATACCAAATATCAATCCCATATAACTCAGAAATCTCAATATCTTTATAATCATGAAGCAACAACTTTATATTAGCTTTGCCATCATAACCGAGCTGAAGGCTGAAAGCACATATCTATATTAGTTATGTCTAGGTTAACCTTCTCTAAGTTATTCCAAATAATCTGTTCTAAAGTAAAAAGATTTGAATAAAAAGTTATAAACTATACCATCCAACTTGTTGAGATGATTTTGTGATATTATGTTCTCCTATCATGGTGAAAAACGTATACAACATTCACTGCATTTTCTGAACCCTTTCTTGTAAAACCAGTTTGACTATATTAACAACAAGGGTAGACAGATGTGCGACAGCCCATGGGTCTAATTTTTTTTTTGAAATCTTCTTACCAAAATAGGTTTATCTTTGAAAATATATTTTTTAAAAAGTCCATATTTTTGTAAAAATTTTGTTTAGAAAGGCCCATATTCAACAAATATTACTTTAAAAGCCGTAAAAAAATCTTTATAGACAAATATTTTATGTTAAACAGATAGAAATGGCCCAAATAATTTTTTTTGCACTAGGGTTCTTGAAACTTTTGGACCGGGGCTGATTAACAAGTATTCTTGGTGAACAATGTTATTTTCATGGAAAAACTATGCCTATAGAAATATCAAAGGTCATTTTCAACAAAGTATAGAGCAACTTTTGTGCAAATATAATATGACATTCCGATTCCAAAAAATAATATTTTATAGCATTGTTATATTCTACTATACAATCTGATATTTTGATTTTCTTATAAACACAAAAAACGTAATTAAGAGATAATATATAAGGGCTCTAGATACATGAATCTAGAGAAAAGTAGGTTTGTATTTGTTTTACTAACAAGATAGTATGACATGGTAAACAATATAATATAATTCAATTTAAATAATGACATTATATTTTATGAATGTCCATATTGAATGATATGTATTGTTTCATTAGCAACATTATTCATCAAGTTAATTTAACATGTCCCAATTTTAAAATGCAAATCATGTTTTTTTAGTAAGATTGCAATAACTAATCAGTTGATACTATGAGACTGATGGAATAGAAAAGATGAAATGAGACTAAAAAATCTGTTATACACAAAACAATACAAAGAAGGACAAAGAAAAAAAAAGATGATGATTGTGGATCTCTCCTTATGGAAGTTATAACTGTAAAAAAAAAAAAACCCACTTCGGTTACTAGATTTATTATTTGAATATAGTGGCTAATTGGCTATAGCAAGGATCATTTGTGATCCCAATATGATTATATGGCTAATTGACTCCAATATGACTATATGGCTAATTGACTTCAATATGACTATTTCCTCCGGAAGATACATATGTAGCTAAGTTTTAGTATGATAAGAAGAAGCAGCTGCATTGTTGAGGTAGAGGCTCTGTGCAATGCTTTCTTTTGGTCTGATCCGTGTTTAAATGCTAGAAAAACGAAGGTAGCTTGGAGAGATGTGTGCAGACCAAAGAGGGAAGGAGGTCTGGGTATTCGATCACTTGAGGAGGCAAACAAAATCTGTAGCCTCAAACTGGTGTGGAGAATTGCGTCTTCTAAATAGTCGCTCTGGGTGAAATGGTCTCGTGCTCATGTATTAAGAGGGAAATCGTTTTGGACTCTAACAGATTCACATGTCGATGGTTCTTGGATTTGGCGACGGCTTCTAAAAATCAGAAACATTGCGAGAGGATTACAAAAAATGAAAATGAATAATGGAGAAGGACTTCTTTTTGGTATGATGATTGGAGTCGCATGGGGCGATTGATAGATGTTGTGGGAATGAGTGGTATCATCTCTCTTGGTGTTTCTGCATATGCCTCTGTAGCATCGGTTTGGCATACGCACAGACGCATGAGACACCGAACTGCAGTTCTAAACTCCATCGAGGATGAGATTTGGCGAGCTCATTCTTTGCACACTACTGGTGAAGATCAAGCGTTGTGGAAAGCTGGTGATAATCGATTCCTACCTAAATTCTCATCGAAGAAAACATGGCACAACATCAGGGTAGTGGCGGACCAGAAAAGTTGGGTTTCAGCAGTATGGTTCACTGGGACAACTCCAAAGTGCGCCTTCATAACTTGGCTAGCGGCTTTGAATAGACTTACAACTGGTGAACAAATGTTGCAGTGGAACAGAGGCGTCTCTGCATCTTGCGTATACTGCTCTATCCCTGTCGAAACAAGATCTCATCTGTTTTTTGAATGCAGCTTCTCTCAACAAATTTGGGATGATTTAGCTCGAGGCCTGCTTGGTACAAGGCACACAAGGAACTGGGATGAGGTTATAGAAATTCTCTCATCAAACTCTCTAGAATCTAACAACCTTATTCCTTGCGAGATATGTTTTCCAAATTTCCATCACTTGGATCTGGAGGGAACGCAATCAAAGAAGACATAGTGTTGACCCGATTCCTCTGCAAGGACTGATCGCGAATTTAGACAAGATGGTACAAAATCGTCTGAGCTCACTACGCATCGCTGGAGATGTCAGCTATGCGGATGGTATGGAAAAATGGTTCAGCTCACGAAGTTAACACATAGCCCTTGCTCTGTTTTAAAAAGTTTAGCACTCTGTTTTGACTATGGCTACTCTATCTCTTTCATCTCTTTTTAAACAAAAAGATCATGTAAAGTGAACAGTTTTTTTGAAATATAATTTAACATACAGTATTTTCAAAAAAAAAGATAAGAAGAAGCAGCTAAGTTTTAGTCCTTTCTTTGTAGTTAAATGTTAATGTTAAGTGATTTATATTTTGTTTTTTTTGACAACAATGTTAAGTGATATTGACCTAAAAGCAGTTATAGCTAAAATTCTAGATCGCTTCTGTTTATTTTGATTTGTTTACATGATCATAATTCCATCTTTGAATTTTTGGCTTCTTGAATTACTTCATTACATATAAGATTGCACAAATTAGTAAGGCTAGCTTTTACTTTCTTTTTGAACAAATATTATTTTTTCAAGAAATTATGCAATTGAGGAACTATTAAATTAATAAGTAATCAACCAATAATATATCGCTTGATAATGATTTACAAGAACGAAGAGTAAACTTAAATCCACTGAAACTTTCATTTGCCCAGGCACCATCAATATCTTTCCAAATGATTTGCTTACTGCCTAGTGACTCGTACAAAATGGAAACCTTATGTAGCCATGGAGTTTTTTTTATATGAGAGTGTCCTAAACCAAAATGCAAAGGGTATTATTAAATCTCAGAGTCAACATGCTTCTTTATAATTTTAATTTTTTATTAGTAAAACTAGATTTTGCGTCCACGCTACGCATGGATATTTTGTTGATAAAAATTATATGCAATCAATTATATTTATTAAGATATAAATTTTATATATTAGTAATTTAATAATATATTAAAAATATTATGGTGTTAATTATTATGTAAATTTAGAGGTTTTAACGGTTTTGTTTTAAATCTATATACAGTATATCATATTTCAAAAATGTATTAATTTGTCGAACATTTATATGTTAATATATTCAAATCAACTAAAAAATTTACAAATTAATCAAATGATACTTTTTAAACATAGTATTGACATGATGATAAAATATTATGCATTCACTTCTTTAAATCATGAAGATAATTTTTTTCATCATTTTCACTTTTCTTCCAATTATATATGTGTTCTTTAAAAACAATAAAAATTAATAAAATTAAAATTTAATATTTTTTCTTCTCTTGTTTAACCGATACAAATTTTTATTTTGTTATATTAATTTAAACAACAAACTAATAAATAAAATATTTTCTTTGAGATTAATAACAATTTTAAATTTGAAACCAAAATAATAGTTGAATATAAAATGAATAAAATCACACAAAATTTGTGAATTAAATATATTATTTTCAATTTGTTGTGTAAATGTTTGAAAATTTTTTCAATGATTATACGTCATCTCTTCTATTAAGAATAATTTTTTTTATCATGTTCATTTTTATTCTTGTTATATCTGTTTTTCAACGAATATATCATATTTATTTATTTTAATGAATTTTATATGATTATATTCAGTTTCATCATATTCATTCTTATTTCTTGTAATTATAATTAAGTAGGCAAAACTGGTATAATTTAATACATAGAGAACTAGAAAAATGAAATAACAAATTGAACAACTCAAAACTTCTACATTAATCATTGCAATTCCAAGTCGAATATACAAGATGTATTTTTTTGAGCATTTTCGCATAATATATTACATGAGATTATGTGGAGATTTGTTTTGCATAGGTAAAAAAAAATTAATTAATATAAATTATAATTATTAGTTATTTAAATTTCTACGTGAAAAACCTTAAAATCAAGTAACCTAAACTTGTATAAGTAGCATATATTTTTATAGATAATAAATTAAATTTAGAACTTAAACATTAATAATGAAGATTTTAATATCTTAATTTTTTTTGTTAATAGAGATTTCTTAATAGATTTAGAATTTATTAAAAAAAATTTACAATTTTGATATTTACGAATAAAATTTAATTTTTAAATGCTGATATGAATGCCTTGAAAATAATATAACTTTAACTGTTATTAATAATAGAATAGTTTTAATTAATAATTTTTCCTATATTGTTTTGTATTAACAATGTAATTTAATAATTTAGAATTTTTTTAATTTTAGTTATTGATGTACACTAATAAAATTGATCTTTTAAATCTTATGTGGATATTCTTAGAGGCCTATAGCTACGATTTTATTTTTCTATAAATATATTTTTTTGTTAACCATATAAATTTTAAATTTTGGAATTTTTTTAAATTTTAAATATTGATGTGGACCAATAAAATTGAACTTTTAAATCATATTTGGACATTCTTATAGGCATATAACTTTTACTTTTTTTTAATAATAGGTTTAGAAATCAACGCTGGAAGATCCCACGCGAGGCAGACGATTTTGGTCTCTCCTCCTTATTTTGAGGCTTACCGAATGTATTCGGATGCTGCTTGATCAGCTAATTGTTACCTTTGTGGTTAACGTTAGGTTGTTAAAACTCCATCAGATTCTATGTTATTTCAAAAATCTTCCATGAATACCTCCGTCTATGTCTTAATGACGAAACCTCTTTCTCTATTTTCAGTGCTTCGTTTTTCAAAAGTGTCATGATTTTGGTCTCTCCTCCTTTGTTTTGAGGCTTACCGAATGTATTCGGATGCTGATTGGTCAGCTAATTGTTACCTTTGTGGTTAATGTTAGGTTACTAAAACTCCATCAGATGCCATGTTATTTCAAAAATCTTCTTCAGATATCTCAAACTTCTTTGTCTTAATGACAAAACCTCTTTCTCTATTTTCAGTGCTTCATTTTTCAAAAGTTTCGAGTATCAATCACTTGACATGTTTCTCGGATTGCTTGGAATTTATCATTCTTCTCAAATTCGGTGGCCAAGCTTTGTAGATTTTTCGGTCTCTTTTACGATATTAAAGCGGCTTGTAATGACTTTGTTTATATCTCTTTTTACTATAGTTAAACATATAGTTTAGTCAAGTTGGTTCTTTTACGTTGTAATGACTTATTTTTTATTGAAACTTAACTCTATTTTTTTGTTTTGTGTATTTGTAATGGTTGCACACATAGAAAAAAAACTTAAAACTTATTATAGTTATGTGACAAAAAATTGAATGCTAATGTAAGAGTCTCATAATATGTGTTTATACCTCTAATTTAAATATTAAATTTCCTATTTTAATATCATTTATTTTAGTTGTTATTATTAATATAAATTTTATATATAATTTCTTTTTCTTTAATAATTTTTAAAAACAATAATATAATTTAAAAACTTTTTAATTTTCAATGTTGAGGTGGACAAATAAAAAATTTATAAAAAAATATTTATTCAGCAATAATATTAAAATTTGTAACATTTTTTAATTTTTTATTCAGCAATAATTTTAGAATTTGTAAATTTTTTTAAAATTTGAATGTTGATGTGGACCAATAAAATTACATTTTTTAATCTTATGTGGACACCCTTTAATACATAATTTCCTTATTCTTTTATATATATTTTATAACAATAATATTAAAATTTGGAAAATTTTTTAATTTGGAAATTTTCCTTAAATTTGAATTTGAATGTTGATGTGGACTAATAGAATTGCCCTTTTTAATCATATGTGGACACCTTTAGATGCATTTAGCTTCAACTTTTAAGATAAGTATAAGATAAGATGAAAATCGATTACAAGGACTTCATCAACAATAATATATGTTCAGAAGATTTAATAGCGGGAATACAATAATCGAAACATTCGGAGATTATTCATTACATGATAGAGAGCTCTATACACATTGGGTGGGTTTTGCTTTTCGATCTAAAGCCTACTTCAGCAATCTCCCATTGACACTGACCACTTAACACACTCTCGCACGCATTTCTTCTTATTCACCCCAAAAAGAGAAAGGGGCCAAAAAATATTTAAGCGATCCTCGTTTTCTTTTGAAAAAAAAAAATAATACAAAATCACATAGGACTTTCTTCCTGATTAATAAGCAATGGAACTTTGTATTCATCTTCTTCGTGATGACGAATAGTTTTTATGGGTTTTCTTCTTCCTTTGGATTTTGGTTTTCTTCAGTTTCCTTCAATTGTCCCCAAGACACTTTTTAATACCCAACGCCACCTATGGCTGCTCCTACCACACTGCACCCATCCACCAAAAAAAAAAAAAAAGTCAATACTCATGCATTCTAATCAAATACTAATTAATTAAAAGTTATATTAATAATGAATCTGTTGACGGACCTGCCATAGTGATCCACTACAATAAAACATCTTATATTCCTACGAAGAATTTTGACGTAATATTTGGTAAAAATTTTTTATGACCAATTTTTTTATGCAATTTTGACGAAAAGTAAAAGTGATGGAAAATTGGTAGGAAATTTCCTACCAAATATTTTATCAAAATTTCATAGGATATTTCCTACCAATAACCTATCACACGGTCAAAATTTGAAAGGAAAATGGTAGGGCAAATGGTTGGTAAGTATTTCGTAGGAAATTTTCTACCATTTTTTGACGAAAAATTATGTGTAAGAAAATCGTAGGAAGTTGGTAGGAAAATTTTAACTTTTGATTTGTCCCACATCGATGATCTGAGATCATTTAGATGATGAAGCTGCTCTATAAATAAGACCTTCATCTTCCCTTTAATTAATTTGTTTTTCTTTATATATAATATTGATACTATATATAGTAATAATTGAATTAATAACTAATTCATCTTTTAGTTTAAATATAATTTTATTTTTAATTTAAAAAAAAATATTTATATTTTTACGAAATCTGGCAAAGGGTAGAAAAATGGTAGGAATATTTGAAAATGGAAAGAATGAAACTGAAAGAAAATAGACATAATTTGGTA